GCAAGTTGCACAGGTAAAACTCCACTGGCCGCTTATGTCGCCTGACCATTGCAGAGGCAATCAACTGCAGTACGTCCTTCTGGCCTGGGTGGCACCTAAGCACAGAAGAAAGCAGGCCAACAGCGCCTTCTAATGGTAACCTGTGGTAGGGGTGCATTTTCTACAGCAGGCCACTTGGATCGGGCTGTTAACAATCTCTGGTTCAAGACTAGGAGCTGGCTTTGGCAGATGGGATTTGGCTGGAGGTGGTGGTTTTTAGCAGCCAACGGACATTGAGCTGCAAAGTGAGAGTCAGGACTAAAATTTAATATTAGAAATGATGCACTAGGCAGAGGCAGATTTAGGGGTGCACAACCAGTTTGGTGACACTGGTTGTGGAAAGGGGAGGCTCTGAATTTTGGTCTCGCATGGGGAACCACTGAAATTTAAGGTTTGCCGCTGTGCTAGGAAGAAGAATCTGAATCTATTTTCCTGCAGGTTTGTTACTGTGGGGGTAGTTACTCATTCTTGAACCTGAATGTCTCACAGTAAATGTCAAAACCTGTTCTCTTTTACATGTGCCCAAGTTACAATAAAATAAAAGTATTATTTTCCTATCTTCATGGAATTTTAATTTACAATAAAGGTAAGGATACAAGCAGCAGCAACAATACAGCAAGATTACTAAAGGAATAAACTCATTGATTATGTATATATATTTTAAAAAACACCCCCGGTGTGGGTTTAGTAGCTTATGAGTCTAGGAGACACTCTGCTCCATTGCCTGTGTGATTTTAAAAAAACTGTTTCTGTTTGGTTCACTTTGCAAGGAGGCTGCTTGAGGCCTGATAGAAAAGTAACCTCAGGATAAAGGAAGGTGATGCCACAAGTCTTATGCACAGGACATGATCTTTTGCAATCCAATTAATGCAGTCCAAAAATAATTGCAATAGTGTGGCCCTCAGGAGTGGAGCCCATTGTTCAAGTCTACATCTAATCAAACTAACTAACCTAAGAGTGATATTTCTTGACAAAGTGACGGGACTATACAAAATGGTGATAAATAGTCAGGAATATAGTGTTCTCTATCATTTGTCTGATATGCACCACTCCTTTAACAACAGTCTCTGCGAAAACAAAATTATATGTTCTGTTCTAAACTTCATCACTGGCCTGTCTGTCTCTTCTTCAACCCATGACATTGCAAAAGCTTAATCCAGCACGATTGAGTGTAGCTGCCCATTAGCAAATGGTGCAGATAAAATCCCAAAGCCTGGTAGGTAAAAAATCCTTGTGGCTAATCTCTAGTGCTGGCAGCCTGTTGTTGCTGTAAATCTGCTGCCAGAAATGTTATGTGTTGTGTTTACACCCAGGCCAAGACAATTTGGCAGGACTACTGGACATATGCCGTGAACCAGTTGGTTTATTTAAGATTACCTTCTGCTGTGCTTGAATCACTGCATGGGCACTGGCTGAAAATGCTCAGCTGCATTTTACACACATCTCATCTGCGCCATGTTTTGCATAAGACAAACGTTTGTTGGTTGCTTTAGGTCTTGTTTCTGGGACAGGCAGATCCAAAAGCTTCCTCTGCTTGGAACTTGCAAAGGCTCTGACGTCTCAGGCATCACCTTTCCATATTCCCATTTTAAAGAGGTTGGGAAGAGAAACAGCCATTCTTCAAAATGTGCGCTTCTGCAACAAGTGCACACCAGCTAAAGTTCTGAATCCCAGAGAAATAAATTGGTTCAAACTTTACAGCTGAATAATTCCTTCTTTTTGATTCAAGTGGAACATAATTGGAACTAACATATTGTTACGAGGATTGTGTGTCTCCCCAGTCTCCGTCAAGTGGTAGCAAGATGGCAAAGGGTACCAGCTGCTTCTCCAGAGTCTTTTCCATTGGGAATCAAGACGTGGCAGAAACTGTTGTGCCATTTAAGAAATATGGTTTCTTTTAAACGTATTTACATCAGAGAATTTCAATGGAGGGAGTGCAAAGTTTACAGCAGACGTTTCCATGTCTCTGTCCCAGCCTGACTTCAGCCAGCCCAAGATGATTTTGCCCTCCAGACCCAAGAAGCCTCCACATGTAGTTCTCTACCTATTCCCTGCTTCTCCTTCCCAAGAACTAGGGCTGCCTTAGGTTTGGACATTACCATTTTTTGGTGTTTTTGTAAAAAAAAAAAAAAAAGCAGCTCAACAATTTTGTGGGTTTCCTAAAAACAGCTCAAAACCTTTTGGGATGGCCTGGTCTTTACTTTTTGAAATATAGCAACCTTGCAGAAACCCCTTCCAAGCAACTTGCCCCCTTCTGTCCGCTTGCCCCCCTCCTCTCTGCTATTCCAAGGCTACTTTTAAAAGGTGATGATTTTCCTGTAACCTACTGTCCTTGCTCAGTGTAACCTTGGGAACCTCCCCCTTTGGCACAGACCCAAGCATTTCCCTCTGATGGGCCATCAACACCTTTGGTCATGCTTAATGGCTTGTATCCCAGGTGAGGCCCTGGCCTGGAAAGGAAGCTGGTTTTTCTGTATTTTCTGTATTTATCCACCAGCTGGCTTCCCCAGCTTCTTCCCTTCAATACTCCAAGTATTATCTAAATTCTACAATATTAATTGCTAACATCACTAACTCTAGCAGTTAAAGGTGCCCTTGCACGCCTAAACTCTGTTACCCCAAATTTGAAACATTATGATGGATTGCACCCAACATGTAGAGGTAAGCTGTTAAGAGAACTTTTAAGGCCAGGTTAGACATCACATTCAAGATTGGATCTCTTCATAAAAATTGTGTGTGTGTAATTTTCTAGTTGGGTTTTTGTCTGATTGAGAATGAAGTCTTAATGGACACAAACATTGCCAGCAATTATATCTCCTTTTCAGTTATTTATGCATCTCTCTACACTAGTGAATTTCTGTGCACCAGAACCACTGTCACCATAATTAATAACTGGTCGTGTTCAAAAATCGAGGGCTCATATACCCAGGGAAAATGTAAAATTTGGTAAGAATAAGAAAGTATGTGCATGTCTGTTTGTGTAATGTATACACACACACACAAAAGCAAGAAAGTTTATGTACCTGTGGCCTATTTCCCCTTCCCTCAACTGAAGGAAGTCTAAAATGAAACTGCAACCCTTTTAAGTATAGGTTTGAATAAGTAAGTCCATAGTTTCCAGTTTTTCTTGTGTTCATTTTTTAACATCTCTTGCATACTTTGATGTGTTGGAATCAACAGGTTTCCCACATTGTGCATTGCAGCTCAGTCTGTTATGCTCTTCTATTCTGTGGGAGAGCAATTTTTTGCTGCTACAGTAAATGGCCTGGTCTGTTCCCATGGGAGCAGCTGGAGGCCCCTGTACAGAAATTACTCTGAATGCCCGTACATATTTTAAAGTTAAGTGTGCCTCCTGGGTAATATCTCAGTGCATTAGCTGATGGTCATTTGACCTCACAGACAAACCGTTGGGCTAAGTGCAAAATGTAAACTCTATTATAATTAAACTTTCCTTTTCTTCCATTTTCAAAACATGACTTCTTGCCAGTGTCCACTCTGATGTGAAAGCACTCTAGCTTCATGTCTTTCGGAGCAGCCAACCCTCCTGCATTGTCATTACAGTTAAAGGTAAAGGTAAAGGTACCCCTGCCCGTACAGGCCAGTCGTGTCCGACTCTAGGGTTGTGCGCTCATCTCACTCTAGAGGCCGGGAGCCAGCGCTGTCCGCAGACACTTCTGGGTCACGTGGCCAGCGTGACAAAGCTGCTCTGGTGAGCCGGCACCAGCGCAGCACACGGAAACGCCGTTTACCTTCCCGCTATAAAGCGGTACCTATTTATCTACTTGCACTTAGGGGTGCTTTCGAACTGCTAGGTGGGCAGGAGCTGGGACCGAAAGATGGGAGCTCACCCCGCCGCGGGGATTCAAACCGCCGACCATACGATCGGCAAGTCCTAGGCACTGAGGTTTTACCCACAGCGCCACCCGCGTCCCAGTCATTACAGTTGTGTACGTGTAAATGTGTACAGAAGGGCGTTGTTTCTCAAACTTTTGAACCGCACCTTTAGTCAGTCAGGGCTTTGCCAACTTTTTGTGTGCCTGTGGGCGCTTCTGCAGAAACTGTCGTGGGCACGACTTTCCCTTCTCAAGCACACATGGCAACTTGTTCTATTGGCTACAACAGAATTCTTCTTTCAAGTCTAACCTTGGCGTGGGGGAGTGATCTTTTTATGGTCAGGGAAGGCCTCTGGGGCGCATGTGCACCTACAGATGACATGTTGGCAACCCATGACCTAATCAGATTGGTTGTCGCTCTGCGTTTCACATTGTTCAAACCCTTTCTTGCCTCAACTGTATAAACAACGTTTAAAAACCTTTTAATTATTTTTTTAAAGTCTCATGTACTTCAAAAGAGCGCACTTTCTGGTAAGACTGCAATCCTATGCACAGTTACTTTGAAATAAACAAATAAATTACTGGAACTTCATTTAAAAACATCCAAGTTTAAATGAACTTGAATTTGTTAACTGTGTTGCAGTCAGGGGTTGTCATTCATATTATGCACACATTTAGAGATGTTGTCTAGCCAAAACAACAAATCATGTTTCAGTCCCTGTAAGAAAAGTCTGATATGGAGAAAACAAGGGAGCTGATTTATCTATGGCATGGCGCAAGAGTCCTCTCACAGCTTAACCAACTACAATTCACAGGGTTCTTTTTGGGGGTGGGGCAGATGTGCTTTAAATATGCTAATTAAATTTCCGTGGAAAGGGTTGCCACAGAAGCTGCTTCATAAATTGGCAAGCTGTACACTAAGCTTAAAAGCAGAGCCTTCACTCTTCCAGCAAGCATAGGATTAAGCGACACCTCCTCGGCTGCTTCTCCTTCTCCCTCCCTCTTTCCTGCTGCAATCTGACCACAAGCCAAAGGTCTCTAAGTCAAGCTGGGCAGCCCCGCCCAACCCTGTTAGAGCCTCGCCCGGGGGCGGAGACAGCGCCCGAATCGCTCTCCAACTGCCAGCCTTGCGGGGGAGAAGGACGGCTGCAGGAGCCAATGGGCGGCCGCGCCGCTTCCTGCTTGGCTGGCCCCGCCCTCGCACCTGCCAGCTGGGCGACTTTACATAACAGCGGCGGGCGCAGCGTAAGAGTTTGCGCTGCGTTAGGACGGGCCACGTCCCTTCAGCTCCCTGTTCTGCCCTGCCTTTGACTCGTCAGTTCCAGGTAACCCCGGCCAGAAACGGAAGACATTTACCTGGGAGTAAGCCACCTACGTGTAATTCAGCAGGACTTGTTTCTGAGTAGGCATTGTTAGGCCTGCGCTGTTAAGAGGTGATGCACCTGCAATCTGATCTTGAAGCATGTTTACTCAGAAGTAAGCCCTACTTGGGATGCGGGTGGCGCTGTGGGTTAAACCACAGAGCCTAGGACTTGCCGATCAGAAGGTCGGCGGTTTGAATCCCCGCGACGGGGTGAGCTCCCGTTGCTCGGTCCCTGCTCCTGCCAACCTAGCAGTTCAAAAGCACACCAGTGCAAGTAGATAAATAGGTACCGCTCCGGCGGGAAGGTAAACTGCATTTCCGTGCGCTGCTCTGGTTCGCCAGAAGCGGCTTAGTCCTGCTGGCCACATGACCCGGAAGCTGTACGCCAGCTCCCTCGGCCAGTAAAGCGAGATGAGTGCCGCAACCCCAGAGTCAGTCACGACTGGCCCTGATGGTCAGGGGTCCCTTTACCTTTAAGTCCTACTTACTCAGAAATAAACTTGAGTTCGGTGGGATTTGCTTCCTACTAAGTGCCTTAAGTAGCTGTGCTGGCTTCTCCTTAATAATCCCCCAGGAAGCAGTGTGAAAGGGGGAAGGCAAAAGCCAGAAGGTTTCAAGGGCTGCAATCCCAACTACAGGGAGTAAATTCACATTCAAACTTCTGTTAAAACGTGATTGTGAGATTCAGCTGCGTTGCTGGACTGATCTAGCGGGAGTTCAGATGAGAAACTTTGCATTTCAGGGGTTGGAAGGGAAGCAGGGACAAGATTAGGAGCGCAATCCTAGGTATGTTTACCCAAAAGTAAAGGCCCCTTAAGTGCTCAAGGACATATTGTAATGTACTCACAGTCATGCTTAAAGCAGCAGTCATAAACACACACAAGAGGGAGGGAATGAGCCCCATAGGAGACAATGGGGCTTACTAAGGGCAACCAAAATGAACAAAGGGTTGGAGCAGCTTCCCTAGGAGGAAAAGTTGTAACATTTGGGACTTTTTAGACTGGAGAAAAGAAAAGTAGGAGAGCTATGATAGACTTGTATGCAATTATGCAACCTGTGGGGGGAAATGTGATAGACGCCATTAGAACTTGGGGACAGAAGATGAATGTTGGAAGATCCAGGAAAGATAAAATAAAGTACTTCTTCACAGGCCACATAGTTAAAATATTGAATTTGCTCCTGCAAGAAGTAGTCACGGCCACCAATTTGGACGGCTTCAAAAGACAACTTGATGGGAGGATAAAGCTATCAGTGACTCCCAGCCATAATGGCTGTGTTCTGCGTCCAGGGTGTGAGGCAGGATGCCTCTGGATGCCAGTTGCTGGGAATCAGAAGTTGAGAGAGGGCCATTGCTCTCAGGTCCTGCCTGAGGCTTCCCAGAGGCACCTGAGGGGCCATTGAGAGCAGACAGGTGGATGAGATGGGTCTTTGGCCTCTTCTTCTGTATAAGCATGCACTGTAAGTGCGCATGAAATTGTAGCCTTTGCTATCTTTTGTGTGCTTTCCGTGGAAGGAAGTGGCAGAGAGGGCAATAGCTTTCCCCTCTTCTAACTCTGCCTATGGGTGTCTAGTTACAATCTTTGTGAGACCACCCTAAATTCTCTGTATTTAAACAACAACAACCAGGAAGTTCTATGTGCAATTCTGTGTGCACATGTCACCAGATGGGTAAGGTTGGTCCTATAGGGCAGGTAATTTCAGTGATTTTAGGTCATTGTGTATATGGATGACCGCTTTAAAAAAAACAGCTGTGCTGTGAGAGACCTTTGTTTCAATTAGTGCTATACTGTAGTCCAAAACATCCAACTGCTGGCTTCTGTATTTTTAAAGGAAGAGCAGCAATTGGTACAACCTGAGAGATTTTTTTTTAGCACATCCTAACATTGAAGCCTGCAGAATGTCCCCTCCATTTCATCTTTGGACTTTTTCACCGTATCTGCACCAGTTAAGGAATTTTTAATTCTCCAATTCCCCCCACCCACCCCCAACCTGTCTTATTCCTGACCCAAGGTGGCAACCCAACATGAGCCCTTAGTATATAATCTGGAAGATATCATTACTAATTAGTTTTTCTGGGACAAATTTTCATATACATTAAAAAAGTTTACTTGCCTATATCTGTGTGATTTAAACAACAATCTTAGGAACATTATCTTATGAAATGAGTTCTAGAGGGTAGCCATGTAAGTCTATTAACAAAAAAGAGAGTCTCGTGGCATCTGAAAGCCCAGTAGATTTATTGTAGCATACGTTTTCGTGCATCTGATGAATGGGTACAATTCCACAAATGCTTACACTGCAATAAATCATATTAGAGGTACCACACACCATGTTCCTATTCTTTAGAGGAAAATAGCTACTCAAGGCTATTGTTTTTGTGTGTGGGTGTATTCTCCAATGCGAAATTGACTCAGTTAATAGCGGGTTCATACTTGACTGCCCACATATCACTGCTTTATTAGTTCTGTGATGCTTTCCCAGTGTTAATGCATTATTGCTGTCGAGAGATACTCTTGTAGTATAGTGCAACAAAAACGGGACAAAAAGTAAACAGGACTGTTTGTGGTCTAACACTTTAGAGGATTTCAGCAGCCAGTTACAGGAAGACATGCATTGGTTGGAAAGGAAGCAGTATTTCTGCCCCAAAATGGTTGTCGCTAGAAACAGCACTGAAAGTGGGATTGTGTATGATTGCCCTGATACCACCATGAATGCAAATCATCATAAAGGTAAAGGTAAAGGTACCCCTGCCAGTCATGTCCGATTCTGGGGTTGTGCGCCCATCTCGCTTAAGAGGCCGGGGGCCAGCGCTGTCCGGAGACACTTCCGGGTCACGTGGCCAGCATGACGAAGCTGCTCTGGCGAGCCAGCACCAGCGCAGCACATGGAAACGCCGTTTACCTTCCCGCTATAAAGCGGTACCTATTTATCTACTTGCACTTAGGGGTGCTTTCGAACTGCTAGGTGGGCAGGAGCTGGGACCGAAAGATGGGAGCTCACCCCGCCGCGGGGATTCAAACCGCCGACCATATGATCGGCAAGTCCTAGGCGCTGAGGTTTTACCCACAGTGCCACCCGCGTCCCACGCAAATCATCATGAATGCACACGAAAAAGGATGTCTGGCGGGACTCTCAGTTTGGGACGGCAGCAAATCTGCATAGCTGCTCTAGAGGCATTTCAAAAGCAGTAGTAGCCTTCAATGTAGCTGGTCAATATATAGTCCAAAAAAGGCCAGATTCTCCTGAATGGTTGTCAGTAGCCCTGAGTTCCATTAATCACTTTTGTGGATGTAGCTGAATATGAATGCCATTTGAGTAGGATCAGGAGGTACTGGGTACATATGCTGGTTTACATCACATCCAAGTAGTAAAAAGCATTTTATTTTATTTTTTCCATTTCCTACCCATGTAAACTGCTGCTTTTAGGCTATCATCCCACAAAAGAAGCATAATATAAAAGAGTTCACTGTTAAGATTGGCCAGGGTCTTTAAAAAATGTACATGTTAAAATAGATGCAGTTGATATCAGATAGAAGTGGGATTAATGTGAGATTGGTAAAAGCCTTCCTTATATAAGAATAATGTAATTTAGTGAGCAGGGGAAGATGAAAAGAGAATGTTCTTATTCTGCAGGTGATGGAACTACAGCAAATGCAAATAAGTGGCCTGGAGAGAGGATTTGGCACTTGGCAACAGAACTCGGAAGTAATTGCCTTCCTATAACTTGCAAAACTGCACACAGGCTTGGTATGTGGCTTCATCTTTGAGAAGCTGTACGTTTTACATACTTTGTCTTTCACAGGACAGGATGAAGCTCCTGATCATTTATTTCCTGGCAGCTGGTTTGATGGGTCTTGGTGTGCAAGTTGCTGCACAGAGAGAGGAGTGCGTCTTTGAGAGGCTGAATGAGAAGGATGCCCAGTTTTGTAGGTGAGCTCATTATTCCCTCACATTTCCCATAGAAACACAGCCCAAGGGATCATTTTATTTCATCATGGCCCCTGACAATGTGATAAGCAGTTTATTTGAATATCAGAGTGGTGCATGGTAATAACAGTTTCATATTTTGCACAATGGGTGCAGCCAGAATTTATGTTAGGGGGTAGGCTTTATGCTGGGGGGGGGGGGCAGAACCTCAGTTAGTTAAGTATATTTATTTATTAATTTACTGCCCACTGCACCCCCCCCGGCTACATCCATGTTTGCACACATTGTGCCAGAACATTTCTGGTAGATGTGATGTAACAGTTTTTGGGTAGGAGAAGGTCTGCATGTGCTTAACTCTTCTATTGAAACAAACTGGAATTAGTTGTACTTAACTTTGGCTGCATCTTGCTTCTTATTCTGGAATTTTAGAGTGTTGTAGGGAGGTGAGCTGAGGAGTCCTGAGGGCCAGCAGGGTGTGGTTGGTTGGTTGGTTGGTTTTTTGCATTTAGCCCATGGGCCTGAGGGTCCCCTGCCCTGATTTATAGCAGGAATGTTGTAATCATGCTACTCACACCTTCTGACTTTGAGTTCTCCATCACTACTGTACTAAGCTATTAAAAAAAGTTCCATTGTAAATTCCTTTCTGTACAGAAATGATTTTATAAGAATCATGTAATCTTTGAGAAGTCCTTGGCCACATCACATCATTTTGCGTTAAGTTTTGCCTACAATAAGAAAGCCTCTACTATTTAGGCCCTTCTTGGTGGCCATCAGGGGCACTTTGGGGAATGAGTTACTTTGCGCATGAAAGGGGAAAGGGAGGAAGAGAGCTTTCAGTGATGTGGAGCAGATTGCAAAGAGACGGATGAATTAACCTGGAAAAATAAATAATAAGAGAGTCAAATATGGGATTGTAAGGATGCTTGAATAGACGTAATCTAAAGAATGAAAAGAACCTATTAGCTACACTTTAATTACTTTAATAGTGTGTACAAGGAAAGGTGCATTTTCAATATGGACATGTGAAGTGATTATTGTACGATGTGTTCCTGGTTGTGGTGACAGAACTCAGGTGTGCAAACTTATTCTGTATTAGTTTATCCAATGCAAGCTTTCTTTTGGGGGCAAGGTGAATATATTTAAAATTTATACTTTTCATAGAATGCTGCTGATCATCAACTCACTTCTTGTTTGGAGTCTTTTGTAAGATCTCACTCCAGTTTTATGTTGCTTACAGAGGAGATTTAGAAGTTTTGTATCCAGATCTGGGAGATGTTGGCTGTACATTTATTCCAAAGTGCAACCAGTACCGTCAACAGATCAGCACGGAATGGACCAGCCCAAATATCAGATACCACCAGGCAGATGAGGTAAGGCAGCAATGGTGTCATTTTGTGAAAACGTTTTTGTTCATGTCAGAGATATTTTGAATACAGACCTGTCATCAAATCACATATCATATTAATATTTTTTTGTAATAGTGTTTAATATCAGAAAAGCCTGCAGCCCAGGGATTGTTTCATGAAATCCTGTTTGTACTATCACAAGGTGGTGACATGAATAAAAATTCAGTGCATGATCAGGAAAATCCAGGTTCAAATGTTCAGGTTGCTTTCAGCATGTCAGTAGGAGGGATTTAATCATATACTGGGAATTTAGGTTTGTGCAATTAAAGGATGTTAAAGTGCTCTCTTGCAATAAATCCACTTAAAAAAAACTTTTTGTGGTTAGGAAACCAATGGGAAAATGCACCAAAAATGTGAGATAATTGACAAGAAGATTTATAACTTCCATGCAAGCAAATCAGGATTCTGTGTTCATTATTGTATAACCCCCTGCAACAAATCAGAACAAATGCTCAGTTAAGAGCGGACATTGCATAAGCTCCATGTAAACCATGTACAATAAGCAGGTCATTTGGAAGAGCCCCCCCCCCCAGACATGAGCTCCCTGGGTGAGAGCCAGTCACTGTCCCTCAGCTTGATCTCCCTCACAGGACTGTTGTGAGAATAACTGGACACTGAGTACTATGTGCTCATTAGAGGAAGGGTATGATAAAAAGGAATAAACAGCCGGGTAAGTTAAAACAATTGGTACACAAGCAGCACTAAAGTGCATCAGACACAAATGACCCTGGAACTCTTTTAGCAACAGCATTCTGGGAGCCCCTCTTGCGGCACTTTGGCATCATTCCTGCACGGTTGATTCCTAGGCACATCCTCTTCTAGAGGAGCTCTGCTAGTTGCTTCTTTCTTCTTTTCTGGTTTTACAAGGATGCAGGCGAAAGGGAGGGATCACACTGGCAGAAATGTTTGTTTAGAAGAAGCATGCACAGATCCTTCAAAAAGCATGAAAGTGTCACTTTCTTGAGATAGTGGGAGAGGTATTGGCTATATTCTATACTGGACATGCTATTATTTGGTATAAATTCACATCCCTCATCCTTAGCATTTCCTTTGTTGCCTCCCAGACCCTGGAACTTGCATGGTGAGCCATATGGTGCAAGTGACATCTAGTGGCCCCATAATATATTGCTTTTAAATGTATAATTTCTCTGTACTGTATATCTTTATTAGTCTGGGATAAAGAATTTCATTATCAAATTTCCTACAGGGTCTGGGGCACAATTTATGTGGAAGTCCTTTTGCTGTTCTCACACAGTGCCAGTCCATTTCAGTGGAGCTTGCAAAGAACAGCTTCCACGAACTGCATTGGCACTGTTGTACTTCAGTCACACAATTCTCAATCTGACTGGGTTGCGCCAGCCACTCTGAGCAGCTACCAGCATACACAAAAAACATAATAAAACATTAAAAATGGCCTTCATATGTCTTCTAAAGGTTGTATAGTTACTTATCTCCTTGACATCTGAAGGGAGGGCGTTCCACAGTGTGGGATGAAGAAACAGAGGGGATGCTCATCAAATTTGTAGAAGACGCAAACTGGGAGGGGTAGCTAATACCCAGAAGACACAACCAAGATTCAAGGTGACCTTAACAGATTAGAGAACTAGATAAAGCTAACAAAATGCATTTTAATAGGGACAAATATAAAGTTTTACACATGATTGGCATCCATCCATCTCGAGAGACAACAGAGTGTGCCTCAGGGGGTGAAGTCAAAATGTTGTGTAACCTCTCTGGGGTGCAAGCCTGGGCAGCGTGCATGGAGGTCCTTGCTGTTCTTGTCCGAAGGAAAGCAGAGCAAGACGTTTGGCATCAGCTTGGTTGCAGGAGTTGCTGGAAGGAGGCGTACAAGATGCCATCCAAGCATTTTAGGGACTCCACTCTGGATACTACAAGGCAGTGGAGGTTGAGGATCAGAGTTTTCCTTCTCCGAGATGGGCTCCCTTCCCAGGTTAGACATCTGCCCCTCACTTCCCTCTACAGAACGTGCTGAAACCGTTGGACCCACTCTTGGCCTTGGCTGCTCAATTGGCCAGAGCCTGTCTTCACATGCAGGGGAAGTCCCTAAGTCACCAAGGGTTTGAGACCCATTGGCTCCCCTCACCTGGTTTAGCTGGTTTGGCTGGGCCAGGGAGGTGATCAGTGTTTGTTTACAAGAGGGAATGGTCCCTGCCTGCTTGAAGGAGGCAGCAGTAAAACCACTCCTTAAGAAATTGTCCCTGGATTCAGAAAACCTAGCTAACTACCAGTCAGTTACTAATCTCCCTGTTCTGGGCAAGGTTCTGGAGCGAGTGGTCGTAGACCAGATCCAGGCGCTTTTGGAAGAAACTGATTTTTTGGATCCATTTCAATCCGGGTTTAGGTCCAATACTGTCACAGAAACTGCTTTGGTTGTCCTGTATGATGACCTCTGTCAAGAGAGAGACAAGGGAAACATGTCCCTGTTAATTCTTCTCCCCCTCTCAGAGTCTTTTGATACCATCGACCATGGTATCCTTCTGGAGCAACTCTCCAAACTAGGGGTGGGTGGCACTGCTTTGCGGTGGTTCCCTTATTATTATTATTATTATTATTAATATTAATATTTTATTTATGATGTTCAATTGTATACATTTCAAAAAATTTACAATCATTTTAACATTTCGGAACTTTCAGAACCGCTTTGCGGTGGTTCCCTTATTAATAATAATAATAATAATAATAATAATAATAATAATATTTTCTACATATCTAAATTAACTTAATTTGCTCATTTATTCATCTACTTTAAATATAAAGTGGAAGCTCGGGTTGTGAACGTGATCCGTGCGGGATGCACGTTCGCAACCCACAGCATTCGCAACCCGCGTCTGCGCACTTGCGGGTTGTGATTCGGTGCTTCTGTGCATGCGCAAGGCACGATTTAGCGCTTCTGCGCATGCGCGACCGCTGAAACCTGGAAGTAACCCATTCCGGTACTTCTGGGTTTCCGCGGTCCGCAACCCGAAAAAACGCAACCTGAAGCGGCTGTAACCCGAGGTATGACTGTACACTCTTACAAAACTGCAGGTTATTACAGTTTATTTGTAAATATTCAATAAACCATTTCCATTCTTTTATAAAAAAAATTGTTATCTTAATTTCTTACTTTTCTGGTAAGTTTTGCCATTTCTGCATATTCTGTAAGTTTTTGTATCCATTCTTCTTTTGCTGGGACTTCTGCTTCTTTCCATTTTTTGGGCAAGTAACATTCTTGCCACTGTGGTTGCATGCATGAATAAATTCCTTTACCGTTTGAGTAGTTCTGTCCCTATAACTCCCCAAAGTAAAGCTTCCGGGTTTTTGTTTTTTACAAGCATTATTTTAAACATCTTTTTCAATTAATTATGTATAATTTCCCAGTAAGCTTTAACTTAACTACAAGACCCCCACATATGATAAAAAGATCCTTCTTTCTCTTTACATTTCCAGCACTTATTTGATTTGGATTTATACATTTTTGCCCTTTTACTTGGTGTTAGGTACCATCAATACATCATTTTCATATCATTTCCTCTTGGACCATAACATGCTGTAGATTTTATAACCATATTCCACAATCGTTCCCATGCTTCCATATCTATATTATGACCAATATCTATTGCCCAGTGTACGATTGAGAATTTTACTTGCTCATCCTTTGCCTCCCGTTCTTTTGGTAAAGGGGGAAGAATTGTTTTGTAAGAAAATGATTGACTTAGGGGAGGCAGGATTCAAATACGCTTCCTAACACTTTTGCTGCTTGTTCTCTACTCTCTCCCACCCCCCCGTCAACCCCTTTAAATACATTCACATATGGCAAATGGGATAGGATTGAGGATGCTGTGGCAGAAGTTATTACTACTACTACTAATTATTATTAAATTTAATTTATATGCCACTTATATGACAAAATGCCTTCTAACTGGTTTACATATATATAATACATATACGTATATAAAATACATAATTAAAATACAGTACACAATAACAATTTGATCAGAACCTTGTAAATTTTAATTAAGAATGTTTTAACAAAACAAACCATTTAAAAGCATGATGCTTAAAACACTTTAAGAAAAAAACACCCCTGTTAAAACAATGAAACCAAAAGTTCATATTCAGGTGAATGCTTGCCTAGACAGAGGTGTCTGCATGAGCCATCAGAACGTCCATACTGACTGATGGACCTTCTCAGCCAGTGAAAAATCCTTCCCCTGTGTTATCACAAGCAAATACTCATCAGACTGTGGCAAAAGGAACTGGCTTTCATTTGCAGATTGTCCTGCCCTTACTGAAAAATTTAGTGGAAGATGGATTTTGAGGTAACCTGGTCCAGAGTTATTTATGACTTTGTATGGAATTAGCAGGACCTTAAAACTGGCTTGGTGGTTACTAGGGAGTCAGTGCAGAGCCCAGCCCCGGTGTGATATGTGCTGGATTAGGAGCACCAAGCGCCAACTGGGCTGTGGCATTCTTCACTAGCTGTAGCCTCCAGACATTGCAGTTGTCTAGACGTGAGGTGGCCAGATTAGCCCTGGCCTGGAAAGGGTGCAGTTGACACTCAAGCTGAAGCTGTTTGCCTCAGAAGCTACCTAGGCATCCATGGACAAACCTCCGCAGGCCTGCTGAAGTCACCCAGAACCTGTTCAGGGATTCACCAACACTATGGTTAAGACCACCTCGGCCAGTTGAGGACATTGGGCAACAGGGTATGCAGTAGTCCAGCAGCATCACCAATCCGTCCTGCAGATCCAGGCACAGATGCAGGCCTTCAAGGTCCACTGCAGAGAGAAGGGGTGTTTTTTGGCAAGCCAAATGGATATTTTATGGATCATAGCAACGTACCCCCTTCAGCCTCCCAGCATTGGTTACTGCTGCATTGAGTACCCGGGGGGGGGGGGGCGGGCTAGAGCTGAGTCAAATCTCTTCACCCCTGGAGGTTCAGTTATACAAGCTCCTTCATCCATAAGTCAAAGCATACATAAATGTGGGCTCATTATGCACTGGCATAAAGACCTGGCACTGAACTCCAGTAAAACCAAGTTAGAGTTTCAGTCGGCACCAAGTCACCAGTTCCCTGCCAGGTAGGATCAGGAGAGGGAACAGCCTGAGGCCATTGTCCCCTTCGATCTCCCATGACCATACCATACCTTCCCCTCCCAGAGATACCATGTTGCAGCTGATGCTCATACTCCCCTCTGCAGCTGCACCGGGCTCACTCCAGCATATTCCACTGCTTTCACCTTTGCTGACACTGCGGTTATCTGGACAATTATTTGTCCATGCAGCCAGGAGCAGCTTATCTCAGCTCTCAGCAAAGCAGCTGCTCCCACCACTATTCTCCCTCTCACCAAGAGGCTTATGTTGAGCCCACACGCCACACTCTTGTCACTCCTGTCCAGTGTTCGAAATTAGCTGGGCGCCAGTTATGTTTTGCGACTGGCAACTGGCCTTTTGCGACTGGATGGAGATTTCCAGGAGCCACCCTTGGTGCCTAGCATCTCTGCCTGCCTGGCTGCAGTCAGCAGGTCTGCCGGGCATAGCGGCAGCAAAAGACATGTGTCTTGTTCTGCAGCTCCACCCCCGCCAAACACCTGATTTTCCCAGCAAGCAGCACAGCAGCAAAAAATGCACCTTTTTTGCTGCTTCACTACCCTGCAGACTCTGATTTTCATGACAGCATTTTTCCCCCGTGAGGCTGCCTGGTCTGGTAACGGGGCAGGGGGGGGGAAGGGGGGGGGAAGGAGCCTAGACATTTTGTTTGGGCAGCCACAAGCTAGGTCCCAGGAGCCACATGGCTCCTAGCATTCCTATCCCGTCTCCCACTCAGGAATGACCCATTCTCCCAAGTACAGATAGGTAGCCGTGTTGGTCTGCCATAGTCAAAATGAAAAAAAATCCTTCCAGTAAGGTGCTACTGGAAGGATTTTTTTTCCATTCTCCCAAGAATCACTTTCCTGTCTTTGGGAGCATGCTCAGGGATTGAAGTGGTGTAGATATGGCATAAGCGTGCTCTTCCCTTGTGTTCCTCATGTCCCACCCCTAACTTAGCCACATTTCAGCCATTCTACTGGTGTCTGTTTGCCAGAATAGTGGCTGTGTATTTGGGATTCCATTGTCACCTCAGATCTTCCATGGAATCCTGTGGCAGGTAGATCTCCAGATGACAACTCTGCCTTAAATTACATACTTGCTAAATTATTCATTATTTATTTCCTTCCATTTATGAATCACTTCCTGCAAAACATCTTGAAGCAATAGAACAATAAACACATACGAAGCAACTTACACACAGTGTACGGTAGTCTTTATGGGAGTATATTGTATTTAAATATGGAGTATCAGAGTTTTTAGGGGGTTGACCAGACTGGGATAGCTGGGATAGCAGGCTTGTTGGTTTTTGAATGTCTGATGTAGATTTTTTCAATTTCGTTGTTTTGTATGGGACAATGACAATAAAGATTATTGTATCGTATAAAGACAATTAAAATAATTTCTTACACAAGTTCAAACCCAGTAAGACATAGATTGCATGTCACAAATGATGTACCTACTTGAAATTACAAATTTACTAATCTAATTACAGATTATATATTCAATTACATCTTGCCCGCTTGCCAGGATTAAGGTGTTTTATGAACATTCACATCTTGTTTATTATAAGTAATAAGATGTGAAGGTCAAACGCGTCCATAAAGTAAGACCTGTGACCACTGCTTGGTCAGAGTTCACTTAAGCTAAGTAATATTTGGGCTGGATGTCTTTGAATTGGAGCATTTCACACCTTCACATTTTCACAGCACTTTGAGGCACTTCACATAAACACGATTTCAAGTATGCATGGTATCTTCCTGTTTAGATCAAATCTTCTGTAGCTGAAGATGCTGGGAATATATGGAAGACGTATCAGCGGCAGACATCACTGCTGACAGCAAGCAGGTGGACTTGTTTATTCTCACACAAGTTTGAAATGCTTATTTTATGATGGAAAGACCACTAGATGGTACTGTTACCCTTGACATTTCTTCAGGGAAATTATAAATTGAAATGGAATTTCCCACAGGTTTCATGCAAAAGTTAACTTCAGCCGAGTGGGCAGAATTTCTGTTGAGTTCTGCTGCCACCTCCCTCTAAGAGGGTCACCTTCTGGTTGCCTCACCTCAAAAAGAATACTGTTGTACAGTGGGAAGAGGTTCAGAAAAGAGTAACCAAAATGAACAAGGGGGTGGAGCAAGTCCCCCGTGAGGAAAGATCACAACATTTGGGCCTTTATAGTTTAGAGAACATGCGAGCAAGAGGCGACTTTATAGAAGAGTATAAAATTATGTGTGGCATGAAGAAAGCGGATAGAGAAAAGTTTCTCCCTCACTCACTTCATCACTCTCTGATGAAGCTGAATGTTGGAGGATTGGGAGAGACAAAATAAAGTACTTCTTCACACAGCACAGTAGTTCAACTATGGAATTTACTCCCAGAGGAAGTAGTAATGGCTGCCAGCTGGGATGGGTTGAAAAGAGGATTGGGCTGATCCATGGAGGATAAGACTATCCGTGGCTGCTAGCCAAGAAGGCTAGGCTCTGACTTCATGGTCGGAAGCAGTCGTGTTCTGAATGCCAGTTGCCGGTGCCCGTGGGTCCCATGGGCATCTGGTGAGAACAGGATTCTGGAATAAATGGGCCCCTGACCTCATCCAGCAGAGCTGTTCTTATGTTCTTAATATCTCCTGTACCTTCTGCAGCAAGCCAGCGTCTCAGGATTTCAGTTAGAAGATATCAAGCCCAAATGTTATGTAACTTACATAAACTCTGGCTAAGCAATAGCCCAGAGGGCACAGCCTTTTATACATGGGTTAATCTGATAGTCACATTTCATTGATCTTATTATTTATTTATTTTATAATGTATACCACTTAATATAATAAAATGCCTAAAAACTACATCATTCAATAAAAATTCCTAAAAACTGGATAAAAACATAACGCTGTTGTCTGTCACAAATAAAACTGCGCAGTTTACAAAGCAAAAACTAAATTTAAGAGGCCAGGAATCCATGGGGACACATTTCATTTTAAAAGAGGTGTTTCAGGGCATAACTGGTACCGCCTCATAAGTTACCCAAGGGAGGGCACTCCAAAGGATGGGTGCGATGACCAAGAAGAACTGCTTCTGTGTTGTTGCCAAGTGACAATCTGCTGATTGGACTCAATCTGCTGGACTCAAGGGAAGTGGCCCTTTGGCAGACTTTAAGGGGATGGGCAACTCGTGGTCGACAAGTGGAATGAGTTCTGCATTCTGCTGCCAGGATATATGAGCTAGTCAGGAAAGGGGGAAAGGGACAATAAAAGGATGGCTAGTGAGGCTAACTGGGATGCTACTGGCAGGGCTGGCCTGTCAGGCAAAATAAGAAAGGTTCCCATAGGTTGCCAGAGGCCAAACCACTGGGGCAGTGGAGTGGCATGCAGCCATTGTTGCTGGCACAGTCCCTGGTAGGTGGGCACTGGCAGAGTTATCAGGGGGGCTCTGGAGCCATTTCCCTGCCATGTCTACTTGTGTGTATTTCCCCTCCCAGATGAGCACACATTGGATAACAGCATAATGTGAATATAGGATTCCTTCTTCTACGTATGTAAAGGCAATAATTAGCATCTGTTCTAATTACTTTGCGTATAGGTTAAGAAAGAATTTTAGTAGTCAGTTAATGGTTAACCTCATAGTTGTTGATGCTGCTTAAAATTAATGGTCCTAAAAATAACTGTTCAGAAATCATTCTGAACCTCCACTCAGGCTGCAGGAAGGTTGTTGATGTTAAACCTGTGAAAGAAGACAATGAGATTTATTAGATGGTGGTGGGGAATTTCACAACAAGGTTCAATTTGCTTGAGGATGGAACTGCAAAAAGAAAAGAAAAAGGCACTGTAAGAGCATTTATTGAGTTACTTCGAATGAGCTAAGATGGGAAGAGAGGTACCTCTCTCCTGAAATAAGATACTTGGAATCTTGTAGTCTGTTTTCATAAAATAACAGTTTTGAGCTGTTGTGGTCCTTAGAATGTGAAACTGAGGTTTCAAAATCTTACAAAAAGACAGCAGTTTTTAATAGACCTTATTGTCAATCTGTGTTTTCACTCAAATGCCCTCCATTGATGTAGATTTCTTGTTTTTTGTCTGACATTCCATTCAATAGAAATCTCTTTAAGTGCAGGCAGCCAGGCAGCCAGCAGGGGGCGCTATGTGGGTGGTATATCTGTGAGTTTGCCTGTCTAAATCCTACATGTGGCTCATTTACTAGACTTCTCCCAAATAGCTTGGTAGATTTCCAAACAAGTCTCTTTTGAGTGAGGATGAATAGCACACAATGTGCTAAGGTTTGCAGCATGTGGTATTTTTTATTATTTTAAATTAGGCAATGGAAGAAGTGCACTGCGATGAGAAGCAGAAAGCTGGCTTTGAGATTCCATGTTCCCTGTCTTTGTTTTTGATTTTGTTTGAATACACACACACACACACACATTTTAACCTTTGAATGCCATGGGATGTTTCTGAAGTTGGAGGAGCCCCCGTAATGCCTCCTTCATCCAAAGGACTGTCTGCAGGTGAGATAATGGCTGGAATCTGAGCATAGTAGCACACGAGAGTCCACATGCATGTTGAGTTGAACTGTACAGTGCAGGATCCTGTGTGTGTTTTTCTGTGTGCGTAAATGGACATCTGTTATCTGGAATGCAGCAAAAACTGCCCAGTACTGAACATGCTCCCATACTGTCAGAGGCATAATGTTAGATTTAATTGGAAAGTTTTTGCAACAGTCTTTGAGATATTTCTATGGGAAGATGTTAGAAAGGGAGAAGGAGCTTAGGAGTTTTACTGCAGTTGTATATCTTTAAAAGGGTGTTGGAGTTTTAGCAGTCAAAGGGAAGGATCTTCTGTCTGAAATCAGGGATTCCAGCCAGTTGGCAGCCAGACCAGAAGTCGTGCTGAAGCGAGACATATGCTTTTAGCTCTGTGGAACCTTCTTGAGAAGGTGACCCTCTGGACTGAGCTTGCTTGGACATCAGGTTCCCCCCCGTCAGGTCGCATATGGATTTGAAGCATAATCTCTGCACTGAAACACCAACAGAAAGCATAGTTGAAGGTGTTGCTTCTGGGATCTAAAGACCTGCTTCATTCAAAGCTTCAGTGAAAATCCTATTTGCATTTCAAAAATCTAAAGTGCCATTGTATTTATTCTCTTTAAAATATTAAAAAGACATTTTCTTCCAGCCATTGCAGATGGTGTTCACATCCTATGGTAGATATTAGCAACTGTCAGCCTGTGGGCCAAATTCATCCCCATAGGAGTATTTTTTGGAGCTGTGCTCCTATGGTAGAGTGCCTGCTTTTTGTATATGAGCTTCCAGGTCCAATATTTGGCATTCCAGATAAAAGGCAGTCGTGCTGGGGAAGCTGCTGCTTATTGGAGTAGATGGACTAAATGGACTTGGCATGTGGAAGCTTCATATATTCCGTTGTCTGAACCTTAGTTTGTTAATTCAGAATTGTGGAGTCTGAGTAGCAAAGAGCTGTGTTGGCAGTTCACTGGGGAGTACATTACACAGCCCCTTCAGTAAAATTAGTTGTTGAACAATTTTGGGCAGAGGGAAATACAAAGCAGTAAGTAATGGAGTAAGTAATGATAAATACAGTATTTCAGAAGAAGAGGAAGAGTTGGGTTGAACTCCATTGCGGGCTACATCTACAAGCAGAGCAACAGAATTATACTTCTGCAGTCATAATGCACATGAAAGTTATAGAGACTGGGAGATAATTTAATTTTCCCCAAGTTCAAAATACATCACTTTGTCTGCTAAGAAAATGTGAGATCCTGAGAATTGTTCTGTATGTGGAGATTGTTCACTGACTAGTTATCCAGTAATGTCTCAGGAGGAAATTATTAACTCTGTACCAAGGGAGAGGAACAAAAAAAGTGGGGAAAGCAATTTAAGTATTTTAAGACTCTTGTAACAGTTGGTAGGAGAGAGACCTGAGAGAACTTCAGTCAGTTTACTGCCTATGATCCTTTGTGGTCATGCAGTCCTTTTTCTCTTGGCAATAATCAGCTAGAAACAGAAGTTTGCCATCATTGAGTAACTTAGCTGCAAATAATTTTGTTTGGGTGATTTTTCTCCTAGTTCTGCCATTTGAAGAATGAGCTCTGCAGAGAGTAATTGACCTACAGTCCCTTTTACTGGAAACAGAATTAACACCTGCATCCACGATGACTGTCCTTTACACATTTATTCCATTCAGTTTCAAGAGGAATATTTTCTATTTGTAAACCAAGGAAAAGTTGAGCAGAAAGCAGCATCTCTCCAGTTGACTGGGAGTGTCCCTGTCCGAAAATGTGGAAAAGGCTACAATGACTAGCAAACTTTCTAGTTTTGCTTAATTGAAACCTGGATTTGCTATTGCTTCTTCTAATAGCATCCAGATGCTCCCATGTCTGTGGGAAGGGAAGCAAACTGGAATTGCCCTCATACAAAGTAGGGATTTCAGTGGACCCCTCAGGTATACAGAAAAATATATGTTTGTAAAATTAAAAACAAAAGAAGAAAAATCCAAAATGGCCCTTAATATCATGTAAGGGAACAATCCAAGGGAAACCTTGGTCAGTGGTATCCAGCGAAGCAGTTCTGCTAGTTCAAGTACTTTTATCTGTCCAGTGGAACTTCCCTGCCCTCTCACCTCCCTCTGTGGCTCAAGGAGGACAATGAGCAAGTCCAGAGCAGAGTATCAATGGGGTGGGGGGGTGTATTGGCCAGCTAAATTACCCTGTAAAGGTTTGTCAGAGCTCAACCCCTTAATCTGCTCTGGGGGTCCTCCCTCCCAACCCTCCAGAGAAGTTTTATGGCACATGCAGGGAGCTGAGAGGACAGGGAAGTTCCATTGCACAAGCAGCTAAAAGCAGAACCTCCAAGTCTCCCTGTTTTCCAGGGATGCCCCTGATTTAGAGAAGCTGTCTTGGTTTCTGATTTGATGCTGGAATGTCCTGCTTTTCCTTAGGACGTCCCTATTTTCATTGGAGAAATGTTGGGTGTATGGAGTTATCTGACCCCCCAAGCCGTCTGAAGGCATTCCTGTACAATATAGGGAAGGTTTTTTAATGTTTAATAGTAAAATTACCATTATGGAATGGGACGTCCCTACGTTCATCAGAGAAATGTTGGAGGGTATGCTAAAAGTCCTTGCAGCAGCAGAACTGTTCAGTTGAATACTGACCACGGTTTCCCCTGGATTGTTCTCTTAACTTGGTGATTAGTTTTATAATTTGTTTATGAAAGTGTAAGAAGAAAACACAAATTATCATGTGTATTATCTTCCTTGATTTTTTTTCTTTCTCAGTGATCAAAGTATGATGCAATAAGTGCAGTTTTTCTCTTGGGATTTACATATTTCAATTCAGGAGAGAATGAGTCCAAAAGCCACATTCATGGCTGAGGTAACATTTGAATTGGAAACTTCTCATATTCTTAGTAACTGCACTGAGAGAAAGAGAGGTATAGTAGTTAAGGCATAGTATAGTAGTTAAAAGCATTGAACCAGAATCATATCCACATCATACATTTAAAGCGCACCACCTTAACAGCCATGGCTTCTTCCAAAGAGTTGTGGGAACTGTGGTTTGTTAAAGCTGCTGAGAGTTGCTAGGAGACCCCCTCACAGAGCTACAGCTTATTGCACCGTGGGCAGACTACAGTTCCCAGGGTTGTTTGGGGGGAGGAGGAGCCACGAGTGTGAAGGTGGTCTCAGAGTGTGCGAAATGTATGGCCTGGGTGGGAACCTAGGGTTGGGGAGGCAAAGCTCACGTTCCCCCTCAGGCATGAAATTCACCCTGTGACCCTGGGTCAGTCACTTTCTCTCAGTCCAGCCTTCAGGGTTGGATGGTATGAGCGTAAGAAGGACGGGGGAAAGAACTGTGTGTTCTGCCTTGAGCTCCGTGGGAGAAGAGGGGATATAAGTGTAATAAAGATGGAAATAGAAACACTAGCTCAACTCTCCCTTGTTCATGTTACGAGAAAACAGTAAAGAGCAATCTTCTTCCTACTATTTTACAGTAGTAGTCCCCTTTATTTGCTCAACCCTTGGGGAGGCACGGCGCTCTACAGCTGTGCAAGAATGGCCTCTCTAACCCTGTCCTGACTGCACAGACAGCTGCCCTCCAGGGTTTTAGGCAGGGATCCCTCCCGGAGATGCTGCGGTTGCTCCTGGAGCTTTTGCATGCAAAACAGAAGCTGTGCAACTGAGCTATGGCCCTTGTGTGTTAAATGTTATTGTGCTAATTAGAGTAGTGGCTGAAAGGTGACTATAACAATTAAGTGGATGGGTCTGTCTGCTCTCATTTTCGGTTTGATGTATTAGTGCAATAAGAACTATGATGTACACACTTCTGTAGTCCTGGGATTCAGCTGTACAGCTGCAAATAAAACATTTTAAGTGTGTTTTAAGTGCAATATAGAATGTGACACTAGATGGCAATGGTGAGCCTTATGGAAAATTCAATGTATTTTAAAAAACGCTTTTTTTAAAAAAAAAGCATTTTCAGAATGTTTTTTTATATGTTTGTGGATTCTACCCTGGTCACAAAACTTGCTAAACAGAAATACCAGAGTAAACTTGTATCCAATGTTGTCATGCAGATTTGAATGGAAAATGAGTATGGCATAGTATTAATTCTGTATAGGCGAGACCACTTCAGGAGGCATTATCAGGTACAGATTAGATTGTTTTCTTTATTGGCATATCTGCAGTTATTTAAACTACAGCATCTTCTCCTTTAAGTATAAGTGACATGGCCTGATTTCTAGACTTTGTGTGAATCACCATTAAATTGGCCTACAATATTTTTTGAAACACAATTAGAGTTACTCCATGAGAGAGAGAAAATATTACAAATATGCCTCTTGCATGATTGATCCATGTCATCACTTTTTGGTGGTAAGCTTTTGCAGCATAGCTATAGTCCTCTAATATCCTGTCAGCGTTTGATCAGCTATTGAGATGTCTAAAGCTTATGAGAAGCTGGAGGCATCACTGTGGTTTCCAAGAGCAGAGAACATCCGCTTCTCGAAATGGTTCTCCTCCTGCCAGGTATGCTTCCTTCCATGGTGGGCACACAGTTGTTCAGTAGGAAGTTCGGGTTAGGCTAGGAACATCTGGATAGATGGGAAATGCTCCCTCCTTGTCTTGCAGACACCTCAATATTGCTTTGCTCAACCAAAAATAAATTGGAAAAGAAAATTGGACATTGCATCAATTTGGAGCAAGTTTATAAATTCTACAGCTAAGCAATCCCAATAGAAAATGATAGATCGGCAGCAAACGTGCAGTCCTTGTGGTGATGTATAGTCGCATTAGCTGAAATGCCGTATTACATGATTCTGCTTTATTACCAGTGTTGGTGGCAGACAGAAAAACAGATTACACTTGAGATCAAATCGATAGGAACTTTATTTACTGGCCTTTTAAAAACATATTTCGGCACTTTATAAAAACATACGGTAGATGCTATTGATAGAGCTTGTCTGCTTGTTAAAAAGCAATTTACCCACAGCGATGTTTTTAAGCTGCAATTTATGGCATTACCTTTTACCTACTCTTCCACATTTCTCTTTTTATCATTGCATTTGACGACTTCCTCAGAGGGCTCTGTGGACTCTGGCCCTGTTCACTTAGGTCAGTAGCGTCTTCTTCCCGGGATATGTTTGGTTTCTCTTTTGCCTCACTGTTGTAATTAGAAGAAAGGTACCACGTATTAAGTGGTTGCATGTATGTATTTGGCATTCCCCCCAGTTAGCTGCACAATAACCATGTGAAGCACCACATACACTAGGAAAAGAAACCCAAGTTTTGGAATTGGAACATTTGTGCTACTTTAAGCAAGGATTAATTCATTGCGGGAACGTCATTTGAACAGTTAACAATTTGCTGTCCAGCGTAAAAAAGAATATTCAATTCCTCCCTCAGCAGCCCCAACTGCTTTTTCTCTAGTGGGTGCTACTTCTATTCTTGGAGCTCCAGCAGAAGAAAAACAGCTGGAGGACAAGGCAGGAAGAAAACTCAGACAAGAAACTCTTCCAACAACCTTAACATGATTTAAATCATATTCCCACCACTGTTTTAAAGGGATTCAGCTACAATCCATTTCTGACACACATGTCTGAAGCTGTCCCATTTATTTTTGCTTTCAGTATCTCAAAAGAAATTGATAAAATAAATACTTTGATCTCATTAATGACTGCATTCACCTGTAACCATGTACTAAACTTTTTGGCTTGTTCTGGTTTCTTGTGCATGGGAAACCATGATAAAGCAGAAAGTCTGGCTTGTTGTTAGGTGTGAACACAACCATTGAGGGCTCCTTCCAGGTTTTGTCTAACAATGTGTTTAGCCTTCAAAGGATTCAAGTGGGATACTTCCAGAGCTAGACAAGCTTTTCCTGGATTTAATTTCATATTCTTTCAGTACAGAAAACAGCAACTAACAAATGGTATGTAAATTATGTGCATGGACCTATTTTTCAAACCCAGGGAGATATTAAAAGGAACAGTATATGTGTATGAAAGTATGTATGTCTGTACAGTATGTATGTATGTATTTATTTGACTGACTGATTGATTCCTGTGCTGTTCTGTATCACATGTGATCCCAGAGTGGGTTCCAAATATAATATACATTCCAAATATGCTTATACAATGTTGCAGTGTTGGCATCTGCCTGTCCTGAGAAACAACAGAACATGCCTCCATGGATTAAGTCAAACCTCTGGAGGGTCATAGTGCTTGCTGTGGCTGCAGAGACTGGTAACTCATAACTGCTGCCTCCATGTTGTTTTTTACCTCCCTGGGGCACAAGTTTGGGCAGTGTGACTTGCAAAAATTGGAACAATTCAAAGAAGCAGTGACTGATCCAAGGTCACCCAGTGAATTTGGGCCAGTCACCACCTCTCTGTCTAACCTACTTCACAGGGTTGTTGTGCGGACTGAATGAGGAGGAGTGAGAACCTTGAGCTCCCTGGAGAGACTAAAGGTGGAATATAAATGTTATGCATACATACATACATACATACATACATACCTACCCAGTACCAATACCCAACACACTACCAAACAAAATACAATGGAGGCAGGCATAACCTCAATTTTATGTGAACCTCATATAAAAATATGTCCCCAAGAGGAGTAAAGTGTACCATAAGAAAACAAATTTTACTAGCCTGTGCAAGATGGTTAAAGACAGGGCCTGGCAAACTTTATGGGGCAAATTATTACACAGTTTGTAGTTTTATTCATGTTAATTATTTCCTTATAATTTCTCTCTATTTGTGTCATACTGTGGCCTGAATGAATTGGGATAGTTGAGTGTAAATGGTCATAACTTATTCCAGAAATTTGAACTGGAAGATTTTTCAGAATTAAAATAATCTTGCTGCTGGATTCTGTGGCCTTTCTGAATGAAATCTCAGTATCTTCTGTGCTACCTCTTTTTAAAACAAACATAATTTATGCTTGTTCTATGGAGAAGAATGGAATTACCTGAGATTTTAATAGCCAACAGTGAAGTACTTTGCATTTCCCAGATAAATGGCACATAAAGAATTGTGTTGGTGCAAGCAGAGCTGAGCAGCTTGTGCCTCTTATGATAAGTACCTCCTTTCATGAACAATCTTGGCAGAAATGTCACTTCATATCCACATTATTACCTACACGCTGACCAGACACTTAACTACCCCAGACAAACACATTCCACCCCTCCAGGCAGGATAGGCGGAAGGAGAGATGTGAAAGACCTATTAGGTCATGCACAGCCCGTTTCTCCAGTTCTTAAGCGTGCATTTAGGAAAGAGATTTGTGCCTCTCAAAGCTTGAAGGATGTTGATGGTTTTTACTTTGATCCCTGCAAACAGTATACAGTAATCAAAGCTTAAGCCGCCTTGGATGAAATAATTGCTTAACAATCATATAAAAACAAAATGATTCAACAAATGACAATTAGGACTTGTGATATACAGAACAGATGCATTCAGCGTACCATATTTAATGTGCTAATTCAAGATTGACAGCACAATAATAGAAGAGAACAGCTACTCAGCCTATAATTCTAAACTAAATGTGAGGCTGTCCACAGAACTCAAATCCCAACAGGCTGTAAAATTAGAGGTAACATGGCACAAGGGTCAAAAAGACTCATTAACAGGTTGGCTGTGAATTTTAGGGGGTGGGAAATTTCTAATGCTTGAATTTGTCTAAGCTATGTCTTTGTAACTTCTAAGTCCAAAAATACCTTGTGAGTATCTATACTGATGAAAACACTGAGTGGAGAGTGATTTCTCCTCACTCAAATGCATCTTAGCAACAGCAACTGTCTTTAACACCCCATTACTAGAGGAGGAATTTGCCGATCCAGTGCAAAAGCTTCCACAACTTGGTGTCAGGAAACCAAGGCAAATCGGTTAATGTTACTTGAAAGGATTAGATAGATTAATGAGACAACAGAGTTAAGAACCACATGAAATTAAGACTGATATGCACAGGAAACCCTAATTGGCATTCCCCATGGGTGTTGGAGAGTCCCCAGCCCCTAAATGCTATTGATGGGTGATGGGTGCCCCTGTAGCTCTGTCTTTGACAATTAAAGCAAAATGGCTTGTGCCTGTCTCTATTCAGGCGAAGTAGGAGAAAGGAACATTTGCTAAACTGGCAGACTGCCAATCTATTTTGAACCTTGTCGCCAGTGTCACTTTGTAGAACAACCAAGAGTTGATGAGCTATTTGCATGAAGAAAATATATACCCGGGAATACTGTCTAAATGCTTCCTTATATCATTGCCACTCACATCACATTGGCATTTGCAAAAAGATCTCTCCATCTTGATCAGGTATATCGCATCATCCGTTTACTGCCTGCCAGTCCTACCTTGCCCAGGATCCGCTGTGTTAATTGAAGGAACACTTCACCATAATAAAGTGGATGCAGAGTTATAGGGCAATGCCTGCCCAGTCGCCAGTATTCCCTTTCAAGGCAACAACGTTGGAGAGATTAGTGGCCAAACAGCTTCAGATGTTTTTGGAGATAATTGATCATTTAGACTTACTCCATCCTTGTTTCAGACGTGGGTTGGGGACAGAAGCAGCATTGGTTACTCTTGCTGATGATGTTCTTTGCCCAATTTGATTTTTCTGGATCCAGCAGCTTTGGATACCATCAACTGTGGTACCTTGTCCTTTGCCTCCAGAATCACTGCACTGATTCTGCAAGATGGGCTTCAGAGAAACAGTGATACTGGGGCTGGCCCAATGCACTTTGCTGCTGCAGGCAAAGGACAAGGTGCCCCTGCCCACATTCCACATACAAAAGCACATTTTTCTTCTTTTTAAGTAGACTGTTAATTTCACTGGTTGAGGGAGGCAGTCATTCCCACATGGTTATCTGCCGCAGACGTGTGAGACCCACCCAGACGCTTGGTGCCTTGCAGCAGAGTAGACTCTGAGGGTAGAAATGGGACTTGTGGGGCAAATACAGCCCCTGTGCTACAAATGGTGTGTATGTAGGGAGGGCTTATAAAAGGCTTTTGCATGGGCGGAAGCAAACCCAGAAATTAGTAAATAGGATTACGAAGGGAAGCTGCGGAGCAATAGTATTCTTGTGGCTAGATACCAGAGATTGGGCTTGGTATAGTCAGGGCCGTCTTAAGCATATGCAGCACTAGGGTGCAAAGATCCCTCCGGCGCCCCCGCCCCCTGTTTCCCAGAGTTGTTGACCTTTTTAGGAAAGGCTCCCCAGAGTTCTTGACTTTTTTGGGGGGGGGGGGAGCTGATACCACGCTTACACATTATCTCTAACAAGCCCTTAGAACAAAATAAAATGAAAAGGCAGAAGAAAATCTAATGAAGTCCTCAATTCCAAAGCAAGACTCATTCAAGACTCAGCAGTTCTTCTAATTCATCCACATGATTCAAATCACATAGCAAAAAGTTAAAGCAATCACCAGTTTGTTGTTCTTTAAATAAATTAATAAAGACACAGACATTGAAGTTCCTGGTCAATTTGTGTTTAGTACAAAGCTGACGTTTTCAAATATTGTGGGGTGTGGGGGTGGGTGTAAAGCAGTGACATCCTGAACCTAAAAAGGACCCAAAACTTGGGTCACAAAGGCTGCAGCCCTAACTGCACTTTGTTGTTGTTTAGTCATGTCCGACTCTTCGTGACCCCCTGGACCAGAGCACGCCAGGCACTCCTGTCTTCCACTGCCTCCCTCAGTTTGGTCAAGCTCATGCTGGTAGCTTTGAGAACACGGTTCAACCATCTCGTCCTCCATCGTCCCCTTCTCCTTGTGCCCTCCATCTTTCCCAGCATCAGGGTCTTTTCCAGGGAGTCTTCTCTTCTCATGAGGTGTAACTGCACTTAGCTGAGAGTAAGCCCTGCTGACTCTAATAGGACCTTACTTCTGAGTAGACAGTAGGACTGCAGCAAGAAACACAGTTGGGAATTAGAGCTTTCTGTTTTAAGTCTCAACCAGAGGAAAATGTAATACAGTGGTACCTCGGGTTAAGAACTTAATTCGTTCTGGAGGTCTGTTCTTAATCTGAAACTGTTCTTAACCTGAAGCACCACTTTAGCTAATGGGGCCTCTCGCTGCTGCCGTGCCACCGGAGCACGATTTCTGTTCTCATCCTGAAGCAAAGTTCTTAACCTGAGGTACTATTTCTGGGTTAGCGGAGTCTGTGACCTGAAGCATCTGTAACCTGAAGCGTCTGTAACCCGTGGTACCACTGTATTGGAGATTAGGGAGAAAGGAATATGAAAAATTGGGGGGAGGGGGCTGACGAGAGACCAAAAACCTCAGGTAGCAAGACAAGGCACACTTTCTGGGGAGCAAGTCTCACACACAATTGCTTGGGGCGAGGACTGCAAAGGGACCATAGTTGGGTTGTGCATGTGTGTTTCTTTTTCAGAAAAACTTAGAATTGGAAGGGACCCTGCGGGTCATCTAGCCCAACCCCCTGCAATGCTTTTTAGCTTGCATTGATCTCAAAAACCTTCAGTGCCTTTTTTTTTAGTTGGATAGGCAATTAACAGGCTTGTTTCACAAATAAAGGAGAAGGAGGGTTGCTGGCTTGGTTTGGTTTGCCTTTGTTCTAGTTTCTAGCATGTGCTTAGTACGTAGTTTCAGGCTGTGAGTCGCCCTGATATCTGTGGGGGGAGGGCAGTAGTAGTAGTACTAGTAGTAGTAGTAGTGATGATGATGATGATGATGATGATGATGTTTTTCACAGGGCTCGGAGTGAGTGGGTGATGGTCAGCTGCTGGAATGAATGGGGTTGGTGCTACAACCTTGCTTTACAACCCCTAGGGACCTTGTTGGGGGGGGCGGAGAAGGAGCCCACCCCCGAAGAAGAAGAAGAAGAGCGAAGGGAGGAGGCTTTCCTTCCCCAGGATAGAGTTGCCTGTAACATTCAACACAGGGCACGATTCCAGGGGGAGAGAGAAACCAGGGCAGCAGCTGCTGCTACTCATGGCTTGGGCTAGATGTGGCTGCAAACCCACTGCGGAGGCTCAGCGGCCGGCTAGAGGAGGAAGAAAGGGGGCAAGTCAGGGGCTCCTCTCTTCTTCTTCTTCTTCCTTCCTCCTCTTCCTCGTGCTCTGCTTCCCCCTTGCCATTGCCCGCCTCCCTCTTCCCACATGGCGGGTGGGCAAAAGAGAGAGAGAGAAAGCGAGCACTGCACACCATCCAGCCATATAGTTGGTGGAGTGCAGCTTCCATCCTAAGCCTCTGCAGGGATCACTCTCCTCCCGCGGAGGCTTGGGAGGTAAGCTGCACGCCCGCCAGCCATGTGGTTGGTGAGGCGCAGCTGGTGGGTACAGCGAAAGGGGAGGCCGCCGGCAAAGCTGTGCAGCTCCCCCACTCGCTAGGGCGCCCCTGAGAGGCCAGCGCCCTGGCGCAACGAACCACTAAGCCCTATGGGAAAGACGGCTCTGAGTATAGTGTCTATGTCTTAATGACCCTGACCTTGAGCAGTAGTGTAGCCCAAGTGGAATAAAAGGCCTCAAGTGAGCTCCAAGTGACCTCAGAGCAAGTTGTTTTCGTGGAGCTATTCAAGATCCTGCAACTTTGGGGAGTCCATTGCATCCTGTGGATTCCAGCTCATGGTCAGCATAGAATGCGTTAGCTGTGTGATGGGGACTTAATGGAGTACCCCTGACTGGCTTTCATGGGAAGGGGATCTCTTTTGGTGGCTATGTTTACTGGTAGAAACAAGGAATCATTCTGATAGTAGCAACACATTGCTTCTTTCCATCCTTTGCTCAGGTGGATTTGGAAGCAGTTTGTGATGGTTTTGTCTGATGACTGGTGACAGCAGAAGCCTGATAGGTTTGGAAAATGTATTTTGGGTTTCTGGAATCCTGTGTAGCATGCTAGAATTCCTTGGCAGCGGAATTGATGCAAACAGGGTTCCAAGAAAGTAGAAGGTTTGCAAATAACTGAGGTTCCATCCCATGGGGCTTGATATGAGTGCCACAAACACAGCAGGCCTTCTGAGGTTCACGCCCCCTCAAGACACCTGCACCCTCCTACACCTTGGAACAATATGCCGCAATCTGCTTGTATACACTCACTAGGGGTGAAAGGAAACTCCATTGCTATCCCTTCCCCACCCCCACCCCAGTTGTACAGTGGCCAAGTTCTTTAATTACTTCATTTCAGTAATTTCTGCAACACATACATAAAAGATGTACATGAGATATGAGTGGAGCACAAGCAGACACCAGTAGGGGGTTTCATTCCCCTCCCCCAGGAAGTTTCTACAATAAAATTGCTGTATATTGTTCTTCCAAGAGGTGGGAGACGGTTGAGTTCTAAAGTGACATGGGCCTCAAAAGCCCCATTGTGGGTGTGGAACTCACAGTTCACCTGGTTTTGTCCAAGTTTGCTCAAACATAGACATCTTTATTCTGTTGCAGTAGATGGTGGAGTATGGAAGAGACTGCACTTTACAAGATCATTGTATCCAACAATTAGGTTGAGAGGTGACCAACTCCATCTGAATCCAGGATCTATTCAGATATACTTTTGGTGCTGGCTGCTCAGAGTTACTGCTTTCAGCAATGAATAAACTAGATTCCACAGAAATCACTAGCATTACAGTTTTTACCAGTGCTATTTTTCTAGAAAAAGAGGTGCCAGAACTCACCATGAACACCTCCCCCATTCTCTTAGAATGGCAATGGCGCCCACCTGGGAGGTGCTGGAACTGAGTTCTGGCAAGTTCCGGCTGAAAAGAAGCCCTGATTTTAACACTTGGGGGGCATCAAGTGCCTATGATAGAAGATCTGCAGCTGATGGAAAACCTTACAGCAGCAGAAGTCGAGTTAATAATGAAGAAATAAAATGTGTATGTCTTGTCTGTGAGTAGCAGTGGGGGATAAATTCAATTCAGTTTTTATTTAAAGGCGAAATTCACACTTCTCCTGTTTTTGTGATGCAGTTCTCCATCCAGGTAATGTGTGCAAAAATGCATGTATTACGTTAAGTGTTCCTAAAATTCACATATTAGTGAAAATAACACACAAAATGCATTATATTGCAGAAATCTGCTTGAAAAATATGTATATTAATCAAAACTGCATATAAAATGTGTTTATTAGGAGAAATCCGCACTAAATGCTAGTTTTCATGAGGTTTTTCCTAAATTGGAAATTGCTGCAGAAATGTGGAAAACTGAATTTATGATTGCAAAAATGAGATACTGAAAGAGCCTCAAGTGACAGAGTCATCCATCCTTTCTTCATGACCCTGTTCCGCAAGTGGTCTGGAGGGTGGCAACACGAGAACAGGCCTTTTCTGTGGTGGCTCCTCATTTGTGGAATGCTCTTCCCAGGGAGGCTCACCTGGTGCTTTCATTGCATATCTTTAGGCTCTAGGGGAAGAAGAAGTAATCTCTTTAACCAGGGCTTGGGTTGATTAGCATTCTATGTACTTTTAAATATGTTTATGGTAGTAGTAGTAGTAGTAATAATAATAATAATAATAATAATAATAATAATAATTTATTATTTGTACCCCGCCCATCTGGCTGGGTTTCCCCAGCCACTCTGGGCGGCTTCCATAGAAACCAAAAATACACTAAAATATCACACATTAAAAACTTCCCTGAACAGGGCTGCCTTAAGGTGGGGGGGGGGTTATTGGTTTATTTTTGGTTTTGACTATGTATTTTCTTTTCTCATTTTTTATTTTTATGTACTGATCTTCAGATGAAGGGCAGTACACAAATAAATAAATAAAATAACATCCCATTTTGTGAGGTTGAACCTGATTGGGCATCCTACTGCCGGAAAAGGGGAGGGTCATCTCTGACTGAGCGCTGAGTGTCCGTCCCAATGAGACAGAAGTGCTGGCAGAGAAGGGGGCCAGGAGTGCAGCAGGCTGCTGTGTGGCGAACCCTTTTCCTGCAGCCTTCTGTGCCCTTCCTCCTCCTCCCCTGCTTCCTGTTTGCCTTCTTACAATCCTTTGACAGAAATGAGTAACTCTGCTAAATTAGGGGGATCCTCCTTTGTTGCCAAGCAGCCTGCGAAAGTCCTGGGGTTTTCTAGCTCCTCTCCAGCTGCCACTGTGATGGATTTTCTGTTTTACTGGGGGTGGAGTGAAGAGGAGGATCTCAATTAGACAGTGTGGGGTGGGAGGTGGAGGGGGGGGAGAGGAGATTATTTTGGAGATGTATTCCCTGCCTACAAATTGCAGTTTTGAATGTGACAAGTTATAAAACACTTGAGTCATCTTTCTCTCTTTCACCTCCACTGCAAGAGGTGAGACTGCTAATTCCCCCCTTCTTCCCCCTCTTTGACTTTCTGCAGCCCACACTTGGGTATCTCTGTTTATGTAAGCTGCTCAGGTTCTGCTGAGCCACTGAGAGAAGCTGCTGTCAGTTCCGAGGAAAGCCCACGTCTGCCCACACAGGAACTCCCAGGCAGGGTTGTGTAACAAGAGGGAGGAGGGGCAGGCAAGCAGCCCTGGCGCTGGAGCAGGCTGGCCTTCGCTTGCTTAGAGCTCCTGCTGCTGGTGGAATGCACGTTTCCTTCTTCTCTGTAGAGTATAAATTTTAATAGAGTTGCATATTCAGCTGCCAGGGGGAGAAAGCAGCCCAGCATGCTTGGTGGTTGGTTTATGTAGCAGTTGAAGACACGCAGGCTGCTACAACCCCTTATTCACAAAATGACCAAGGCAGGTCGTTTTCCTGATTTAGGTGTGCAGGTAACAAAATAACTTGCCTAAAGTCAATCAACTTACCGCCTCAGTCAATTCTTAATAAAAGTTTCAAGCAGATTGCTTCCACATTAAGGCTTCCCCGCCCCCAGAAATTAATGTCATTTGACACCCAATTATTTTGGACATTCCAAATAACATAGCTGCTAAACCATCGCAGTCTAGTGCTTTCTGGATTGTCTTCTTGAAGTTGTTTTTTTAAAGTTCTGTGTTACAATGATATATTCATACCAGCTGTGGCATAATATTTTCAGGTGTAAACAGTGATGTAAAAATTGGGGTTTGGCTTTTGTTGCCCAATTCCCCATGGGACTCTGAATCCCCTAAGTCCATGATCGGTCAGAGAAGAATGGATGGAGGCAGGATCCAGTGGAAAGCAAGGCAGATATTTATTTTTCTGTTGCAACAGAGTTCCCTCCCCTCCTTCCAAGGAGGGAGAGACCCTGAAGAAAAGTGTGCAGGACCCTTTAAAGACTTTGGACATTGCCCAACCCCCTTAGCCAAAGACCACCCCAAAATCATCACACATACATCATAGGAGGTGGTCTACAGAAGAAACCATGTCTGCCAGGATACCTGCTAATGGTCTCTGATTGCATTACCTCAGCAGCCTGGCCATTCTTTTGTGATGGTTAATACTTTGGTTCCTGAATCCAGGTCACAGGCTCACCCTGTTCATACACAAATACACCCCTAAGACAGAATTTGTAAGACAATGGGAAGGCTTTTCCCATTTGCCTCCCTTACGGCAAAGGAATATTTGAGGTCATTGGGAGAGTCAAAATGTCTTCAAGATTGCTCTCCTGCACTATTGGTTTATATATTTTGATATGTGTGCATTTATGAATATTTATTCTATATTTGAGACCTTAGAATTCTTATAACAGTCACAGTGCTGTACTTTTGTCCAGGGGAGCAGTTAATTATGCTCTCAGTCACTTGTATTGCCTCACCAAAGCAGGTGAAACTAATGGTATAAAGTTCGCTCCTAAAATTACAAAAATGCAAACATTTTTATGTTATCAGTACTGGCACGCATTCATGCTGCCAAAAAATATCCATTTGAAGCCCCACCTCTCCCTTGTCCCCCCCCCTTTCTTCTTCTGTCCGCCATAGCACTGGCAATGGGGAGAAGGTTGTAGCCCAGTGACATTTCCGCAGCTGTCATGAATGCTGCTGCTCCTGCTATGAGGAGAGCAGGCATAGTGGTGGGGTTGGTTTTGGATTGAAAGATTCTTCTCTGCTGTCGGTTTCCTACCCATATTTAGATTGATTTGACTGGAATAAGCTGGTGTGGCAAAATACTTTTTCACCAGTGGTTTTTTTCACCTTAGGCTACTCTCTCCTCCCAGTGTTGTTTGATTCAGAATTGTGATCTTGTCTGCTCCCTCGCATCTCTGGCAGCCAATGAGCTTGCAATGTTGTATTCCTCTGGAGCAAAATTAATCTCTCAGCCGCCTCTCTCTCTGCTTGCACATTGACTGGGGCTACCACCATTGCTTGACCCAGCATTGCAAAACGTGGTGGGGTGATTAGAACATGTTGTTTTATTTTTTAAAATCTTAATTGCATAGCTGCAAAATTGTGATGTTTATTTTTTTGCCTCTTAATGAATGGGGAATCTTCTGAGCGATGCCAAGGAGCAGAAGATGACTAATTAAAGCTACAATCTGGGAGCAAGCCTTATTGAGCCGAATGGGACTGACCTCTGAGTAAACTCTCTTAGACTCTTCCCCTTGTGGATAGGCAAGTTATGAAGAATATAGTTCTGTGTGGAACCACTACTTCAAGTCCCCTTGCAGCTGATAAGATACAGCAACACTAAGAGACTCTAGTAGGGAAGCCACCCAAGTCCACTAAACTAACTTACAACATTACAGAGCCACAAATGTCTGGCAGCTAACAACAACAACAACAACAACATACCACCCTCTATAGATCTCCGGCAGGTTCACAACATAATAATGCAAGATAGACACAAAACACATAATTAAAACAAGAACAAAAACCAATAACCCCCTCTCCCACCGTTTCCCACAACACATTTGTGTTTTTTGTGTGTGTGTTTTTGGGGGTGTGTGTTTCACTACTGTCTTTTTTTTTTAAATGATATTTATTAAAGTTTCAAAGAAAAAAGTTACATAAATAAAAAGAAAGGGAAAAAAAAGACAAAAATAAAAATAAAAGAAAAATACAAAATACAGAAGAAAGGTAAAAAACACTTAAAAAAAACACATCAATCTTTCCATGCCTTACATTAATTTCCTTGCTTCCCTGACCTCCTCGCACCTCCCTTTTTTGTATTCCAATTCAGTTAGTTAATTCAGCAATTTCTTTCCCTCTTTGTTTTTAACTTAATCCTTTAACTTAATATATTATAACTTTGGATTCTCACCTGTTAACAATCCATTTTTACATACACCTTTATAACACTGCTGCTTAAACCACTGAGCTTCATTCTGACATCATTCTAACATTCATTAATTTTGCAATATTTCTGTAGTCTTTAAATTTCTTCCAATCTTCTTCCACTGACTCTTCTCCCTGGTCTCGGATTCTGCCAGTTGTTTCCCACAACACATTTGAAAGGGTATCGGATGTAATCAGCCAAAGGCCTTGTCCCTAAAGATGCATGATGAAGGCATTCCACAATTGAGGAGCCACTGCAGATAAGGCCTGTTCTCGTGTTGCCGCTCTCAGGATCTCTTCCCATAATATTCAGCATTACCTCCTTTACTGCACTGCTTTTAAATGTAGTAATATACCATAGTTTCATCCAAGCTGTCTGACCTTCTGATTTCTTTTATAGATGATTTTTACATTTTAAAAGATTCTGCAATAACAAGAGCTAAAAACTTGACTTTTTTGGGGGGGGGAACCATTATTTGTACTAGATTCTGCTCTGCAAGCTTGGTTCAGAGATTCATAGTCTGGTCATACCAATGTAGAGGTCCAGAACTCCACATTCAGAACATAATTCAACTTAAATAATAACACAGTTATGAATCATAGAATCATGGTTAGTTTCCAGACTAACCATGACTAACCATCATCCTGGTTGCCCTTCTCTGCACACGTTCCAGCTTGTCAACATCCTTCTTAAACTGTGGTGCCCAGAATTGGGCACGTATTCTAGGTGTGGTCTGACCAAGGCAGAATAAAGGTAAAGGGACCCCTGACCATTAGGTCCAGTTGCGGATGACTCTGGGGTTGCAGCACTCATCTCGCTTTATTGGCCGAGGGAGCCGGCGTACAGCTTCCGGGTCATGTGGCCAGCATGACTAAGCCGCTTCTGGCAAACCACAGCAGTGCACGGAAACGCCGTTTACCTTCCCGCCGGAGCGGTACCTATTTATCTACTTGCACTTCGATGTGCTTTCGAACTGCTAGGTTGGCAGGAGCAGGGACCGAGCAACGGGAGCTCACCCTGTTGCGGGGACTCGAACCGCTGACCTTCTGATCGGCAAGTCCTAGGCTCTGTGGTTTAACCCGCAGCGCCACCCGCGTCCTATTATTTCCTTTGATCTGGACACTAGACTTCTGTTGATGCAGCATAGAACAGCATTGGCTTTTTTTGCTGCTGCATCACCTATTGGTTCAGTTCAGCTTGTGGTCCAGTAAGGCTCCTAGATCCTTTTCACATGTATTGCTAGTAAGCCAGGTGTCCCTCCTCTTATTTTTGTGCACCTGGTTCTTCCTGCCTAAGTGCAGAACCTTACATTTGTCCCTACTGGAATTCATTTTGTTTGTTTGGAGCCAGTTCTCCAATCTGTTAAAGTCATCTTGAATCCCAATTTTGTCTTTTGCTTCATTAACTATCCCTCCCCGGCGTCTGGAAACTAAGCCTTATGAGGAATGTTTGAAGGAGCTGGGAATGTTTAGCCTGGAAAAGAGGAGACTGAGAGGAGATACAATAGCCACCTTCAGATATCTCAAGGGCTGTCACATGGAAGAGGAAGCAAGCTTCTTTTCTCCTGCTCTGGAGGGCAGGACTCAAACCAATGACTTCAAATTACAAGACAGGAGATTCCACCTAAACACCAGAAAGAACTTTCTGACAGTAAGAGCTGTTTGACAGTGGAACAGACTCCCATGAGAGGTGGTGGACTTTCCATCCTTGGGGTTTTTAAGCAGAAATTGGGTGGCCATCTGTCATGGATGCTTGAGCTGAGATTTCTGCATTGCAGGGGGCTGGACTAGATGACCCTCGGGATCCCTTCCAACTCTACAATTCTATGATCCTATGAAACATATGTTTTTATAGTGTTGTATACTTACTAAGTTTTGGAAGAACGTGCTGGACTATATAAATATGAGTGTATGGAGAAAGTTAAAATTTGCAGATGAGAATATTCTTTTGAATTATATACCAATTGTATGGAATCTGACAACAGGACAATGAAAATAGATACTACACACTGAAATTGTGTTTAAGAGACTGATGCTGATGAACTGGAAGAATAAGGATATGATCCCATTTAATCAACGGATTAACAACATGACAACACTCTCAACTTATAAACGGATCGCTTATAAACGTAGCCTTTTTCTGGATAAATATATTGACATTTGGAATGAGTTTATACTGAATGTAGTCTGTTATTAATAACCATGTATGTATTAAGATGATAACATCACTATATAACAAAGTATGGAAATGTAACTGATGTTACTAATGGTGCTACACTGTCCTTTCTGCACTTTTCTTTTCCACACCCTTTTCCTTCTTTTTCTTTTATCACTTTATTTCTTTGTAAATGAAATTCTTCTAATAAAATAGTAATTTATAAATAAACAGCCTGGGAAGGCTGTTGTGGCTTGATAGAGAAAGAAAGAAAATTGTTTTACCCAGAGTGACTGAGAAATTCAAGAAAATAGCAAAATAGCTGGGTGGTGTATGTGATTTTTGGTAATGCCCCCATTCCAAACCCCCACCAGCACCAATAACCTCCTTCCTTTTTTGAGAGTCCCCCAGTTCTATAAGGAAGGATGTAAAAATAATCCTGAAAGTGGGTAGTGTCTCTGCGTTTCTCTCTCCTTCTACCCCCAACATCCTTCCCCCTCTTCTTCTTTACCTCTCTCCCTGCCCCCCCCCCCCAGCAACCCTCCTCTTCCTTCTTAACCCAGCTTTATGGAGCCAGGGATAATGTTGCAGGAAAGGACAGTGTCTGCATGTGTGTCCTGTGCTGTGTGTTTCTTGCTTTCCTTCTCTGCAGTAACAAAGCATTTCTACTTCTCTCCTTAATCTTGTTTTGCTGTCTTTGCCCATGGGCAGACTGGTTTCAGGAAAGGCAGGCTGAGTGTGGACAGCAGAGTTAAGCCATTGCTTGGGTTCCCGTTGGTTTGAAAGGGGCTTGTGCAGGAGAACTTCCTGCTTGGGTGTGCCTCACACGGTTAGGGCTAGTGTGTGTGTGTGTGTGTGTGATCACAATGATATCCCATCTTTTCTACAGGGAGCTCAAGGTGGTGTATGTGGTTCTCCCACCACTCCCCATTCTATCTGCACAACAACTCTGCAGAGTAGGTCAGGCTGAAAGGCAGTGACCGGCTGCCAAGGTCCTACCCAGTGAGCTTCATAGCCGAGTGGGGGACGTGAAGCCCAGAATTTGCCCTCGGCCCCCTGGCTGGTTTGATCATTATTCCTTTACTTCAATTTTTCTAACTTCAAAATGGGACAACCTATTGATCATAAAGCCACACATTTAGACAGAGATAGAGGCATCTGTAAGACATTTAATTTATTCTGGAGCCCATACCTGAGTAATAATAATAATAATAATAATAATAATAATAATTTATTATTTCTACCTACCCTGTTTTCAACAGCACATCAAAAACAGAATAAAACTTCAAACATTAAAAACTTCCCTAAAGAGGGCTGCCTTCAGATGTCTTCTAAAAGTTGGATAGTTGTTTATTTCCTTGACATCTGATGGGAGGGCGTTCCACAGGGCAGGTGCCACCACCGAGAAGGTCCTCTGCCTGGTAATATTAGCAGCAACCCAAAAGTTACAAATGTTGGTCCTCTCCAGCATCATTTCAGGCCATAAAAAACCCCATGTAAGTGGCTTTCCCTGTATCCCACAGGGAAGCCACAGAAAGAATGTGGTTCATCAAGGGGTCTGTGGACTCAAAAAGGTTGAAAACCACTGATTTAGGGATACATGACTAAACAAGACACTACGTGGAGGTGAAATACCCCTGCATTAAATTATAATGCTACTTTCATGTTGTTTTTGACCAGAGCAGGGTTGCTTCAGACTTCCAGGATATATTTACATGCCTTTTGTATTTTAGTGTTCTCCATTGAATTTGAGCTTGTACAACTGCTCAAACATAATGAATAAAATAAAATGCAAACTCTTTCTTTCTTTCTTTTTGGTATAAGGTGATAAAGTCCTGATGTTGGATTTGTAGAATGGTTCCATACCTATATCTTTTTATAATGCCCTGAATGAAATTAAGGAAATCTGCAGCATGATACAATTTGCAGCTGAGTACCAGTGGCCTGCCTGCACATATTCTCACCCTATGACCAGAGAGCCTATGGTACACTGCAGGATATGTCTTCAGAGGCCCGTGTTGAACATCTAAAGTAGAATCATATAATCTTAGAGTTGAAAGGGATCCCGAGGGTCATCTAGTCCAACCCCCTGCAATGCAGGGATCTCAGCTCAAGCATCCATGTCAGATGGCCATCCAACCTCTGCTTAGAAACCTCCAAGGAAGGAGAGTCCACCACCTCCCAAGGGAGACTGTTCCACCGTTGAACAGCTCTTACTGTCAGAAAGTTCTTCCTGAAGTTTACTTGGAATCTCTTTTCTTGTAACTTGAAGCCATTGGTTCAAGTCCTACCCTCCAAAGCAGAAGAAAACAAGATTGCTTCCTCTTCCATGTGACAGCCCTTAAGATATTTGAAGATGGCTATCATATGTTCTCTCAGGCTCCTCTTTTCCAGGCTAAACATACCCAGCTCCTTCAAGCGCTCCTCACAGGGCTTAGTTTCCAGACCCTTCATCATCTTCGTTGCCCTCCTCTGCTCACCTTCCAGCTTGTTAACATCCTTCTTAAATTGTGGTGCCCAAAAGTGGACACAGTATTCCAAGTGTGGTCTGACTAAAAAATGAAAGGGCCTAGTCCTTTTCCCTGTGTATAATTGGCATTATCTTAAAAGTAATTAACAAAAGTGGTGTGAAAGATAGAGCATGCCTGTATTGCTACTGTTAACAGGTTTGTACAGATGACTTTAGCATCTGAATTTTTCTAGGCCACTACAAAGAAAAATAGAATTCTTGCACATGGATGGGGAAAATTCCACATTATCATTTCAATGGTTCTTTACATAAATACTGAAGACTCAGAAAAGCTGGAGGCTTGTTTTCCTCCCAGCCTCTGAGAAACACTATTGTGGTTCTTGGATTTTAGTTCTTTGCAATATTGGATTTTTTTTATACATATTTATTCATGCAGAACAGAAAGGCTGAGTTTCTCGCCTTGCCATGGGGAGCTGATGGAAACACTGTTATACATAAGAATACACCTTCATTTACATCCTCGCTATTTTTCAACAATTGAATTGTATGCAGCTGGGTTATTTTTATTCCTTCTGTTTCTTAAGGTATGGGATGTAGGGGGAGGTTGAGGTTTCTTGATTCTGTGTGTGCGTTTGTGTGCTTTTCATTAGTATGAAAACTCCCCTCCTGAATTTTCACAAGTCATAGAAATACAGAGTTGGTGGCCAATATCTTTGAAATGGGAGCTGATTTGAGCCATGTAGTGAATTAACGGCTATTACTTTTTAATTAAGACAGTTAAGCTAACTGTGGAAGCCATTCATCTCCCCGTTTAATCATTCATTCTGCCTGTGTGGAGGAGACCTGGGGTATTATACTTTGTATGGCATAAAGTGTCAAAGTTGTATCCTGGTTTTAAAATAAAATGCATATTCATGTAACTGAAATAATACTTTAAATGCCTTTAGTTTTTAATTAATAATCTTCTCAGGTCTCTTTCTAAAATGTGGATTGTTTTGAACCCAATCTCTGTTTTTACTATCTTGTATAATTTGTTATTAAAACTCTGAATATTTCCAAAAGCTCATTAGCTGATTGCCTAGCTACAGCAAAGTAGCTCCAGCCCCTCTTGATAGCCACCCGGAAAATAAAGAAACTTCTACCCAGTACTAAATACTCTTGTTTGTCTCTCTGTCTATCTAATGCCTTGGCTGAATCTGACATTTCTGCTAGCTTTCCTCTCTGGAACTGTCACCGAACTCACTAGGCTATATTGATAGTCAGACAAGAATGCATCATTGCAAATAACATCCCTATGGGAAGGAAAGGTAGCCAGGGGCACCTGTGAACAGGACAGTGGAAACTGTTACTTGCATGACAGTAGCAACCAAGAGTCTTGCCCTAATGATGTTTCTTATGCTAGATGCTGTGTAAGCTGAATTTAGAATGGGCATGGACAAACTGTAACACAGAAGATAATTCTGCTGTACCATTCCTCACACTATTTTGGCATCATGCTTAAAGAGGCTAGGATAGCTAGGAAGTAAGATAGCTATGATTTACTAAGACCAACTCTAATGTTTTTAATTACAGTGCTAACATTTTCAATAACTCTCTACACATCAGAAGCTATTAGCATGCAGTAAATCTGTGCTCACTGAGCTACTTATGGAAATTGCATATTGGTTTAATGAGTTTGTCGTTTTTGGGGGGGGAAATCTGAAGATTAGGATTCTGGTCTTAAGTATTCGCATTAAGTAGTTTCAAACTACATTGCTGAGAGATCCCAGGGAAAGGAAGACCAAATGCTCTATCTGAAAATAAATGCATTTCCACATGGAACACTGGGTGCATATTATGGGATCAGTTTTTGAAAGCCTGTTAGCATATGTAGCATATGGGCGACTGTTTATGTGAATACATACACATTACCTTGTTTATAGGCCACCCTATAATACTCCTCTGGACTGCTTACAAAATTGGAACGCTAACTACTGGTATTCAGGAGATAGTTTAAGTTGCAAAAGAGAAGGCTTAATTCTCTCCCATATGATCCAAGGCACACAGTGTCTGCTTCTCTGCTACAAAATGGCATCCCAGAATGAAGATGAAATAAATACATTTACCCATCTCTAGGGCTTTGGTTCCACAGAGATTGGCTTTTAAGCGAGTTAGTAATATGAGCCCAGAAGAGCTGTGCCTCTTGCATATCTTTATGGTTTACCATCTGTCTCAACTCACTGTGGAAGCAGCTGTTTGCATTATTTTTCTAGAAAAATCTCATAGTTGCCTCTGCCACCTCAACCCTCAAACAGTTACTTGCTTATATCCCCTTTCCTGGCTCATTCTTTTATGTTTTAGAAAGCAGATAAAATGTGGCGCTCCTTAGCAAACGCTGACTGGTGTGGGAAGTGATGTAGAGAGCAGAGGTGGAGACATCATGAGGATGTCTCACATGATACTAAGGGCCAATTGCTTGCTTGCTTGCTTGCTTGCTTGCTTATTTATTTATTTAAAATTACCAAGCAGAGGGGAGCATGTTCCTTGTAGGCAAGCCTGTGGGGGATGGGGTGGAGGGAGCTGGGTACACTTGCCCCAGGCCTTGGAGGGCTAAGCTGCCCCCCCCGCCAAGGACCAGCTGCTTTTGTGTTTGAGTTTATACCTTTATTCTACAGAAACTCCCTCCCTGGGCCCCAGGCAAGCCAGCATGGCCTGCTTAAAGGGAGGACTGCTGCTACTGGAGCCAAGCAGAGTCTTCAGGGCCATCCATGTTCTTGCTTTCTCAAGTTCTGTCTGAGGTGGTCTTGTCTGCCAAGTTGGAGTTGATGTTAGTGTCTGCTTCTGACCTATTTTTTTGGGCATGCTAACACATGGGGGCCCTTCAACAACTCTGCCCTTTTCAAGACTGAAGGATGGTTTTAGAAGTTTCTTTGAGGTTGAAGGAGGAACTTCGGTGCTAGTTGACAAGGAATGTGCAGCACTTCTTAGCTTTCCTTCAGTCTGGTTTTGACAAAGGGTTGAGTGCTGCTCTGATTAAGCATCAATTTAGAGACCCTGTGCTGTCTTCTAATGCAATGGTAAAAAGCTTCATGAAGGAGTTTGGATGGTTTCTCCCAGAGTGTGTCATCATTTCCCTGCTTGGAACCTCAGTTGCATTTTTTCAGCCTTGGCAGGTTCTCCCTTTGACCCCATGGCTTCGTGCCACTGAATATCCTGAGCTTTAAAACTGTATTTTGATGGTCATCACTTTGGTCTGGTGGCTTTCTGAGTTGGGGGCCCTGTCATCTGTGTGTTCCACCAGGATAAGGTGGTGTTAGGACCTGATCCATGTTTCATGCCTAAAATGAACTCTTGGTTTCATTGCTCAGAAGGTGGTATTGCCTCCTTTTTACCCCACCACACCTTGCTTGGTATGCTCTGGGTTTCTATTTGAAACACACAGCTGAGTTTAGAAAGCCAGAGGTTCTATTTGCAGCTTTTGCTGAGGCTCCAAAAGGGTCTAAGGTTTCCTCATCTTCCATAGCCAGGTGGCAATGTATGGCCCTTGTCGAAGCAGATTTGGCTACTGGAAAGGTTCCTCCTGTGGGAATTACAGAGGAGTCTGCTACTTCAACATCATGTAAAGGGGTTTTTCCCCATAGGAGATATCATATGGGCGATAGCTACTCACACTTTCAATAAGTACTTTCTGTCATCACCTCATGCACTTTCTGGACGTAGGTGCTAAAATGGGATGTATTGCAGTCCTTAGGAAGCTCACCTGAGATGTTGTGATACTGCTCTGTTATTTCCCTATGAGCAACTGGCCTACCTGCCAGCAAGTCCCACTGACATATACAGTAGGTCAAGTCCAGTGTCCAACAGTCAGGAAACGCAGTCCAGGGTCAGACTTGAAACACAGTCCTATAGAGGTCCATCAACATGGGCAGTTGAGCTGACACAGCCCCACAGCCCTGCTCCCCCTTTCTCTCTCTTGTCTTGATTGTAGCACCTGGGCTTCACAAGTTATGTGACCCTTACCTGTCCTGAGCATAATCCCGCTGAGGAACCACTCTCCTCCTTGCTGAGCTAATGAGCCCCACCTGGCCAACCAGTGTCCTAGCTTGCCTCAGCCTATCAGAGCATACGTCCCTCTGCTTCCTGCGCCTCAGAGCCCATGTTGTTCATGGAGACGGGGGCCTCTCTGGCTCTGATGATGGGTCCTGCTCTTCTGCTCCTGCACACTGACCTCCATCCCCTCACCGTCCTCTGTCATCCTGTGTGTACCTTCCACAAGCCTAACCTAACCCGGTGGGTCCCAGTCACAGCTACACCCTTTGCCAGGATCCCCTTCCTTTCCCCTGTTATCCTGCTAGTTCATGACAGTCCCATTGACCAGCTGCTAATAGAAAATTGGCGATGATGAACAAAGTCATTCTGAAGCTGCTTAATGTCTTTTTCTAGTATGTTCCATGAGTACCTGCTTGTTTATACATAATGGCACTTTACTGAAGTTTTCTAAATGAAATGGAGCTCATCACTTCAGAAAGGACAGTGACTGAAATGCGGGTGAGAGTGAGACCTCCTCAAGTTGGATAAAGAGACTCATCCAGTTAGCACATGGAGATGGTGAGGAATCAGTAGGTTAAAAGATATCTGAATGATGGTCCTTAGCTTGAGGCTTGCTTGTGTTCAGATAGCGAGACCAACAGCAAGCTCCTGGTCATCGGTTCATTGTTACATAAGTTGCCGCGGTCTGTCTGTCTTGCATAAGTACAGCATCAGAGTGCAGAGGATGTTGCTAGTTCAAGTGAGGGGATTATGGGACAGGTACAAAGGAGGAGGTATTTGACTCTGTATTGGATGAAAGGAGATTCCCCTCCTTTTGCCATCCTCCTTTGAGTTTCATAAAATAGCTGATCAATAATCTAATCTGCAGGAGCTAGAGCAGCAGTCTCATGACAGCCTCTCTTTTGATGCTTTGCCAACTGCAACGGTTAGACTTTTTACATTTAATAGATTCCTGCAGTTAGAGAACTATCTACAGAGCCCACATAGAGCTGGGATTCCCTTATTAAACAAGTATTTGGCAAGTGGGAGGAGAGGGAATGCTGCAGAGGTGTTCTGACAGCCACAAGCTGGAGACCCCACTGCCCTCTCCTACAGATTCCTGTTCAGATAAGCAGCAGCCACAGCAGCAGGGAGTTTGAGCACTCCCAAAGAGACTCCACTAAATTCTTCCCTCTCCAGATGGAGCTGGTCCTTAGCTGCTCTCAGCAGAAAACCAGAATGTCCCATTGATGGAATAATCAACACATCTGCACTGATACAATTTTCAAAACATTTCTCAGGAATCAAGGTTGCCCAAAGGCAACTGAAGTCATTTGACCAGGTTCCAGAATTTTAGAAAGGGTGGCAAGATACAGCTATAACACTTTTCTTCCCCAGCCTTCAGGTTTGTTTGTTTTTTTAAAAAAAATCTGTGTGCATATACACTACAAAGTCAATCTTGTTTATCCATCATTTCCCGATCCAACAGGAACTCTAGGGAACAATAATTATTTGGAGGGCAGGGAAACCACAATTCCCAGGAATCTTTTAGGGAAGTTCATCCTTTCAGTCCTTGCTGTTTCGTATCTTTTACATTGCAGACAAAAGCTTGAAGAGGTTGTTTCATGGAAATGTATATCCAGTTTTTTGACCCACCATTCTAATGCTGTTCGGAGATTGATCTGTAATATGAGACTTGAGCTGTACCCATGCTAGAGCATTCTACTGTCACTGAGACATTGCTCTTCTACAGTTAATTAAAAATGGAATTAAAATGGAGGTTCCACTCAGCACATAATAGATTACTATATTATTTAGCAATGGTGTTCTCTTGACCAAAATTCTTAACATAAGGGTCCTGCTGGATCAGGACCAGAGATCCAACCTTTATAAAGGAATTGATCATTTTGGTTGCCATTTTTCAGCTGTACAATATCCTTTTTGAGGTGAGGCAACCTGCACAATACACAGTATTCCAGTTGTGGTCTCACTGTAGATGGCATAGTGGTGATACAGTATTGCTGGTTTTATTTTCTGACCTTTCCCTAATGTTGTAACATGGAGTTTCCCCCTTTTTACTCAGCTGTGTTCTATAATGCCACAGCCAACAAGTAATTATCAAATGTCCTATTTAGAACTGCTCTGGGAAGACTTTTAATGTTCAAGCATGAGAGAGGAGGCTGAAGCTGCAATCCTATTCACAGCTTTCCTGGGAGTAAACCCACTGATACTTCTGATATTAATTGTTGTTATTATCATTATTATTATTAAATAATTTTTATGAATTTTCAATCACTAAAGTTCAACAACAGCCACATTTTATCAGTGTCAAATTATAATTCATATCCAAATATATATCAATTATAAAGCAATTATACAATTTGTGAGACTTCCCATGTGCTGGGTTTCAGGGTGCAAAGTTCTTATTTCTTCCTGCTTCCGAAATCTTGATTAATCCAATTACATGCAGTCCTGATCTTAGTCCCTTATCAACAGCTACAGAGTTCTTGACTTCCATTCGTATTAACACATTTAATAAATTTTATTTCCGCAGAAGGAGTTCTATATCCTGTAAATTCCCTGTGTGAGAAGTTAATTTTTCCATTTGTTTCTTCATCTTTCCTGTTCTGATCATGTCCTACACAGCATCTCTACTTCTGCTTTTTTGCTCTTTTTCTTCCTATGTTCCCATGTAAGTTCAGCTGTGCACACACCATCTTTGTTTGTTTGAGTATAGATAAGGAGTAATCTGGTGTCCCCGCCAGAGCTCTGGGTGATTCTCCAGTTTTTCCTTCTCCTCCAACTCTTAGATCACTAATGATCTAGCATCCTGCTAGAGCTATGGCTGATCTTCAAAGACCATAGTCCAAATTGCGATAAGTGGGAGTTTTGTGCTTTAAATCATTTCAGTGTTCTCACACAGTTTTATTTTCATATTCATCCATAAATATAATCCCACTATCTTTTTCTCCCCTTGCTTTTTATCAGTTTGTTGGCATTCAGGGGGAAGTTTGCCGAATCACTCATGTAGCAAACATACCGTATTTTTCTACAAAGGAAATATTCTTTCCAGTTTGAAATGTTGCGACTCAGTAGCTGCTTCACATGGCAGTTTATAATCTTGTCCCATCCATCCTGCACACGTCTGTAAATTATAGCCAATTTCATCCTAATAAACAGAAGAGCCTCTGCATCTGAATGGCTGCGTTATGGAGTTACCGATAAGCGAAGTGCTTTGGCACCCAGCATCTTCCTGCTTCCCGGATTCCATGCTGGAGCGAGAGCCAGGTATCAAGACAATCTGCGGGTGAAGCTCACTCCCCCCGGGGCCTGGGGGGAGCTTGCAAGGACAATTACCCGCAAATCATCCTTGTTTATTCTCTGCAAACAATCTCCGCTAATGTGGGAGCTGCACCCATTAAGGCAGGAAGCACCGGAAGTCCAGTGATAATTCTGATAAATTTTCTATCACAATTATGGCTACTAACTATATCAAACCTCTTTGGGAGAAAAAGTTTCTGAAGCACGGACATAGGTCTAAACTTTTGGGCCATATCTCCTCACCCCTGGCGAGCCAAATTTGACAGGTGGGCAGGGTCACCTAGTGTCATAGTGATGTCAGATTGGCTGTGCTTTGAATCCCCAATTGTTTAAAAAGCACTGTACAGAGCCCCAGTACAGAGCCACACAGTGCTCTTTGAACCTCTGTTCCACTGAATGGAAACTGCTTCCTCCCTCCCTAAGCAAAGCATGCTCAGTTGATGTGCAGGTTGGGAGTGCACTTTGCTGGAGTAAAGGAACAATTTGAGGCTCCATCTAAGCTATTAAATGTGCCTTCAAAGCTCTGCCCTTGCCCACTCCACACCTGGCATCACACATGATATCAGGTGTAGGGTTGGTGGGTGTGGCTTTCCCAAAAGACCCTTGTGGGCCAAATGGGTTTCCCACCCCTGGGAAAGGGGTCAGCAGGGGTCAGCAACCTTTTTCAGTCGTGGGCCGGACCACCGTCCCTCAGACCATGTGGTGGGCTGGACTATATTTTTTCTTGGGGGGGGGGGAATGAACGAATTCCTATGCCCCACAAATAACCCAAAGATGCATTTTAAATAAAAGCACACATTCTACTCATGTAAAAACACGCTGATTCCCGAACCATCCGCGGGCTGGACTTAGAAGGCGATTGGGCCGCATCCGGCCCACTGGCCTTAAGTTACCTACCCCTGGTGTAAATAGTATAACACTCAGTGTTCCCTCTGTACTTTTCCTCTCTCCTCTATTAAATAAAAAGTATTGTTTTCAAGTGGCAGAAGGCTTCTAAGTAATAAATAATCATATGTTAAACAAAACCTAAGATGCATTTTAGAAAAACAGAGCATCAATTTAGGTATGTAAAAATATATAGAATTCTGACTTAGCAGAAGGCTATAATTCTGTAAGTTGAGGCAAAATATATCCATTTGCAAAAGTCTATAAACATTACTTAAACAATCTCTTTAAAATGAATTTCCTCTCAGATTGTGATTCAGACAAGAACACAGCTTGTGACCACGAAAGGGGTTGTTTCTAATTAAAACATTTATATCCTGTGTTTCCCATTAGATCTGAAGGCAGTGCAGAAAATTCAGCCAACACACATCACAAATCTACAAATTCTGGCTGGCCTTGGTAGTCAGCCAGAATTTGTTGTGGTCACAACTGATCCTTTTCTTCTTCCAACTTGGAGGAGGGATGGGGTGATGTCATGCTGGGCTTTGGAATAACTAAGAATCAACAAGAAGGCTTCTGATTCTGAAGCCCAGTGATTCTCCACCTGTCTACCAAAATTTAGGCTCCAAGTTTCCAACAGTAGCTTCTAAGTACTTATAAGCCCAAGTCACCTCTAGGTTAGATACTGCAACACATTCTACGTGGGGCTACCCCTGTGAAATCGAGGCCAGGCTGGGGGCCCCAGTGGCAGGCAGGACAGGATTGGGGTCCCTGTGTGGGGGTGCCTGATTTGCACCACCTCAAAATTGTGCACTCAGAGCCACACATTCCTGTCCCCCCCAATGCGTCTGCAACAGAAGTTAGGCCAGGGGTCAGCAAACATTTTCAGCAGGGGGCTGGTCCACTGTCCCTCAGACCTTGTGGGGGGCCGGACTGCATTTTGAAAAAGAAAAATGAACGAATTCCTATGCCCCACAAATAACCCAGAGATGCATTTTAAATAAAAGGACACATTCTACTCATGTAAAAACATGCTGATTCCTGGACCATCCGCAGGCCGGATTGAGAAGGCGATTGGGCCAGATCTGGCCCCCGGGCCTTAGGTTGCCTACCCATGAGTTAGGCTATCCCTGTCCAGATAGGGGCAGCAGCTGGGCTACCAGACAAAGCTGATGGAAGGCACTCTGGGCCACTGAGGCCACCTGTTAATAAAAGCCAATAAATATGCAGATAGAAATAGTAACTGTTAGTAAGTGTAAAGGAGTCTGGTTCGCAGAATTTAGCCAACCTCCTGGAATGGTTGTCAGACAGGAGTTCAAAGGGTTATTTTGAACATTGTTTCAATCTTCATTGAAGCTTCGTTACTCAGGAAATCATAATTTTTTGTTCGGATGCATTCTTACATTCACATTTATTGCAGTCTTACTAAGCAATGCTGGCACATTTCTATTTTGCCATCTATGGCCTGGGGAGAAATTCAGGGTACTGCACTGTCAAATCCAGTGGTTTTGTGTATGTGTGTGTGTGCGCACACACACACTCACTCATTCCTTTCTGAAACAGTTTTTTTCTTCTGCTACCACGCTTTGAAGGCAGGTGCCACTCTTAACTCTTCATTACCATGATGGGGAACCACCATGACATATGAATCTCACATTTTAAAACATGCACTCAGCAGATGTCATTTAATGAATATTGTCTGTCCACTGTAATTACTGCAGCTTGACAGGCTGTAAGATAGTTTTTCCTCAGTGAAGATCCTGTAATTGGGAGCACAGAATTTTCAGACATGCACAGTGAATATTATTCCTGCTGAGGATCCATGCTTTGTTGATGAGTCTTTATTTTAGTTGATATGTATATAGGATAGAGATGACCCATCAGGATCTTAGCAGTAGAAATTACTCTGCTGGAAATCTCTTTATGCCGGTATTCATGATTCAATTGGAGGTGCTATTCCTTCGCCTCAAAGGTAATTCCCCTGGCTGTGCTTCCAGTGAAGTGATGTAAAAGAAATTGCCCACCTGTATGGCATTGGCCATTTGTACATCTAAATTCTACTTCAACAAACATTTATTTAACCCGCTGTTTTCTAAGTTGGTTTCTAAGGAATCCTGTTGTTTCTTGGAAACTTGACAGGGCTCCTCAGTGAGAAGATTGGTAGTGCCAGGCAGACAAACTTCTCCGAAACACAGGTTGCCCACCGCCACTTACTGAATTTTATCTGCACAACTGCAGCAGAAGCTTGGACATGTTCTTGGTTCCACTTTCAGGAAATACCTTAATTTATTATTTTATTGTATTAAATTGTGTGAGCTGCCCTGAGAGTTTTTAAACTGAAGGGCAACATAAAAGCAATCTAAATATTTATTAATGTATTAAATTTCTGTCCTGCATTTCCTTTCAAAAGAGCCTAGGGCAGCAAACAGTAAAACAACACAGTTAAAGTACACAAGGAAGTGTTTTAACACATCATTTTACCATGGGTATTGTGTCTTTTTGTACTCTGGGGGGAGACTAGTACATATCTGAGCACAATTCAAAGCCCTAAGTGCCTTTGACCCCGTACAGCTGAAGGAGCGTCTCCTCCCCCATTGTTCAGCCTGGACACTGAGGTCCAGCTCCGAGGGCCTTCTGGTGGTTCCCTCATTGCGAGAAGCCAAGTTACAGGGAAGCAGGCAGAGGGCCTTCTCTGTGGTGGTGCTCACAGATGTCAAGGAGATAAGTAACTATAAAACCTTTAGGAGACATTTGAAGGCAGCCCTGTATAGGGAAGTTTTTTATATGTTTAATGTTTTATTATGTTTTTTATATAGACTCATAGATTTTTAAAGTTGGAAGGGACCCTGAGGATCAACTAGTCCAACACATTCCTAATGGAACAATAAAACAGTAAGAATTTATCATAAAACTGAACGCTACCTTAAAATGCCTGTTGGAACATGAAAGTATTTGTCATGAGGCTGAAGTTCAGCAAGGGGGATGCCAGTCTAATCTCAGTTGGTATGGAGATATCCAGGCATGGGCCTGCTACATTGATTGCATGCAACTCACCGTTTGCCTGGGGATTGCATTCTGGGTCATTGCGCATATCAGTGGTTGTGCATAAGCCTGCCCCCTGCCCCGTTCCAGGGCTGAAAGTATGTTGGCAGTCACACGTCAATTGGACAACTGCAAAATGGTTGCCACCTGTAGTTACAAGCTGCGCATCTAAGCCATGAGGAATTACCAACAGAGACTCCCCCCTCCCCCGCCCATGTGTAAAAGTGTGCACAAAGTGCATAAAAGAAAGCTCCTCTGAAGTATTTGTCACCCCTTCTGCACCATGGCATGTAAAAATCAGTGTCCTCAGAAAGATATGAAAAGTGCAAGGTAGATCTGGCAAAACCTTAGGAAATTATCTCTCATATACCAACTCTGTCTCTGGATTTCAAGCCACATCAACAGAATCTGGCTATTTCATTTAATTTGCTGTCAATCAGTGTCCTCAGTGTCACTAAGGCTTCCTCTTTTATATTCATTATTTCTCTTGGCATTGCCCAGAGCTCAACTGTATCTTAGCCAGCTATCATCACAGGGTGATTAAATCATTTTATGAGATGAGATCTTGCTTCCTAGTCATAATAGTGAAAGAAAGAAAAAACATTCCTGTAGTATATTTACTTACGGATATTTACCTGCTACAACTTCATGTTTTTCTGAACAAAAATAAACAGGTTTAAACTTTTAGTTTGCTGTATGAAGTGACAAATTGTTTGGTTTAAATATGCCTCCTGCAGTTCAGTATATACTCAGTCCTATACTTTCCTCAGCAGGAAGGAGTGGGTGCTCAGTCTCAATAGCACCCATAATGATTTCAGTGTTACAAAATGAGGGACGAGACAGAAGCTGTATGCCAGCTTGAACTGAATGTGTCACTTCATAGCTGCTGAACATGTCAGTTTATGGCTGGTTCTATCACTGCACAGGCCTATCAAGATTTTTATTATTTTTCTCTTTGGTAGAATATTAGTTTACATCTCCAGGATGGTCCTGTGTAATTTAGGTCAAAAGGCCACATTTTATCCATGTTGATAAGATTGCATTTCTTAGGTCAGAATGTTCAGTGTTAATTTAATTAAGAAGGTCCTCTTCTGTGTCTCCATCGCCACTTGGTATACTCGACATTGAGCTCTAACCTGTGTTCAGTCTGATTCGGAGAGTTTTTTGCCACCGATGCTCTAGCCTTCTCAACAATTGTTCCATCTCCCTCAGTTCCAGGAAAACCGTGGGGCCTTCCAGGCTCCTTGCAATTGGAGAGGGCACTTTAGAGCCCGACAGTAAATAGCCCTGGTTAACTCCGCATTCCAGCGAGCCACCAGGGAATCAGCTGAAAGGCCATCAACATGGGATAATACACCCTTCCCCCCGCAAGTCATTAGGATCATTTAAGTGGCAGAGGTGGACTTCGATTTCGTCCCACCTCCCTATGGAGAGAAAGGGCCGCAAAGAAGTCTAGTTGCACCAGGAAGGGATCTGACCATGACACTTCTTAATGCCAGATCTCCTGTGTCCACAGAGGTGAACACCAGATCTAAGGCATGTCCACAGCTGTGAGTAGGGCCAGATTTATTCAGGGACAGCTCCATGGAGACCATGCTTTCCACAAAGTCCCAAGCAGCCCCTTGTAAGGTTGTGTTGGCATGGTTGTTAAAATCCCCCAGGACCACCAGACTAGTTGTCTCCAGAAGAACATCCGCCATGACCTGAAGCAGCTCAGGCAGGGAATCCTCGGTCCTGTACTGCCCCTATTGCCCAACTTCCAGAACATGTACTCAAAAAACTGGGTCTTCCTAATAGGATACCTGGTGAAAACTAAGGACTTCCTAAAAATCACTGCAACTCCCCCTTCCCACACACATGACCTGGGTTGCTCTGCGTAAGAGAAACCTGGGGAACAAGCAGCAGCAAGAACAGGCCTACCTGCTGTGTCCAACCAAGTCTCTGTTACACATGCTGGGTCAATTCCTCCATCCATTATCAAATCATGGAATAATAATAATAATAATAATAATAATTTATTATTTATACCCCACCCATCTGGCTGGGTTTCCCCAGCCACTCTGGGCGGCTTCCAACAGAATATTAAAATACAATAACCTATTAAACATTAAAAGCTTTCCTAAACAGGGCTGCCTTCAGATGTCTTCTAAAAGTCTGGTAGTAGTTTTTCTCTTTGACATCTGGTGGGAGGGCATTCCACAGGGTGGGTGCCACCACCAAGAAGGCCCTCTGCCTGGTTCCCTGTAACCTCACTTCTCATAGTGAGGGAACTGCCAGAAGGCCCTCGGTGCTGGACCTCAGTGTCCGGGCTGGATGATGGGGGTGGAGATGCTCCTTCAGGTATACAGGACTGATGCTGTTTAGGGCTTTAAAGGTCAGCACCAACACTTTGAATTGTGCTTGGAAACGTACTGGAGGGCAGCGGTCTTATGTATCATTGGCCTGGCGTTGCACAGAGCCACCTTGAGGTCTTGTGGGACACTCTTGTTGATACTTGTATCCTGGTCAGGACCTGACCCAGAGGCAGGGATAGTCTTCATACAATGACTTGACTTGCCTCCTTGGCAACTCCTCCTCCTTCCTGTGATCACTGAGATTGCGTGTCCCAAAGTGGAACCTGCCTCAGCCATTCTGTTGGATGGGGCCCACTCTTGGGCTGCCCTGTCCCACTCCCACTAAAACAAATTAACTTATAAAACCAAAAAATACAAATACGAATTAACATTTAAGAACAGTTAAAAACAACTCCACTCCACCCTTAAATAAAGCAATACTACAGTCACCTGAGTTAAAACCCCATCCCCATTTTTTAAAAAACAATAATTTTAGCACAAGGTGGCTGGGCCACCCCCTTGTTCCACCCCCAAAATGCCACCCCTAAAGGGACGAGCCCCACCCCCAGGGCAGGCAGGCTTTATAGAGCTGTCCCAGCAACTGGTGTCTAGAGAAAATTCCTAGAGCTAACAAGTTGCAGAAAATTGAAATTGTGACTTAGCAGAGGGTTTTCTTCCTGGGTGGGTGGGTGGGGAAGTAACATTTTGGGTATGGTGATATGTTTTGGATGAAATCTGATTCCCAAACATTCACTGCTTTGTCCTTTTACAATTCCCACACCAGCATTTTAGATCATCTCTCTAAGTAAATATAATTGCAATACATTTTCTTCCTCTCCTTTGTGTCTCTCACATAGTGTCAGCTGAGAATAGTATATGTTTAATTGACTGTAAACATAGCTTTGAGCTGGTTTCTAGCTCAGATGTACTTGCTTTACAGTGGTGGTAAAATGATCTCTGAGCATAAGGTAAGAATGTATCATAATTAAATATGTACATGATTTAGAATCCCCCAGGAGGGCGAGGGTTAAATGTGCATTTCCTTCTGCAGCACTATAGTTAATAACGATAGAGATTTGTACATTATCGTTTTCCTATGGAAGCCACTTCCATATTGCATGTTGCATCAGGAACCATAATGGTAGGATGAATTATGTGGTTACTTCCTTCATTAGCACTGACAGCCTCTCCTGGGGTGCTGGTGATATGTTTAGATATTGTTATACACCATACCAATCTTTAAGCAGTACAAGATTCCTGTCACTTATCCAGGGTTCATGTTTCCTTTGGAAATGAGGAGCAGCAGAGACTATGTCTTTATGATGTATATGCTTTATTTACACAAATATGCAGCTTGAGCCTATGATGGAGGGCCTCACAGCATTACACTCCCAGAGGTTCTTGCTCCTCCCATGACCACAGTCTTGGATGTCAGCCATGCCCCTCTGTTCCTCTTATTTGTTTGCTGCGTTTAACAAACTGACACCTTTTTCTCTCCAACTTGCTGACGCTTACAGCCTGCAACTATTTTTCCTTAAGCTTACACCATCCTCAATTGCAGTCCTAAATTCAACTCTGCTTTGTCTCTGCTAACTCACCCCAAGCTTAGGGCAGGACTCCACCCATCTGCTTCTTGGCACAGAGTCTCTGCTTTGCTGATTGGCCCATCTCCCTAACTTTGTTTTCTATTAGTGGCCTATCTCTATCTCTCAAGCAATCTCCTGACCCAGGTGGCTGAGCCCAGCTATTAAGAGTCTGACTTTCAGTATAACTCTCCAAGCATTGATTAAATTCTTACTAAATCCAGGAATTATGGATGTCTTGTGCCCACAAACTCTGGTGCCACAAACTCCTAACAATATCGACCTGTATGAAAGTGGACTGAGTGGGCATATCTTCGGTGCCAAAATAATTATGTATGATTGGGTAAAAGAGTGCAATTATGTGTATATATTCCTATTGGTTGCAAAAGGATGTTGAATGATAGTCTAGTCTGCACAAATATATTATAGGAGATGGTCCAGAACTAGAACTACAGCAAGGCACTACAAGTGGTTTTTGGGGGTACCTAATTTTGCTAAGTTAAGTTCTTCAGGGCTCTGTCAAATAGCTTGGCAACATTTAAAAATAATGCCACTTTCTTCTGCTCCTTCACATGGCTTCTCTTTCAGCAGCTGTTCTGATGTTAATAACAGAGAGAAAGTTGGATTCTCCTGCTTGTTCTAGCCTAGCTGCCTGCTGCTTTGCGTCCTGTTTTGAGAGCAGGGAGGGGGGTGGATTATGCCTTTGCCATGTTCCAAATAATCAGGATGGTGTGGAATTGTTTCCCTTGCTGCTGCCATCAGAGAAGAGTCCCAGTCTCAGAGCAGTTCTTTCGCTCTGCTTAGAAGTGTGCTGCCTCTTCTTGGCCTTACACCAGTGGCTGAAAAGAAGCTACAGGGTCAGGATACACAAAGCAGATGCAGGTTGGGCAGGCTCAGTGAGAGGAGGGGGAGGCACAACTGCAGACAAGCGGTTTCAAATATTGCTGTGCTAGTTGGCAGAGCCATCCCTACCACAGCTGTTGACTACCTGCTGCCCCCAACCTAGCTGCCACTCACCTGCCTGTCCTGTTGCTGCCTCGCTTGGCTCATCCCCTTCTCCACCAGTCTCTGGGTTTATAGGAGGAGGAGGTGCAATAGTAGGTCGTGAGTGGCTGGTGAGGCCTGCATTAAGGATAAGGAACATGTGGGTGGTTGAGAATAATTATTACTGGACCTCTGGGTCTGTACAGCCATGACACTACTCTACAGGCATCTGTTTGGCCACTGTGGGAATAGGAGTTTGGACTAGATGGGCCTTTGGTCTGACCCAGCAGGACTTTTTGTGTGTGTGTCTTATGACCAAGAAAAGAGGCATCAATATGTCAGGCATCTGGGCAGGAGGAGAGTTTGTTTATATCTGGCCTGGCTGGGCATGGGTTTGTGTGTGCATAATTCTGGCTGGCATGCAAAAATGTGGGAATGTGTTCATGGCTGGCTGGCTAGTTCAAAATTATGGGAGAACAGTTTTGTTTTAAATCCTCATACATGCACACAACAAATGTTCTTGAAGTGTATTTTTTTGCAGTATATTTTTGCAGTATATTTTAAATGTGAATCTAACAGCAGGCTCAACCTTGCTGTTAATCTTGCCCTGCAACTGCTGAAATCTTAAATCCTGCCCCCACTGTGTTCAAGACCATAGTTGATTGTTCCTCTGAATTATCTGTGATGTGAGGCTTATTTTTAGTAACTGCCTAATAAACCTCCACATAAAATTTCAATTTGATCCTTGGGTGTTATAACACTTTAGGCTTGAACAATTGTGAGTACTGAATGAGGCAATGGTAGTTATTACTGGCTGAATGCAGAGTGATTACAAAGGTGTAGTCTGGTGTAAGTGATGCAAGGATAATAGTCGCATCCACTCTGACAGTTCCTGTTTATTAAGGAAGACCAGTGCTCAGATTATTGGGGGGTGGGGGAGGTGTCTCCCTTAACTATTATGTTTGGAAGGCTGCAAAGAAGACATGATTTGGCTGACTTTGGTGGGAGCCATTAAAAGGCCTACATAATTCGAATGCTGAGGTCAACACATTTTTCTGGAACTTGGGCGAAACTTGGCTTTCTTTCACTTGGGTCAAAGACTCCGTTCGCCACCCCCCCCCAGGTTTACACACACACACACACGCACACGTTTTCTTGGGTTGGAACAATCATTTTTGTGGCAACGCATCTTTGCAGGTAAATAATGTCACAATTGCCACTCTTGTTTCCTGGGAGATTTGTCCTTCATGCTTCTCTGCTTATGGCATGTACTGACTTCCAGGCTGTGGTGAAAAAGGAATCCAGCCCAACATCCGGAACTATTCCCATTCCCCGCATTTCTGAAAGTAACAACGTCTTATAAAAATAAGTTTTTGGCAGTAGTGAAACTGATACGGATACTGGGAACAAGGGGTTTGATAAAATGGCACTAGAAGAAACAAGTTTAATAATTCCTAGCGCACTAAGCAGAGCAGATAAGCACTTGGTGAGAAAATGTTTTTTAATTCCACTGTCTCACAAATTATATTTGGAGTTTTCATTCCTGCCCTAGACTTAATCTATTTCCCTTGGATGTGTTTTTGTGTTCCTTCCAAAGGGTAGAAAGTTGTAGGGTCTTAGTTTCATTTTGGATGAGGGAGAACTTTTAAATTAATTTATTAAATTTCCATCTCACCCTTCTTCTCCTGAGAGCCTATAGTGGCAAATAACAAAGCAACAAAAATACAATTCCAACAAAACAAAAACATTTGAAACCTTAAAAACATAGAAAACATGAATAAATATTGGAAGGTCTGTCAGAGGATGACACATAATTTGAAGGATTGTTCTATTTCAAGATGGGAAACTTTTGGCTCAGAAACTTGAGGCCTGACTACGTTCCCAGTTTGACCCACAAGTTGTTTTGAATTGAAGCTGGCGATGAAAAGAATCTTCCATTGTAGGTGTGGCTTGAGCTGCCCCTACCAATTATTATTTGTTTTGTTTTGGTCCACCTGGTGTCATCGTGATTGACATGGAGGAGGCCCACCCCTTTGTCAAAGTGGCTGATGGAGTGGGGTGTGGGGCAGGGACCACAGTGCACAGTTTGCTGCCTGGATCGTTTTCCCCACCCCTGCTCTGTTTGAAAGTCTGCCTAGTCCATTTCTGGCTAAGAGATAAAAGAACCATCAGTAGGGAAAGCAAGAGCATGGAAGGTGCCCACCGGCCGTTAGTATGGAGGCAGAAGACTTAGTAGGCAATCAGGTAACCTAGTCACAGAAGTACTGTATTTCTGTTTAAATTGCAATAATTATTTCTAAATTTGCATCTACATATCAATTAATATAGCCAACATTTATGCAAATCTGTATCCTTGTTTTTCCTCTGATGCGTTTCTGATGCATCTCTTCTTTGTCTCAGTTGTCACCATCTCTCTTCCTCTCCCTCTCTCTCTCTCTCTCTCTCTCTCTGTGTGTGTGTGTGTGTATGTGTGACTTACTTTGTGTACACATAGACAGGGTTGCAATGAAAAGTACTTTAACTACTCACATACTGAAAACATCTCATTTCTCTTTGCACTAAGATGTTGATTACCTTAGTTGGACAAAGCACAAAAGATTTCCTGATAAAGGAAACACAAATGGGATAGGGTGGTTTACATAAAGACATCAGGAACTATAGGTAGAACCAACCGTAAGGTTTGTATTCCATTAAATTTGAGTCATTTAGCAAAACAAGGTGGAACAGTTGGAATGATGCTTTGAAAACACTGAGATATCAGCTTGGTGGTATATATGATGCTTTAATAAATATCTTTGATGACACAAGTCTAAAAGGTTTATCTGGAAATACTTCCTGAATTGAAGCTAAGCCCTTGCCGATGCAATTTGTAAGTTCAAGTTTGTGGTGTCCTTTGTTACATGGCACAACATCCCTTTTGAAGTCAGCCTTACAAGCAAAAGAGCTGATTTAAATTCAGCCATAAGACAATTGCAAGTGACCAAGAATTACCTTGTGGGTTGAAGGTGTGATGAGGCTTTTCAACAAGTTTTGATAGAGGCTACTGAGACTGCAAAGGAGCTAGAAATAATACCAAACTTTGAGACCGAATAAGTTAGAAAAAAGGAGAAAGAAATGACAGTTTGAATTTGAGGCAAGAAGAGGCACCACAAGATCCAAAGCAGAAATTTAAAGTAGGTCCTTACTAGACTGTCTTAGACATGGCCATACAGTTTGCTGAAGAGAGATTCTCACAGCTACAACAATATAATTCCCTATTTGGCTTCCTGAATGATATAAACAGTATCAACAAAAAGCTACTGAAGATGTATCTAAGGCCTGTGAGAATTTGGAAAAAATCATTGATGCACAATGGAAACAAACATTGGTGCTGAAGATCTGTGCTGTGAACTTACAGCAATAGCTTGAAGACTTTGAAATCTAGGGCATCACAAGGAGTTCTTCTCTTTATACTACAACTAAAACTCCTGGATAATGTGTCTAACGTTTCTATTGCTCTAAGAATCCTTCTCACTTCTCAGTGGCAAGCAGTGAACACAGTTTCTCAAAGTTATAAAAACTTACATACGCCCAGCCATGTTGCTGAAGAGCCTAGTTGGCTTAGCACCTATATCAATAGAACATTCCCAAGCATTGACCTGAAGGAATTGGTGCCAAAATTTGCAAAGGAAAAGGCACTCAAAGTGAGATTTTGGTGTGCCTGAAACTGAAACTTTTAGGAGGCTTAAATTTTAACATTGCAATTCACAAGATTATTCCACATTATTTTTGTGCTATATAGTATTGTCTTTTGTGTAAGATTGCTGTATTGCTTATTCTTCAAATTTAAAATAAATTTAGCAGCTTCAAGTTTTGTGCTTTTCTTTTCATTACATGACATCTGTTTTTGCAAACTGAGTTAGCAATTTTTTGGGGGGGTGTGCGCAAGTAGTTTGCCTTGCCAAGCTAGGAATACCCTGCATGGAAAGGAACATCCAATTAATTAGGTAATCTGGATCTTCCCTGAGCAAGGAAAAGATACTTATTGGGCTCACCTTTGTAGTGGAAGGGACCTGACACTTGCAAGTTCAAAATAGGCAAATGCATATGAGTCAAGCCAGATAGAACAAAGACCTCTCTGGTATGCAAGCCTAGCTTTGAAATGCAGATACAAGTTTTCTGGCCACATTCAATTTGAAGCTTCTTTAATAAGCTTCAGTGGCATGACATGTACAACTAATACATTTACCGGTATATAGCCAACACATTGTAACTTAATTGTGTGAGTAGGCTATTATTTACCTGAGTGGTTTGCTTGGTATACGAGTATCATGTTAAGACATTCTTGATTGATACTTCAATTGTATTAATGAATGGATGTTCATAATCTAATTCACATTAATTTAATTTATAATATACAGCTTGGGTTTGCTTTGCCAAATCTCATTGGATTTTATTTTTTGGTGCTAGATATTTTGTTTTAGCAAGCACATTACTGATTTTAGGGTTATAAAATATTTGCACTAGTTGTACTCTTGTACTCGAAATAAATGAGAATGAACGTTTAGTTCCTCTTTGTAACTGAAAAGCTCACATACCCCTTGTGCCATTATGTAGCCCCAATAAAAGTTATTGTCTTTATCAGTTTGTCTCTCTAAATTCTAGTGCCTGTTTAGGAATTCAGCACAGTTGTTATTATTTTTTAAAAAGATTCTTCTGAAACAGTCCAATTTCCAGTATGAGTAGTGGGAGATGACATGGAATAAATGTGGATAATATTTTGGAAATGTATGGCATGAGATGTGAGAGTTTTCATAATGTCCCAGCCCCCTTTCAGTGCGGCATATTCAGGAGAGAGGAGGCTTGGGAAGACAGCTGCATAGAGGGAGACAGCAAATAGACAAGGCTTTAATCCAACTCCCTTACCAGAGGGGTAGAGTGCTCTCTGCTTGTCTAACAAGTGGCTGATTAATTATGACAAGTACAGGATTGTTCTTTTGGTGAATGCACATGCTCCCAAAAAAATTCCAGTGGTCTTTCACCCTTGGCTCCTGTTGTTTTCAGTCATTTTTTCAGGTTTGTGCAAGCAGAACCATGGGAGATGAATGTAATGTGACCCATAAACTTTGTCACATCCTCATTAATTTGGCGATGTATTCCATTGTAGCCTACGGGAGCAGTCAGATTTTTAACAAGGAAATGAGGGTGCCGTCACTTAACGGCTTCATTTTGACAGCTACGAAGGCTGACACGTAAAAGGTGCAGTGTCAGGTTGTACATTTCCCCCACTTTAAACTGATGTGTATGTATTGGGGTGGTGGTGGTGGTGGTGGGGATTTTCACAATCATATAAATCTGGCCATGCAATGTTAGGACTCTGTAAGATTAAGAGAAGGCAATGACCCCAAGGCAAGGTATGTTTCGTCCTATATTTCTCATTGCTTAGTTCCCAGCTTTTATAGAATCTGTCTGCAACGTCTACAGGAAGGTAATAAATGTACAGAGTCATATAGACTCATATTGTATCATACTCCCTTTATTAGGGCCACAAAAAAATCACAAAGCCATAAGCTAGTTTTCAAATTTCAAACGATGCCTTATGAGGAACGGCTAAGGGAGCTGGGCATGTTTAGCCTGGAGAAGAGGACGTTAAGGGGTGATATGATAGCCATGTTCAAATATATAAAAGGACGTCACATAGAGGAGGGAGAAAGGTTGTTTTCTGCTGCTCCAGAGAAGCGGACACGGAGCAATGGATCCAAACTACAAGAAAGAAGATTCCACCTAAACATTAGGAAGAACTTCCTGACAGTAAGAGCTGTTTGACAGTGGAATTTGCTGCCAAGGAGTGTGGTGGAGTCTCCTTCTTTGGAGGTCTTTAAGCAGAGGCTTGACAACCATATGTCAGGAGTGCTCTGATGGTGTTTCCTGCTTGGCAGGGGGTTGGACTCGATGGCCCTTGTGGTCTCTTCCAACTCTAGGATTCTATGATTCTATGATTCTATAGCACTGTTCCTCAGACTCAATGGGGGGGAGGGGCAGAAGTACGTTGCTGAAAGGGGGCATGTTAGAAACCTCTGGCTGCCATATGTCAATCTTAAGATGGTAATTCAAGATGCTCTTGGCAAATTCTCATAGGTTAGTCAATGCCCAGTGCAAAAATATCACAGCTTATTTGAAACCTTATTGGGTCAAAGAAGCAATGGGCCCAAAGTAGCCTAGTTACTCTCTAGCGTTGTCATTAGCAGTGTTTGGAAGTGCACAACTGTTTCTTCTTTCAGCTGGTTTGGGGATGGAGTTCGTGAACGATGTTGCTTTGTGTGCCAAGTTGATAGGGCCTGGGACACACAGCTGTGAATCTTTCTTTGCAAAAAGGGGGTGCAAGGGGACCAGAATAAACAACCAGACAACAACCTGGGGTATTGCTTTTGCAAGGGAATATAACAAAAAATAACAGGACCAAAATGGAAGGTTCCAAACTTTCTTTCCTAAAGCTGAAATTACACAGTTTAGGAGTTTTCTCTTTCTTGTGAAGAGAAGTTCTGGAAAGGAGGAATATAAATTGGAGTGAAGGAATTACCTTGCTAGCACACTTGCCCTAACCCACACACTCGTCAAGGAGGGGAAGAAACACAGCAAGAACAGTGACGCCACCGGAGGACAGGCGGAGGGAGGGAGGGAGGCTTGAGCCAAGCGAGCCCAGCCCAGGGTAAAGCCCCCCAGCCGGGAGGGAAGGTACCCCGAGAGAGAGGGAGGCAGGTGGGCAATGGGACACCTTACCTGTGCTCTCATGCAGCAGCGGTGGAGAAGGAGGCTGCGGTGGCTTGGCATGGACAATTTGGGCGCAAGGGGCAGATATTGGGGGTGGGGCAAAAGGATCTGGACTCCTTAAAGTTGGTGCCTCTGCACAGGAAGAGGACCCTGGCCAGAGAGTTCCATAAAAATGGAAAAAATATTTGAGGTGGAAGAACGAAGTCATGTGTTGCCTTTTGAAATCTCTGCTGTGAAATATTCTCCAAATATTGTAGTCCTTTTTGTGAATTGGTTGTTCTCCGAATTGACACTGAGAGCAGGTTTTAATAGTCAGATGTCTTAGCAAGCAAAAGTTATTTCCCAACTAATCCAGAAATCCAATTGTCTAGTGAAAACAGCATTCTTCTCTGCCAAGACCCAGGTTTGAACTGTCTCCATATTGTTCTCTCCACACGCACAGGAACAACACATAGATCTAGTTCCTTCCATATGCATGGGAACTTTTCTTAAAGTAGCAAAAACTCCAGATTGCCTGCATCACAGGCCCAGCTTTTTTTCTGCCTTCCTATAAGCAAAAACCCATTCACAGCCAGGCAGGCCCACAAATGTAGCTCTTCTCTTCTGGTTGCTATGCCATCACCAAGGCCTGCTCTATTTCTTTTCAAAGTTGAAACATTCTGCTCTGCAAAGATGGCAACGTTTTCAATCAAACTAAGTTAAAAACACAACGTTCTTAATAAAAGGTTTGGGGAAAAATTAAGTGGTTTGATACATTATATATAAATAAGCATAAATATATGTGAAAACATTAATTTACTGGGTTGCCAAATACAAATTCCTCTGCTTATTTGGGTTGCCAATGTACTAAAACATTCTTAAAGATACAAAATGTATTTTAATTAGGACACCAGGGCTCCATTTGCAGCAGATACCAGTCTCACATTTTTCTGCAAGCTGGGTGCCAGTTTCTCTGCAAAGCACATTTTGCAGAGTTTGGGTCTTCAGGATCTCCTGGTGTAAAACAATCTGTCAGAATACTTTACTTGGATTTCTGAAAGCCAGGTAACATTCACCAGCAATCTTGTCCCACAATTTTCTTTTGGAAAGGAGTAAATTGCCTGGTGTGGGAGGGCTATTTTTCTCAAGATAAGATCGGAGCAGAGATGTTAGGCAGCCACCCCCACCCCCACCCCCGTTACTTTTGGGTATTGAAAAACTTTTCAGATATTTATGCAGCGTGTAAAATTAGCATGGCTTCTTTTTATTCTTGTTTACTAGATGTAAGTCCAGTAAAGGTTCTAAACCCGATCTTCATCTGCTTAGGGCGCAATGGACAATTTTCCAGTTCAACATTTCCCCTAAAACTTACATCCCTGCCAAAGATACCTCACTTCGTTGCAGACTTTGCTTCCACCAGCCACACATTTCTCTTTCCATTCTTCCTTTTTTGTTCAACACTGAGGTTAAAATTTAAAAGCTAGCTCACTCTTGGTTAGTCCTAAGGAAGGCATCATGATGGTGTTCCTGTCTGGGTCTTCCCCATGGACCAACAGGGGCGCCTGAAGTTTTTATCTTCGGTAATGGAACACATCAGAAGATCTGTCCTGGGTGGGGCTCAAAACTCGCCTTGCTGTTGCTCACACAGCATTTGAAAGTAGTTTCCTTGTTCAGCCAGTAGGAGGCAGGCTGTCACAAGAATCCATAACGTTTGACTCACCCCTGGGAAAACATTCACTGTTCAAGAATTTTTCATCTCTTTGGAACTTAAGATGCATTTTAAAAATCTATCCTCCGCCTCGCTATTCTTTTACCACATGTGAGGTGCCCAAAAGATACCACAGTTTCAGAAGGACAATTTTACACTTTTTATATGTTTTTAATGTTTTCCATTGTTTTCAAATATTTAAAATATGGTTTTATTATGTATTGTATTATTATATTTGAGTTTGCCACCCTGGGCTCCTTTGAGAGAAAGGGTGGGTTACAAATTTGATAAATAAATCTTTTCAAATCAGGAGCTCTATTTTAATGCTTGGAAAACTTGTCTCTCCCCTCAAATTTGGGGTCCTCTAATCCTGTTGTTGAGGAGGGGAGAAATGAAATTAAAGTTTGCCTGTTGTGAAGTTTTTCTGTTTCTCTTTGCAGTGAATAGACTGCCATGCAATTGTGGAGTGAAAGAGACAATGATCTATATACAAACAGAGCAGAGGAGTCTGCCCACATATTAAGGGAGCCTGGTGCTCATTTCTCCAGGGAAGTGTGGACCTGAGAGCTGGTTATTGAGGCTGCACTCCTCTGCAAACGTTCCTGGGAGTATTGCCCATGGATATTAACTTTATTTTCATATGGCTATGACTTGAGAGGAATGACTCTGAATCTGGACATTGTGAGACTTAGTTCCCATCTTTAAAATGCCAGTGACTTCAGGCTTTGAATGTCATGTTTAAATCAATTAAACAATTAGTGAGTAATTGATTAAAAAACCCTTAAAAGCTACCCCTGACTACTCAGGTGGCGTGCACGCACACACACAAAAGTTTGATTACTTTTAATTCAAGTACATATAAAAACTGCAGGTGGAAAGTATCACTGTAGCAGAGGCATTGCCTCCCTTGTGCAAAAGAAAAAGGGAATTTAGGGTGATACTTGCTGCAATATAGGCATGCATAATTTGGTGATGATTCTGTATAATAATATGAAAATGAAAATTTACTCAATCGATTAATTGAGCAACTGAGATTTCTGTAATTAGGTAGCATTCCTGCTTTATAAGATTCACCCCAAAGGGTATCTCTTGAGAGAGAAACAATGCCCTCTAGTTAAAAAAGGTTCCAAAGAGAACTATCAGTCCAACCAAACAGAACCAGTGTCCCTACTGTGAGAAACGGATCCCTTTCGCAGAAAGTTCTGCTTATTATTCTTCAGGTGCTAAAATTTTATTTATTTATTTATTTATTTATTTATTTAATCTGAGTTGCCTTTCTGTCATACAGCATGGTGACATACAATTAAAACACAGAAATATATAGTTTAGAATCTGCAATATTTTGTTGTCATCCATCTGCATTGAGAGAATGGATGCACCTCAGGGAGTGAAGTCAAACCACTGTGTCAGCAGCACTGAAGCGACACCCCCCCCCCCGAGAGCACAAGCCTGGGCTGTGTGGATGGAGGTCCTGGGCTGCCCAGACGACAAGAACCCCCCCCCCCCCGGCCTTGCTGTTCTTGTCTGAAGGAAAGCAGAGCAAGACATTTGGCAGCAGCTTGGCTGGAAGGAGACATACAAGGCACCATCCAACTGCCTTAGGGACTCCACTCTGGATTTTGTAGGGTTTAATGCTTAGCCTTCTCTTCTCCCCAAGATCTCCCACAAGGCAGCAGAGGTTTAGAATTTTCCTTCTCCTAAATGGACTACCTTCCCAGGTTGACAAGCCCCATCTGCCCTTCACTCCCCTCTACAGCAGAAACCGCCTTCTTGACTCTTGGGCCCACTATTGGTCTCGTCTGCTCAATCTGCTGGAGCCTGTCTTCACATGCAGGGGACGTTCACAGAAGGAACCCTCACCTGGTTTAGCCAGCCAGTCGAGGTCGTTCCCAGGGTGTGGCAGCTGCCACATGCTGACAGCTTCTAGGAGCTACAGGTGAGAGCAGAGTGCAGGGTGGACCAAAGGTGGACAAACTACCCCGGAAGGAGCACGACATGTCCCCCACCAGGGGTACTACCCCTCCCCTAACACCCCATATATCCCAATCTTCAATGAATTCTATACAGTGAAACTCACAGAGACAGTAAAATAAAATAAAACCGCTGCAATTAATTAATTAAGAAATGTTATAATGCTAAAACATGAGCTGTGAAAGAAGCTTTTGTAATTTTAAAAAAGTTGTATTCTGACACTTAAAATGCCTGAAACTGTCAAGAGGCCACACAAAGTCCCCTGAATAGATAATATATTAATGGGTAGAGGCCCCAGCTGAAAAGGCTCTGCCTGTGTATCAGCAGATCCTTCAGCAAAAGAATGGCTGTGTAAGGGGTTTTCCTTCAGGTTGCAGGCATTAGGGAGGTATGCGTGAAGAAGGCACTTTCTAAGGCATGGGTGGGAAACTCCAACTCCCATCAGCCCCAGCCTGTTCAGGGTTATAAAGGTTATAATCAGCACCTCAAATTGGGCAAATTTCAAATAATATTTCTGAAGAAAGTCTTTGGTTCATCCATACCTGTCACTTCAGCTGAGCTTATTGTATATATTGCTTGTAGATACATCACTTTTGATTCCTCTAGGGCAAAAATTGATTCATCTCCCAAATGTCATATTGATGAGGAGGATGAACTGCTTGTTTCTTGTATGTCTGAGAACAGCAGGAGGCAAGACAGGTCTCCTCTGCGCTTCCTTCGGTTTCTTTTGTTTGAACAGGGATGCCCCTAGGGACCAGGTTCCAACTGCGCTAATGAAATTGGTAATTAAAGATATTTCAGAACAATTAGCTAAACTGCTTTCTAGTCGTACTGCTCTGTCTGTTCAAGGTTCAATATTTGACCAATTAGAGCATCTCCATTCTTTTTTAAAAATTAACTATTTCCTTCCATGTGCTTACTACTTTATTTTGAAAGATGCTGATACCATTTTTAGTTTTTTAAAAAATGAAATCTTCCCATAACAAACAGTCATAAAAAAAAAATCAGAGGCGTCTTCAGTCTTACAAGTTTACTATCAACAAATTGTTGTATTACACAATTAAGACTAATAAATTAAGAACTGTCACACATTACAGAGCTGCATCATGCCAAAATGAATACTGAGCTACTGGGGAGTCAAAGCTCTCCATCTTCTACAATGGTATATCCAAGGAATAGGAACCATATTTCTGTAAACCTGTCCTTCTTTGGTTTCACCTCTTGCTCTCTTACCCTATTATGTTAATCTTGCAGTAGTGATTATACTCATACATTATCCATAAATTGATTTCACATACCTTTCCAGCTTCTGATCACACAAAGATACTAATTTCATGAGTTGCTGTTTAGAGGTCCTCTAATATTGATCCAGTCATTAATGCTGATATTTGGGTATCACTAACCTTTCTTTCTTTCTTTCAAGCTTCAGCTTAATGGTTTGGTGATGTTTTCAAGTCACACAGTCACTTTCGGAATCATATCAGTTCCTCAGCAAGTAGGCATTGGTGTTTTATGAAATCCTTTTGCTAATCTAAAGCATTATTGTATGTGGACTGGAAGAATTTGGAGCCAGCTTCTATGATGAGAACTTCACATTTCCTTGCTTGAATACTCAGGAATGTGCAGCTATAACTCTTTTATTATGATATAAAGTGTTTCCAATGTCTTTTTTTTATCCCCCCCCCCAGCGTTGGATATGCCTTAAAGCAGAGCTTTCCAAACTATGTGTCGCGACACGTTAGTATGTTGGCTGCAGCACTTAGGTGTATCACATGACTGCTCCCTGCACTCCAGTTTGCTAGTAAAACTGAATTACTGTGTCACAAAATGATGAATGTCTAAAAAGTATGTCACCAACATGAAATATTTGGAATGCTCTGCCTTAAAGCTTGTTCAGAGGAAGTCTTCCTCTGAACACTGTGTATAAGAACTCATATGACATTCCTTTCCTTAGACATCCCTTAAATTCCAAGCCTGGGTACTTTCCAAAGGTGATACCATGTTTTTTCTTTGTCATTAAGTTGCTTTTGTGAGCTGCACAAACAACCCAAACTAGCATGGGATTTCAGTTTGTTGGTCACATTGAGAATTGCATGCTACCATGAGGAAAGCTTTTCTTTACAGTCAGGTTATTTTAGTAACCTAGTAAATGTGCAATGACAGAAAGTACTTGAACCTAAAGACACTTTAGAGTATTTCTGTAATTCAGAGTTCTTTTGCCACCAGGCTTCATATTTTGAGCATAAGGCACAAAACTGAGCAAGGTGGGCAGTATCCATTAAGGGATACCTGCAGTCTCCTGAATGCCACATTTCAAGATCATCAAAAATACTGTGTAACTATAACATAAATATCAAGAAAAACAAAAAGGAAAGTACTCCAACCTGCAGATATTTAAACTATAGTCTCATGCATTATATAACCAAATGATCATTGACTGTGTCAGAGGGGGCCTCCCCCAGACACTGTCTCATCAGGAGCTCTGTTCCGTAGGATGGACTTTTAGTGTGGTGGCACCCAGCCTTTGGAAATCCCTCCCGGACATACCAGACAAGCAGTGTCTCTGTTGTCTTTTTCAACAAGCTGTCCTAAGTGGAGTTTTTTATCCCAGGCTGTATCTGTATTGGATTAGAAATTGTTTTTATATACAAAATTGTTTTATACATGTTTTCGCTGTTGATGCTTTTATTGCTAAGGAGCTTTGAGATGTTAATAAATGGCTATAAAGAAATAATATATAATATGTAGGCCGCAGTTGTGAGCAGAAAGGTGGTATATAAATATAGCCAATAAATAATTAAATTAAGACTGGGCCATTTTCAGAATCAGAAAATCAGCTTTCAGTGTAGAAAAGGAAAGTCTCATAAGAGAAGATAAGCATATTTTTGATGAGACTACTCATTGCCTGTTCATAGCATAATTTTAGACCTATTATGCTTCTATGGAGCGTTGGGGAAGGGATAGGACCTCTGCTGGGGGAAACACATTGTGCTGCTTCTGGGTTAGTTTGACATCTTTGCCCCCCGCCCCTGCACTCAGCTCTCACCTGTGGCTCCTAGAAGCTGTCAGCATGTGACAGTGGTCACACTCTAGGAAATGGCTTCAAGTGTCCAACTAAAGCAGGTGAGGATGGCCAGTGGGTCTCAAACTAGGGCTGCCATGTTTCAAAAAGTGAAAATTTGGACACAAAGGTTGTTGAGTTTTGGAGCTGCTATGGGTTGCCATATGGGTTTCCCCAGACCTTTTAGCCAATTTTCAAAAATTCTGCCCGGATGCTATTTCCAGCTGATGAGTACCGGATGTATGGCAGCCTTCTCTCAAACCCTTGGTGAGTTAGGGACTTCCCCAGCATGTGAAGACAGGCTCTGGCAGATAGAGTGGACGAGAACAATAGTAAGTCCAACAGTCAAGAAGGCAGGGCCAGATAGGGCTTGTCAACCTGGTAAGGTAACTCCTCTGATTCTAAACCTCTGCTGCCTTGCGGGATATTTTTGGGAGAAGAAAAGGGAAAGGAATAAACGCTACACAAATCCAGAGTGGAATCCCTAGGACAGTTGAATGGCAACCTGTACTCCTCCTTCCATCAACTCCTGCAGCCAAGCTGGTGCCAGATGTATTGCTCTGCTTTCCTTTGAATCACAAGAGGAGGGTCTTATTGTCGGGGCAGCCCAGGACCTCCATATGCACTGCACAGGCTTGCACCCCAGAGAGGTCATTTCAGTGCCGCTAAATGTTTGATTTCACCCCTGGAGGTACATTCCATTGTCTCTTGAGACAATGCCAACAACAATGATTCATTTTTCTAAGAGTAAATAGTCCTGGTTGACCCATTACTGCAGTATTTGTTCTGGCTGCTTTTGTCAGACTTGGAACTGGACTCATTACTGTATTACATCTGGATGTTAGGAAAGCTTTATTGATAAAATCACTCTAGTATGGAAGGAAAGAAAAGTGCCGACCAGAGAAGAATGGCAGACTAAACTGGTGGAGTACGCAGAGATGGCGGAATTGACGGGGAAGATCAGAAACCAGGAAGATCAAGTATTTTTTAAAGATTGGAGTAAATTTTTAATTTATTTAAAAGACCACTGTAATCACTTAAAATCATTGGCAGGGATGTAATGACACTTGTAGTGTGGAATTAAGTGTGGCAACTATAGATATTTAAAAGATGGATGAAGGGAAAAGATGCAGAAAAATTTATCTTAAATATGGAACCCGTGGAGGGAGGGAAGGAGGTCCAAAGGTTTAACAGAACCTTTTATTTTAATGTTTGAAATGGTTAAAGTTAAAATGTATAACATTTTCTAAAACCAATAAAAAATGTTATACATATATAAAGATAAAATCACTCCAGCATCCCAATATGGGCCTACAGGCTACAAACAGGTGAGGAATGGCAGAGTATAGCAAGACATGGCTAGGTATAGCTAAGATGTTGACCCAACATTCAACATGCCCCCTGTAACCTTCTTTTGAAGAGTGATGTGGCCACCTCTGTTTGTGCAATTTACACCCTGAGCTTCAGGACTGGGCAAGCAAGGGACTCCCCATCCCCAGAGGCTGCCTCTGTGAGGTGGGCCACCACATCCTTGGTGATGGGGCAGAGCCAGAGCTGGTTCAACATTACACTTTCCCCCCTGCACCATCCCAGGACGGGGGGGGGGGGCTCTTGCTAGAGGCAGCTCCACAGTGAGTGACTCAGGATTGGGCCATCCAGGGACATGGGGGGCTGAGGGATCACAGCCTGCTAGGTCCTTCCCTGGGATCCAGATCTCCTCCTCCCAGCCTGCTGGACCCCTCCTCTGGGTCAGATTCTCATGCCACAACCTGCTATGATCCTCCCAGGGTCATCCCCTCCCCCCTCCCCAATTTCTTCCCATTTATCCTTGGCACCTGACCACCCCCTACAGCATCTCAACAGAACACATGATATCATTTCATAGAGCTGGTAACGTGATATGTGGGGGTATCTTTCCTATGTGGTCTCTCACAGAACCTTTGAGTAATATGCCCCCACCTCTCGGTTGGACAGGTGACGCACATTGCCTACAGCTTGCAGGTCTTACCTGCACAGACACTATAAAGGGTGTAGTCAGACAGGAGGTTTTTGTGTGTGAATTCTCCTGGTTTTCTTGTTAGTGGTTTCAATAATGCTTTCACACCATGCATTGTTTTCCATTGCAACGTCCAGCAAAAATTGCCTTTCAGTCCCAGCAACAGGAGTGGCTGCACAATTATGTAACTGCATCCTGTTTTCATCCCTCCCTCAGCTGCATGGCTGCTCCCTGCTCCCCTACTGCCCATCCGGCACATGGGCACAGGTTTCCGCAGTTGAGTAAACGGCACTTGTAGTGCCATCCTAACTAAAGGCTTGTCCACACTTCCACTTGTCCCATGTCTAGAATGCATAAGTTAAAGTTGGAAGTTGGAGTTGGAAGGGACCCTGAGGATCATCTAGTCGAACCCCCTGCAATGCAGGAATATGCTGCTGCCCTGTACAGGGATCGAACCTGCAACCTTGGCATTATCAGCACCATGCTCTAACCAGCTGAGCTACCCAGTGCCTTTGATGTGGGCTTGTGGTGGTCTCTAAATAACTGAGGTGTGAAGCGTGGCTATGCACTAGCATGGGATTGCCTTGCTCAGCTGCTGCAGGGGCGGCAGGATCTTCTGAGCTGCAGAAGTTTTCAAAATGCAAGCTGCTTTGTGCAGCCACAATCTGGCTGTACAATCTGTGTGACTGTACAGATGATCACTCAAGGAACTGCGGTTACAGGGAAGCAACCCGTTTTTCTGATTAAAAAAATTGCAAAAATCATGCTGAAATGCAGAGCAAGCACGTATCCTATGTTCACATTTGAAAGTGAACATTCAGGTTTTGACTTGAAATATCAACCTTCTTCTTTTCAACCATTGTTTCTAAATGACAAAGGAACAGCCAAGTGTGGCAAAAGAAAAAATAAAAAGCTATGGTTTAAGCGGCTGGTTGACCTGGGAAGCATAATTGGACCAGATAGGTAGTCCTTAAGGCAGGTTTAACTGGACAGGAAAATGAAGATCTCCATCCATAACCCAGTGTGGGAAAGAACGGAGACAAGATGACTAATGGTTCATAAAAGCAGCAAACTTATTGACTAATAGAATTCTTAGTCATGAAGTCCCCATGTTCCATATGTACCAAAATCAAAGCAATTACTGATTTAAGTGAAGCTGAAATCTATAGAGCAGAAAATGCTTGTTTTAGCATAAGATTGGACGAAGGTGAATGACCTGTAAAACCTCTGGTAATGAAAGCTCTTCACAGCTTGCAGTGTTTCACCGAATGGTAATTGCTTCAGTCTGTGATATAGATCTAGCTGTGTTAATGATGCACTGTTCCTTTTCACAGGACTTATTTAAGCTTCACATTTTTCACAGATTTGAGAGAAACAAGGCATTGTAGAAATTAACACATTAACATTGACATTTTATCACTTTGCAAATTTAAAATATTATTGAAAATTTGGAACTTGAAAAAAAAAACCTCCACTTAGGACCCATTTCATTTTGGGATGCCATTCACCTATGTAAGTTCACAGCTAGGTGATATCTTTAGGTTAGGCTTAGTGGAGCCAGAAAGTAGGAATCTCTCTGGTAATTCATTTTTCTTATGCTCACAGAAAAGAAACACATTATATCAAGGATCGCATTGCAGGGTCAGCCCCAAAACTTTGCTGCCTGAGGCACATAAGATGGCAACCCCCATTCCACATATAGACACCACCAGACTGGCAGGTCTGGAGACAGAACAGTGTTCTGTAATGCACCCAAGCTTAGGGGCAGACACTGCTCCCTCCACCAACACCTTGCCCCCCCCGCCCAGCATCTGCCACCTGAGGCACTACCTCACTCAAGCTCAGGGGTCAGCAACCTTTTGCAGCTGTGGGCCAGTCCACTGTCCCTCAGACCTTGTGGGGGGCCGGACTATATGGGGGGGAATGAACAAATTCCTATGCCCCACAAATAACCCAGAGATCAATTTTAAATGAAAGCACACATTCTACTCATGTAAAAACACACTGATTCCCGGACCATCCATGGGCCGGATTGAGAAGGCGATTGGCCACATCCGGCCCCTGGGCCTTAGGTTGCCTACCCCTGATCTAGCTAGTGGTAGAGCCAGCCCTGTTGAGTTGCAAATGAAATACTAACATCTGTCTGCTTCACTGAATTAATCACAGGAAAGAGGCTCCTTGTGCGCATTCCCCTCTCCCCACCTTTTCCAATATGGATTTGATGGGATCTTAAATTGTGCGGCTTTCATTCAGATTCCAGGAAAGATCCATTCTGCTAATCACCTTGAACTCAAGGGTTGTGGAAGAGGTTTGAGTCAACCTCTTCACAGATAAACAAACAGTCGTAGGCAAAGGGCTAACAAAGGAGCTGCCTTGAAGGGGCATTAAATTTCAGGGGTGGGGTTGGCAGAGAAGTCTGTTCTGGCAGCTTCTGAAATGCTTTTGGAGAAGTCTAATAACTAGTCCTCCAGCGACAGTGCTCAATTTCCCCCCAACACGTGTAATTTTCTCTGAATGACATGGCAGCGCGCTGTCCCAAGGGGAACCAGAGTTAATTTCTTTCTTTGACCCACCCGGCCGATCTGGCCTGACCTCTGGCCCAGCTGGACAGGAAGGTCAGGAAGAAAGACTAGAAAAGACTGGGAGTAAATGATAAAGGGCTTTTGCCACTTAGAGTTTGAACAAGACGGAAATGGCATTTCCAGTTAACTTAATCATAGGAGGATATCTGACCGAATAGAAGCAACAGGATTCAATTACTGTATCTGGTAACACGGCCCCCAGGGATAAGTGTTTTAGTCTTCTCATGCAGTTCAACTTTATACTCAAAATGCTGCAGTCCTATTAATAATCAGGTATGATGCTCCAGGTGAACGATTGGGCAAGAAGTGGACCCGCTTACCTTGGAATGGGTTCACAGAAGGAACTTTTGATCTCTTTCTCTTTTGGCTCTGGAAACAAGGAAAGAAGGCTTGATGTTAATAAATGTATTAAATCTGCCTGTCTACAAGAAAATATAAAAAATCAGATCAAGGCAAGACGTTTTAATTAGGATGGACACAAATAGTCATGCTCCTGTTGTAGAAATCACATATTTCTTGTTGTGAATTAAAGTGATCTGAAGAAGGAACTGGTTTGAGAATACAGTATCAGATTTGTGGAAAGCAACTGATCGTTCCAACTTTGCACAGTTATGAAAATTGGATTAAAGAGAATTGGACTATTTGCTAAATATGTATATAATGAAGAAGCATGAGCTGGCCCTAATTTGGGAAATATTGCCTGTAATTTAACGAAGACATAAGGTGCTCTTGCCAATGGAGTCACTCCGGAGGGGGAAGCTGGAGGGCAAGGGAAAAGGAACACCTTTCTGTCCTGTTCTTATTACTTTATGAGACTTTTCTAAACTAGTTTGCATTTATCACAAGATTACTCTTCCATGTACCTCATACCTAAAATATTTTTACATCGCAATGTCATTCTCTTCAAATGTAAATCCCACTTAATTCAATGGGACTTACCACGTAAACTTAATACATAACATAGAATCAATTTAAACATAGTTATCTTTAACATATACAGTGGTACCTCAGGTTACAAACGCTTTGGGTTACAAACGCTTTGGGTTACAAACTCTGCTAACCTGAAAGTAGTACCTCGGGTTGAGAACTTTGCCCCGAGATGAGAACGGAAATTGCGTAGCGGCGGTGCGGCGGCAGCAGCAGGAGGCCCCATTAGCGAAAGCGTGCCTCAGGTTAAGAACAGTTTCGGGTTAAGAACGGACCTCCAGAACAAATTAAGTTCGTAACCTGAGGTACCACTCTTTCTGTGTACTCTTGAACTTGAGTTTTAGTCAAGAGCTGACGGTAGTTTTTAAGCGAGTTGAAAGTGGTTTGAGAGCAGTTCTCCCCCATGATGTTGTATTAGCGCATATCACTTCAGGGGGTGAAACTTTATCTTTGCATTTTTCTTCAGTGAGGGGTCTTAAGATATGTTTTTAGGTGTGAGGAATTCAAATTTGCTATTAATTTTTGTAATTGGAAAACATTTAGCTTGGTAAATCTACAGTTGATTAAAAAGCACATAAATTGCTCTTGAAAAACCAAGTTCCATATTTTTTGCTCTATAATAATAATAATAATAATATATTACTTATACCCCGCCCATCTGGCTGGGCTTCCCCAGCCACTCTGGGCGGCTTCCAAAAGAATATTAAAATACTGTGATACATCAAACATTAAAAGCTTCCCTAAACAGGGCTGCCTTCAGATGCCTATAAGACTCACTTTTTCCCTCCTAAAAAGTAAGGGGAAATGTGTGTGCATCTTATGGAGCGAATGCAGGCTGTGCAGCTATCACAGAAGCCAGAACAGCAAGAGGGATTGCTGCTTTCACTGTGCAGCGATCCCTCTTGCTGTTCTGGCTTCTGAGATTCAGAATATTTTTTTTCTTGTTTTCCTCCTCCCAAAACTAGGTGCGTCTTGTGGTCTGGTGCGTCTTATAGAGCAAAAAATACGGTGATTTTAATTTTACTTTCTGAAAATGTCAGGTAATGCTATCAAAATTGTTAGTTTCCCTGCATAAAACACGTCCCACTCAGCATACAATGTTACCTTGTAATCATAAAACAACATCAGAAAGTAAGACATCAATTAATAAGGAATTTAAGCAATAAGTTTCATCAAGTGTGGCTTTGATTCATTTTTGGACCTCAGCTGATGACTTGCTTCTTGGCCTCTGTAGCCCTCGCATTTCTCATGGGAATAAACCCTGCCTGCTGCCTCTGTGACATGTTTCACACAACATTCTATAGACTGAACATGTTGACTATGGAATTTGCAAAGGCTTGGGAATGAACTTCTTCATCTTTACTTCTGCTGTATTAAGTTTACATGTCAAAGGAGGTTCATATACCCCATCAGACCAGTCCATCAGCTCCAACAGGGATGAAGCCTTGGGGTTGATGGAAAGTATGTCTTCCTCAGTAATACAGAAAGCTCTCTCAGTGTGCCATCATCTCCACTCCTCATCAACAATCTTTTGGACACCAGCTCTCCTTTCCTCACTGTCATCTGAGCACAAGAGTGTCTGGATTATCATTTCATGGAATGTATGCCATGCTGAATGCTGGTTGGCTGGCAAAACAGCATCCACTGCAGCCTTCTTTTGCAGCCTAAGTTGCCACAGCTGAAACAAGATGTGGCGTGGGCTTTCCACCCAATAGTATTTGATGTTGAACCAGCAGGGGTAGTACATGCAAACAATGTATTCTACTACCAGTCGTAAGTTGTTGAGGGTTTTGCCTTTAAGGCCATGTTTTGAAACCCATATGTGACAAAGCCTCTTTGATGCTATTAGCCACCTAGAATGACTCACTGGACCAAGAGGGGCCAAATTCATGGGAAGTTTTCTTGTCCTTATGTCCTGTATGATCTGATATCCTTACTCTTGATTAGTAGGCAGATCCTTCATGATGTTGTCCTGTAGTGAAGTAAGAGGCTTTCCAGTTGAGAGTTTGGTGAATGAAGGATCAATTTCAAGTTCTATAGCAATTTCAAGTTTCTCACATCTTGCCAATGTTACCTGCCCACTTGATCTGTGATCACCTGCTATGATCAAGTGGTGCTGTCACTGGTTTGAGGGCACAAACCAACCAGGTGCATGGTACCATCCTCCCAGCCCATGTTAATACTTGAAAAATCACCTCTAATGGCCTGCAGGCTCCTGTCAATGCCCTTCTTCCTCATGAGATCTATAAGATTATTCGCAATAACTTCAGCTGGTTTTTCTCTCTTTGAGACTTTCTCCAGAGTGAAGTGGTAGATATATCTTCCACCAGGCTCACTGCACACACACTTGCAATTGAGGATATGAGAAGGCTTGTCAAGTTCTGAAGTTTTGATTTCTGTGCTATTTTACACACATTTTTTCACAAAAATGTTAATAAGTTAAAAATTATGGGAAATTCCACAAAAACGTAAAAAAGGAAATAATTTTATATAATTATTTACCAAGTTGAACTAAATTATATTAATTTAACCAAAATATCTTTTGACTTCCCAAGTCATGTTACAACTTTTTAGCACCCTTCACTTCTGGAATTTGAAAGTTGACAGCCTAATGTTGTTTCTTCCGATCAAACAGATTTTCAGGATTTTGAAACAATAAGGAAGTCTATAGGGTTTATTATTATTATTATTATACAGTAGGTGAATGTGAAGGAAACTAATTTAGCCTTTTAGGTTTGGGTACATTCCTGTGGGGCATCACAGCAAGTGTTCTTTTAAATACTTCACAAGCTAATGAGGTACGAATGCACAGTGTTTCTGTAGATGTGTGCAGCAAATCCACTGTCCTGTTTTCAGGAATGAACCGCTGTCCTGATTGCTCCTCTTTCTCATTTGTCTCTGGCTAACAAACATTAAAGATTGATCTGTTGCGTGTGCCTCAAAGTGGTATTCCACTGCATGCTTGGAAACAGCCAGGCAAGGGCTGTCAGTGTTGTCAGTCTGGGAAAACAAACCCCAGCAGCAAGGAGGGCACAAGCTGGTCCTGTTCAGCTCTGGAGTGGGACATGTGGATTCCTCAGGGAGGTGAAGCTCTGCTGATAAAGGAAGATGGCCCTTTGCCCCTCTTTCCACAAACAAAATAGGAAATAAACTGTTCTAATTTAAAGAAACTCTTATTGCCACTCTGCCAAGTGTTGCCTCTCCCAGTTCCACCGACAGCACCTGACTGAGCCACATTTCAGCAGCTAATGAGTGTGAGTTTAAAAAAACCTTAAAGCCTTTTCCTGCAAGCTGGTGACTGACACAAATGGAGTTCATATTTAATCATCTGTTAACTCGTTGTCTATTATAGCTCTTTAATAGCACCATAGATATTCTTAATGAAGCATGATTTAAGGTATTTACAGCTCTAGGACCGACAGACATCACTCACAGTGTGCAGGTAATGAGGCATAAAACAGCTCTTGGAAACTGTAAGAAAAGGAGGGGGGAGAGAAAGAGAGATCTGGCAAGAAGGTAGAAGCTGAATTGTTCCAAGGTTTGTTTTAAAATGTTTAGGCATTTAAAGTCATTTCAGCTTTTTAGAGGTGTCTGGTAGCACAGGGTTCAGCAATTACAGCTGCTGTGCAGCTCTCATCATAGTGAAGGAGTTCATGGTGTTAATACCCATCTTTAAGATTATTATTTTTTCAAAAAGCAAAGTAATGGTTCCTCATTGCTATAGCTGCTTAAAACGTGCCATTCGGAGAGTGTGTGTGAGAGAGAGAAAGAGAGAGAGAGAGACTCCCATTTTTTCACAGTTGTTTGAATGCCAAAGTCTTCCTGTGAACTTTGTTGGGTTGTATATAGTGATCTCAGAATCAAGGACTGGACATGTTATTAATTTTGGGAAATAAGGGAAAAGGAGACCTCAAAAGTATACGGAAGTTGGTTCTTAAGGTCCAACGTGCTTTAAATCATAAAGCAAACGAAGCTATCAAATAGTCTGCAGTCTTGATTGGATTGATTCAGTTGCCCTTGAAAAGGAGTGTTACAACTAATACAAATTAGTTCTTCATAAATTATTTTTCTGTGAACCTCTGAGTCCTCTTTTCTTCCTTTCTGTGCTGGTGCCTTCCTTCAATTAATTTAGGGACCCGAAATTATAAGTTTCCCTTAAATTGTAAGGAACAAGGGTGTGGAATGTCTTAGTGGGCTTTCATCCAGGATCATATCAGGAAGAAATAGGTGAGATATTAATTATATTTGCAGGATAGGATAGGCTGGCATAGGCAGCGAGCTTCTTCAGTCTCATTGCCGCCCTTGTAGAACTCAGCAGCGAGCGGGACAGAGACAAAACTAGAACTAGTTGGCTTTGCTTGTCATCTCTGTTGGGCTCTTTGCCTCCCACCCAACAAGGCTTGGTGGACACCGGCCTCCCTCCCCAGAAGATGCTCTCTATAGCCAAGACTTTGCACCCTCAGTCTGTCATGTAAAACTTATAGATCAGTTATAGGCATTGTTAGCATGATATGTAAAAGATAGAATCTTGTGAAATTAATTTCATCTTTGGTCTAGAAATTTAGGTTTGCCCTGAGATAAGCTGGTGCATCAGGTTTCAGAATTGTAAGGTAATTAGGTAAGGCCAGCCTATTTGGGCAACAGTATATGGACATTATTCTCACAGTAAATTCACCAGGAGGACCCACAAAATCTGTGAGAGGTGCTTTTTTGTCTCTATTAATATGCCCAAGCATAGGGTTCTGTTTTTTTACTTAGTTTTTAGACAGTGTTATTGAATGTTATTTTTGTACTTTTATTTTTTAACGAAAAATGCTTGAGTTTTATATTATATTTTGTGATATAAAATTATTGTAAATAAATAATATGAGAGAAGGTGCTCAGGAAAGGGAAGGATCCAGCCTGTTCAGGCCTTTAGTGGTAAAAACTTGCACCTTGCCTTTGTCCGGGAAGAACTGTAGCCCAGTGGTGGATCAGCTGCTTTGCATGCAGAAGGCTCCAGGTTCAATTTCTGGCAGGGATCCCTACCAGAAACCATGGAGATTAGAAAGTACTGAGCGAGGTGAACCAAGGACCTGACTCTGTATAAGACAGCTTCCTGTTTTCCTGTGTTGCAAACAGATACTATAAGATTGAAGTTATGTGATCTCTGTTACATACCCCAGGAAATAAATGAACAAGTCAGCTCTACACTAGTTGAAGCATCAAGGGTGTCCCATGTAAAGCATATTGCAGTAATCCAAGCATGAGGTATCAAGGGGAAAAAAACAAATGCAAAATAATGGAGGAGAGGAGAGGTCACAAGTGGCTTACCAGGTGAACCAACACAGTCATACTTCTGGTTAAAGTTGCTTCAGGTTGAGCGTTTTTGGGTTGCACTCTAGGTTTCGCTGCTCCCGCATGCACAGACGCTCAAAATGACGTCACGTGCATGTGCAGAAGCGGTGAATCGTGACCTGCGCGGACGCGCAAACACAGGTTGCGTTTGCTTCAGGATGCGAATGGGGCTCCGGAACAGATCCTGTTCGCATCCAGAGGTACCACTGTATTTGAAAACAGTTCTGATCTGCACAAAAGGTAGCTGTTTTGGCCCATAAGAAAAAAAATCCTAAATTCAAAAAATGTTTCCAAATTATATTTCAAGTTCTCCAAAACTATTCATTAGGCTAGAGTCAAGCAGGAAAGGGGGGTAAAATGTTGACTGGTGGTAAAACTATGAGGAGTCTTAAGATACAATGGTACCTCGGGTTACATATGCTTCAGGTTACATACCCTTCAGGTTACAGACTCCGCTAACCCAGAAATAGTACCTCGGGTTAAGAACTTTGCTTCAGGATGAGAACAGAAATCGTGCTCCAGTGGCACAGCAGCAGCAGGAGGCCCTATTAGCTAAAGTGGTGCTTCAGATTAAGAACAGTTTCAGGTTAAGAACGGACCTCCGGAACAAATTAAGTACTTAACCCGAGGTACCACTGTAGAATGTAGCTCAAATGCAGTCTCTATGCAGGCTTCAAGTTCCTCAAAGTCTTTTTGGCCAATGGCCGATTCGCCATTTCCAGAAACACAAAAAACAGTATGGTAGTTACGCAGGTCTGTCTTTGTCATTGAGCAAAAAATACACAGTTTCCTTTGTAGGCTGAGAAACTAAGGAGCAAAGGCACAAATTAATTTTTAGTGGTGCTAGGTAATTTAAAAAGTCAGCATATGCCCATCTCTCCCACCCCACTTTGTTTAGCATCTGGTCTGATGAACGTTGCTGCCTTTACTTTATGTGTGCCGTGGAGACCTCTGAATTTAGCCATTTAACAGTGAGATCCTAAGCTTGAGGAAGTGGATCTTACATGATCTGAAGGTGGGAAGGAATGTTCCCTCCAACCTCCAGGTAAAGTTATGTGGCTGGCAAGTTACCCATTGTGAATGACCCTCCTCACAATTGTAAATATATACCAGTAAAAGATGAATTGCAGGGCAGGAAGGCCATAGCTATGCAGAGCTATTCCTTAGCTTCTGGTCAGAGAATAGTAAGTGTTAGCTCCTGCTGCTTCTTTTTTTTGGTAAATGTCCCCCAGTGAGATCTTAACAAAATCTCAGAATTATGAAAATATTTTGTGATGGAGGTGCCATTTTGCATGAAAATATTTCCCAGAAAATGTCAAATGTCACCAATCTGCCTGTCTCCCTGTGTGATAGTAATTGGCTTGGAAGGGCCAGCTCTGTCGAAGGCTCTGCTCGCCTCCTGCCTCCTCCTTGGTAAGATATTAAAATGTATTGAGTCTCCTTCATTAATGCAGGTGACTTCCTTGTCTCTGAATAGGCACATCTCTGTCTCGATCCAGGCTGAGAAACATATTGTGAGTGGCATGGCTTTAAACATGATTTTGATAATTAAACTTTCGAAAGAAATTTATTGACAGCATTATTCAGATATAAAAGCAGTTCTGGTTACATGCTAAAAGGGAGAGAATGTAATTTCTCCTGGTCTAGCCAAAGCAACTTTTATGAAGGTGAAGAAATCCCCAAACTTCCATTACAGGCAGAGTATTTTTGTTTTGTTTTGTTTCATTTAATGTCTCTTTTTGCTGCCATGTACTTGATTTAGGCTTTCTCCAGCAGTTTTATTTTAGTGGAAGTTTAAGTCTGCTACCCAATTATACCTCATATGTGATAGAGATGACTGAGTATGTTGAGGGGAAACAGGGGATGAGAAATTATAGTGTTGTCCCTTACAGACTTATTTTTATATCTATAACCTATATTTGTAATTGCTTTTTATCTCCAGAAAAATGAAAAGTATAAATTTGCCCTCGTCACGGTATATTGCAGCACTGTATAAGGCAGCACTGAGGCAAGGCTTCTCATTTTCCATCCCTGCTTGTTTCAGTTTTAATTATGATGCTTCCCTTCCATTGCTCTCAATGGAAAAAAGCTTAGGGGGCGGATTCTGATTTTGCTTACATCTGGCAAACACAGCTATCTTCATTATGGAAACTTGAATTTAACCTGGTATATCTGTAAACAAAAAAATGGTTTGTGTGTCTTAAACTGTTTAATTCTCTTTAGAAATGGCACTTCCCTTCGAAGCTGTTCCATTGCATGTTCGATCCACCTTTACCCATTGCATGTTAAAACTTGCACCTTATTTTATTTCATATGAGGGATCAACATTTCAGACACGCCTCAAGAGGCTTCTAAAACATCTGTGCATAGAAAAGGCTATGAGCATGTATAAAAAACTCTGATGAAATAATGCAGGAGGCAGGATCTATCTTCTGATCAGGGGTAGCCCACTGGCAGCTCACAAACTACATCCAGATTCAGCCCCAAGTAAGTTTTGTCTGGTCCTTAATCATCAGGATTAAGGAATGTAAGAAGGCATCAATTCCTGTTCTGACCCATGTTCACTGCATGCTGCATGTTTCTGATCCAGTGCAGTTTGACTTCTGACAAAAACTACATTATTTGTCCCTCTGTCTGCTGTGACAGAATTTTGTGTAATTATTTTACATATTTATGCCACACCATTCATTGCAATGCAAAGGAAATAAAATGCCAATAGGTGGAAAGGTAACTAATTATGTATCATTTGCTGATTGAAGACAACAGTGAATACTAACAGTATTCACTGGATTGATTTAAATTCTGGACATGGGATAAATAAACAAACATCAATTATTTCTGTTTCCAACAGAATTCTTAACATCCCTAATCAGGATATGGTAAATAGTTTGCCCATAGTTTCAGTCCTAAGGAACAGTACTTCTAAAGAAAAGATGTTGTGTCTTCTGTGTGCGCCACAGAATACACAAATCAGGAAACTGATGATGGCAGATGCTTTTAGGCATTGATATCACACAGTTGAAGTTTCTGGTTATGTGGATTTCATTCTCAGAACATGTACTACCAATACTCTGTGGTTTATAAGGGGCACAACTAAGTTCCTGAGAAAACTGCAATCTAACGACAATCTCCAAGAAATACCATCATAGCTACTATAGACGTTGGGGACCTTTGCACCAACATCCTCCAGAAAGGTGGATTACAAGCCATCAGGAAGAATATAATCCTTCACTAAAGAGTTTAGTGAGAGAGTCAAGATGTTAAGGTGGAGACTGAGGATATGTTAAGGTGGAAGCAGAATTATTAATAAGACCAAGAATATGCAGCATGACGAATACATTGTTGGACATTCCGTTGACTGTTGGCATCATTCAGCAATTGTTTGATGAGCAAATAAAAGTGATTAGAGCTGAGATTGATGAAATAGTGAATGAAAGCAGACCAGAGAAGGATGAAATGGAAAACAAGGACACATAGACTTTGGAGAACAATATGAATGCCAGGACAGGAGGGTGAGAGTTGGAGGCAACAGTTGATGAAATGGATAAATCCTTCACACAGGTGTTTAGAGGAATGAAACAGCCAAATGGAAGAATTGTGATGTTGGAGGAGTTGAATTAAACCATGGATGGAAAGATGAAGAGACATTCTGATTTGGCAGAAATAGTTGAGAGAGAAAGTCTACTACTTGAATTTAGAGAGAAAAGCATATATAGAGAGAGATAGATGGCTTTTCTCTCTAAATGATGAGTATATGTACCTACAACTGTGATATATAATGATGAATATGTGTACCTGCAACTCAGAATAACACTTCGTTCATATGATGAACAAAGGCTTATGCCATAATAAACCTATTATGTTTTTAAGGTGCCACATGACTTTCTGTTGTTATCTTTGTAAACTTGTAAACTTGGTAATATTTACATATTGTGTGCACATAATTTATGTAATGTAGTGCCTGAGCATGCGTGCTTTATTACTGTGAAGCCCTTATTTCAAAATGGCAACAACTTTATTATAGCGACTCATAAAGGAGTTGATGTAGCACACTACATTTTTGGCTCCTGGATAAGTATCTGAATAAGTGTGTGCCACCCTGCCCTGAAGTTGGCCTTCTCTCCCCTGGATGCTTGCCCTGATCATTCGGTAGGACTGTATGACTATGTGCACAATTAATCCCCTAAAAATGTAATGGTCATGGCTTTGTAAATTTTAAAATAACACATTCTTAAATGGCATCTCTTTTTACTGTGTCCATGAACTCTGCCTAGGAAAATGCTTTTAACAAATTGGCTACAATGATGCTGAATAAATCATTTATTATTAGAACAATATACTGCACAAATATTTGGCTGGTTTAGCACTGCTGGACCCTGGAGAGAAGAGGCCGAATGTGTATAATATAAATACTATGTAGCAAACAGATCTGCGGTGCCACAGATAGCACTGGAATTGAGACTGTTCCAGAGCTAATGGAAGCTTCCTTGAGCTGCACAGAGCAGTGGACTAGTGTTTACTGGCTAGATAAGAGGGGTTGTAGGCTGCTGGTTTTCTTTTACCTTCCCGTTAGAAAAGTCATTAACTCTGTAATCTTAAGGCTGGCCTGAGGGAAAAGTGAAGGTTGGCAAACCACCAACTCCAACACCCTACCAGCCTCTCGCAAGCAAGGCAGGAGCCAGGACGGAGAAGTGTAAGAATTTACATTTTTCTTCCGCAAAATTTGAAATCAGATTACTGTTTAAGAGTACTTATGCAACGCCCTCCTCTTATGTGTGCAGCATTTTAGCACTGTGGAACTCCCTCCAGTAAGATGTCAAGGAAATATACAACTATCCGACTTTTAGAAGACATCTGAAGGCAGCCCTGTTTTGGGAAGATTTTTATGTTTGAAGTTTTATTCTGTTTTTAATGTTCTGTTGAAAGCCGCCCAGAGTGGCTGGGGAAACCCAGCCAGTTGGGCGGGTAGAAATAATAAATTATTTGTTGTTGTTGTTGTTGTTGTTATTACTGTTCATATGCAACCCTTTACACAGAAGATCTAAGAAACTTGGCGTGTAAGCAGACTTTTGATGGCAATTTAGTTACTATTCCTAGAGTATTATAGAATTTTGAACATAAACATGACACAGCATAAGAAGATCTCTTCTAGATCAGGCCAAAGGCCCATCTAGTTTAGCATCCAGTTCTCAGGGTGGCCAAAAACAGGACTTGAGTGCAAAAGCTCTCCCCTTGCTGGTGTGATTCCCAGCAGCTGCTATTCAGAGGCATCTCATCACTGACCCTGGAGGTAGAACATCACCATTTTGCTAGCTAAACCTTTGATAGTCTTATCCTCCAACTTATTTAATCCTTTTTGAAAACCATCCTAGTTAGTTGCCATCACTTCATATGTGGGGAGTGAATTCCATTGTTTAACTAAGAAGTACTTCCTTTTGTCTATCTCCAATCTTCCAACATTCAACTTACCCTGTTTCCACTGTCTCCACACCATACATAATCTTAAACACCCCCATCATATCCCTGTTGCCTTTTTTTTCTCCACTGAAAAGCCTCAGATATTGTATCCTCCCTCTCATAGGGGAGTTGGCCTCAGAACATTGATCAGTTTCCAGTTACTCTTTTCTGAAACTTTTCTAGCTTTGGTTTTTATTTAAATGTCACTCCACAAGCTGCTTCTATTGGTGTCTCTGGTATTCATGCTCATCTGACACATCATAAAATCATGCTCAACCAATACAACGAAGTTCTCTGTACTTTCTTCTCATACCTCAGGGTGGGTAACCTCTGACCCATGGGCCAACTTTGGCCCCTGCACACCTCCAAAACTAGGATCATGAGGCTGCTTCTCCTAAACCATATGCACCTGCCCCACACTTGACATGGTAGAGATGCAGCTCTGTTGGGGGACTTCATCCCTACAGAAAACATGGGCTGAAATCACGGCTCAGCTAGTGATGGGCAGCGACTTCAGCCCTGCTGAATTTGTGGCACAATGGAGTTCCAGGAAACATCTCTGCCAGCCCTGTGCTTGGTGTTTTGCTTATTTTAGAGCTGGCAAAGCCCCTTACACTGCCCATCCCAAGTGCCTGACAGTCATCTGTCGTCAACAGATGGGTGGCACAACCTAAAATGGGCCTATCGGCTGCAGAAGTACAAGTGGCATCCCAAAAACAAATTCTCACACCACTAGCAGGAATGAAAATTCACAACAGGTTTTTTCATGCTTTGTGAAGAAGAGTGATTGAATGGACGCCATACCACACATCCAGTTTGTTGCGCAATAAACACATTTCTTTCTTTTTTGTTGCCTCCAACCCTGAAATCTTACCCTAAGATTGGTCTTTTGTTGCAGGGGTGTTTCATCTCCACGGCACTGAAAGTGAAATTTTTGTAGCTGGGAAAATGAGATGCTTCCCCCAGAGAGCTCATTCTTTCTGCAGGGCCTGCAAGACAGAGCTGTTCCACCAGGCCTTTGGCCAGGGCACAGCCTGACTCCCTCCCTTGGCAATCTTCACGGAGTTCTGGCCCAATGGTTGCCAGTGGCTTGAATTAATTAATTTTATAATGAATGATTTTAGAGTGTTGTTTGTGCTGTACTTTTGTACTGTTTTATTGTTGTTAGCCGCCCTGAGCCCGGCTTCGGCTGGGGAGGGCGGGATATAAATAAAATTTATTATTATTATTATTATTATTATTATTATTATTATGCAGGTGTTCCTGCTACCTACTCTGTATAGGCTATTTGTGCGGCAGTTAGTGTAAGGTGATGCAACTTTTTTGCCCCTCCCATGCCTGCACCATTTTGTGAACCTTTAGTGTGTGTTTTGAAATCACAACTTCTCTAGCCACCCTAACCGCTGTTGCTGCCTTTCTCCTCACAAGCACATGTCCTGCCACGAGTGCTGTGACAGCAAGGCTGTCATTGAACAAACATGTAAGAATATTGTAAAAAGGATAGAAAATATTTTTCTGATTGTGCAGAAATTGAAGCTTAACCTATAATGCATTTTTAAGTTGCAGCAGACGTGTTCTCACAAGTGATTTCTATATCTAAAAATGTAACATGGGAAGGTTTCTACCTCTGAGATAAGCATGGTTATGTTGAACTGTTCTCTAATCTTAGCTTAGATGTTGCTTTCAGAAGTTAGTGAACACATAAATCCTTCCTGTGTAACATTTTTAGAAGTTAATGCCTGTTATAGCATGGTAAGGTAAAGGACCCCGGACAGTTAAGTCCAGTCAAAGGTGACTATGGGATGCGGCGCTCATCTCTCTTTTCAGGCCAAGGGAGCTGGCATTTGTCCACAGCTTTCTGGGTCATGTGGCCAGAAGGACTAAACTGCTTCTGGTGCAATGGAACACTGTGATGAAAGCCAGACCAGCAAAGCTTTTTCCTGGGCTGCTGTTACGCAGAGATGGATATGGGGCTGACTTTTCTTTTCTTTTCAAATTCATCTAGTCCAGCCCCCACTCCCTTTTAGTCTGTACTTTAGGGCAGGCAGTAATTTCTTGGGAACCAGTGTCGATCCAGCCTGGACCCTGACACATTTATTTGGTATTGTTCAGTTGCTGCGGATATGTGCTAGGCTGATTAGATAGCGCATGTATGGCAGTTCCCTAGTGCACTTGTTACCTAGGAAACCATGAGCTCTACATGTGTGTCACTTAACACCCTATTTGCTTTCATTTGGATAAGTCTTTAATTTCTGCACTGCCCCATCTCCTCTGGATCTATTCAAGTCGCCTGTCTTCATACACTAATCCCTCTCCTTCTGCCCTGCTTGCCTCTCTGGCTGTGGTTCTCAAAAAAGTCCCTGCCTGCTCGGAGCAAGTTTCCAAACCTGTGGGTAATCTGAACAGCTCGTGCCTTTAACAATAATAACTCAAATTATATACACGGCTTCTCCCATCCAGAAGCAATTAGTAGCTCAAATGTGATGCTTAACACTTCCATCATCAAAGCACTCTACAGACGTTAACTAATTAATCCTTCAAATATTGCAATGAAGCACAGTAAGGTGGCTATTTCTCCTTTGTAGATGGGGGAATTAAGGCACACAGAATATCAAGGCTGGACAGTGGCTGGCTCTGCTTCACTATGCAAAGGATGCAACATCCAAAATATCTGTCATTCAAGTAGAAATAAGAGGTCAACTACCCACTCCTAAGAGTTTCATTTTCAAATGGAGTCTCTACCCTGGTTCTTATCTGATTAATCTTAGACTTTCCCTGGTCCCCCAGTGACTCAGGTAGAATATTTTGTGAACTGCACATTAAGATGCTGGTTTTTAGCTGTGCTGAAGCTTCTTTGCAACACACTTGCCCCTCATTATCTATGTTTAGCTGAATATTCAGAAAGCTTCCCCCCTCATCACCAATTTTTATTCTGTAAAACAGGTATTTTGTGATGTCCACAACAGTTTCTTTGATTTCCAAATGTGTCTCCAGACGAAGAAGGTTGTAGAACTCAGATAGAACTGATTGCAGCTGATTAAAATATTAGATTGCAAGAAAAAAACTTATTATGGGGGGGTGCTCCAGTTTGTTCCAGTGCCATTTGCTGGAAGCAAAGAAAGAAAGAAAGGTTGGTTTTTGGGGAGCTGTCAGACCATTGCTTCCTATAGCTCAAGACAGGGGTGCTGAGGGGTCTTGCCCCCCCAAAAACCCAGGAAGGGTCTGGGCTCTCTCAATATCCTGTGGCGACATGTGCACGCAGTGTGAGCACACCACAGAATGCGCTCACGACACTCGTGCAAGCTGTGCAGGGGCAAGCCGGTGTGCGTGGCTCAAGAGCTATGCCTCCTAATTAAACCTGTCACTGCCTTCCACAACAGGCCACTGAGGGATGTTTGGGTTCACCTATTCCAACTGTAAGCTGAATGCTGAGCGTATGTTATATATAATTGTTTTACCTGCCCTTCACCAGCAGCTGTGAGGGTGGGTTACTACAATTTAGAATTCAGAATTCAAAACAGTTAAAACAGATTATAGTCCCAAAAAATGTGGTGGGGGCACTGAAAACACACATTTCAGAAGTAAAGGCCAGTGTAGAGAAGTTTCTTCTGCAGACTAGTGCAGTAGTGTACAGGTGACAGCACTGGAGGCCTGGAAGAGCAGATCCTGTAAAACAAAAGAGTTCTGCAAGCAGTGGTAGATGGTCCAGATACAAATGTGAAGACAGTACTGTTAGATCCTGTCTGCAGCACTGTCTGGTCAGCAAGACCAATTAAAGATTCCCTTCCCTTTAGCAATACCTGCTCACCTGCTCACCTAGGGTTCTGGGTGGACACTCTTTGGTGCATGGTGTGGCCATGGAGGGCTGCCATCTTCTGACGTGGCCAGGGGAGGGGATGGTCACCTGGTGCCACCCAACTCTGACTGCATTGGGCTCCCAGGTAAGGACAGGCAGTGCCTGCAAGCCAATCAGTCTCCAGCCCACTCCATGCCTATTTAAACGGGCAGCCAGGTGCAGGCCACCCTCTTGGCTGATCGTCATGGGATTTTCAACCGACCTAGTCCTTAGGGGTCCACCCAGTGGGGGAGCAGGTGTGTTGCCTATGGACCTTGCTATAGTTTACACCATAGCTTTCCAAACTTTTCATATTAGTAACCGCTTTCCAGCCCTGAAAGGAGTGTGGGGAGTGTTCGTGCAACACACCTACACACTGCAGCCGACACACTAACGTGTCATGACACACAATTTGGAAAGCTCTGGTTTACATGGTCACCATATTCGGGGACAGGGAGGAATTTTCTCCTGCAAGCAAACTGGCCGGCTTGCAGGTTTTTGCCTACCTCATCACAACATTGGGAGATAAGGCATTGGGCTGGATCCTTAGTCGCAGGAGTATCCTGTTAGCAGGGTCCAGGAGGGGTGACTCTGTCTGGGAGTCCATGGCGGAGGGGGAACAGTGGGCCAATACACCTCCCCCAAAGGCGACTCCCCAGCACCAGGTTCCTATCAGGTAGCAGGATACATGCCCAGTGCCTTAGCCAAATCTACTCTTTCCTGTAATCAATAACGTTGTGGCTTAATTCAACCTAAAACCAATTTCCTGTGTCCATTCTTGTGGCCCTCCCTGCACCTGCAGTGGGCATCATGTCCATGTGCTGGCAAGGATATAATTCTGTCTTACAAGCTACAAGTGTTATCTAGTCTGAAATTTATTTGTCCCACTCCCCCTATGGCATTAAAAAAATAAAAATAAAAATCGAATGAAGGCATGGAATATATAATTTGCCATCATATAAATGACAAATTTGATACACAAATGGAGATGAAGCACCCTAGCATTGTCGCAAGGTTACCAACTTTCTCTTCTTCCTGTTTAAGGGTCTCCTCTGACCACCCCAAAGCTGTGTGTACTGTTGCCTTTGTAGACCGCAATCTGTACTGAAATCCAAGCCTGCTGTTAACTTCACTTGCGCTCTATTCTTGTGTTTGCTATTATTTTTTAACACTTTTTTGTGCATAAAAGCACTATCCTCTCCCTAGAGCCTGCCTGCAGTGAAGACATGGTCTGTACAACTGCAATTATTTAGAAGAACAGATGGAGTGAGGAGCAGAAAGTCTGTTAATAGTAATAGAAATGCTACATGTTAACCTGGACAGCACACGATGACAGTCCCATGACTACACGTTCTGTTCCCACCAGCTGGGCACCAACGCAGAAGTGAGAGATTCACAACAATAGCAAAACCAAGAACCCACCTAAAGTTAGAAATCAAATTCCTTCACACTTTTCAGTGTAGGTTTCCCCCCACCCCCAGTAATCTCCTGCCTCATGGTCATTTCAAAATATTTTCATATTTAAGGTGTGGTGTTATAAATTTCAGCATGGTTGGCAGGATAGAAATTAGGCATGAATGTGTGAGAAGGAAGTACAGGCCAATAAAGGGAGCACAAACATGGTAAACCAAGAATTTTATATCCCCCCCCCCCATCACAATAATTAACTCTTAAGATTGTGCTGACATAATATATATAATCGCTGAGCAGCAGATTTGCTTGGGCTTTTTTTCTTTTGGGTGCTTTTTTTGTAAGATGTGAATGAATCAGAGGTTGCTCTTAATGGAATCTAAAAGACAGGAAGGGACATGACACAGTGGCAGAACATCTGCTTTGCATACAGAAGGTTCAGCCCCCATATCCAAGCATGGTTGAGAGAGACCCCAGTCAGAAACTTTCCCGCTCCTGTAAACTAGTGATCCACGCTCTCTCCAGGCCCACATTTAACCCCCAGCCCTGAGTTTCTAAGATAAAAAAACACCAGTCATTGAGTTAGCTTAGAATTCACACATTTGAAACTGGATGCCCTCCTTGCAAACCAGTTTAAGCATAAAATGATTTTTAGTTTCATGTGTTAAATCTTTAGATTAGATTGTTAAAGTTTCAGAGACAGATGTGATATCACTGCCTAATGACAGACCAGTTGGATATTATGCAAGAACAAAGCTAAGTCCGTGAAGCTTATGCCGTCATAAACTGGTTAGTTTTTAAGACTCTTAGTAGTTTTTTGCTGCAAAAGGCTGTTGGCTAATCCTCTAGATTTTGTTATGAAATTATTCTCCTCATCTTTTACAATCAGTCACTGTGTGTGACCAGTGAGAAGCTTAGGAACTAGTCTGTTGTGAAAACAGATTCAGAGAGCATTGAGGCTGCCCCCTCCCCCCGAGGATCTAGGCCAGAGGTCCCCAAACTTATTTGGCCTACCGCCCCATTTTATTGGGGGGGAAACCTCAGTGCCCCCCTGGAAATCTACCTTCTTTTAAGCCAACAAATTAAGCTTGCTGGCTCAGTCTGATCCGCCCCAGGACTGGGGCTGGTGCTGAAGCCATTGGCCAAGTAGGCGTCTGCTGTGATCCACTTCCTGGGCCTGAGTGAAGCCCCAAAGGGATCATCCAAGCCCGGGAAAACCCCTCGCCTCAAGCATGTCTGCCAGATCCAGGGGAGGCGTTGTCGCCATCCCACAATGGTGCCCGACCTTTCGGTTAGCATCATTACACCAGATGAAACACGTACAAACAGGTTTTTTTCTTTCTTTCTCTGCTTTTTGTAGTGAAGAGCAGGCTGAAATACTTTAAATACATAATATCCATATTTTTTACAGGAGAAGAAGTATGTTCTCATCATGGTAGATCCAGATGCCCCTAGCAGAGCGAAGCCAGAATACCGTTTCTGGAGACATTGGGTTGTCGTTGGAATCAGAGTGAGTAGCATGTGTGTTTATGTTATTACATTATTCATGAGGATGCATCAGTAGCTTTGGAAACACTGCCGAGTTCAGATATACCTGGCTCTTTCCTCCATCATTGTTTTCTCACCTTACTCAGTGGTTAACAGTGATTAAATGAATAGTAGTTAATTAATTAGCAACTATTTTGGAGGAGAGGTCTGTCTACAGACAGATGGCCCTGTAAAGACATCATGGCCAGCACTACACACTCATACCTCGGGTTGCAGACGCCGCTTCAGGTTGCGTTTTTTCAGGTTATGGACTGCCGAAACCCAGAAGTACTGGAATGGGTTACTTCTGGGTTTTGGCAGTCGCACATGCACAGAAGTGCTAAATCATGCTTTGCGCATGCGCAGAAGTGCCGAATTGCAACCCGTGCACGCGCAGATGTGGGTTGCGAATACTGCGGGTTGCGAATGTGCATCCCACACGGATCACGTTCGCAACCCGAGCGTCCACTGTACCAGTGAGTGTCGGTGGGACTGGGGCCACTATGGGTCTCATGGGCGGGATGAAGGGGAGATGGTGATATGTAAAATCACTCTTCTTCAGCTTTTGCTCAGTCCAGCCAAGGAGATTCTTTAAAGTTTTCATGAACCATCTCAGGAAGTGCATGGTCCTCTTGCTCCAAAGGCATGGGAACATCCCTTATCTGTGCCCTGTGATCTAGACCAGGGACTACAAACTACCTTTGACTTGTTGTCTGGGACTTGTATGAAAATAGAAAAACACTTTAGATTTGTGTGTATACCTATCTGATATGGTTCTTCATGGTTGAGTCTCAAGCCAATGTGACAGGGCGGTTGTAGCTTTGGTGGGGCATGTATACACATCAACTTAGATTTGGTAAGGTTACAGTGAACGCAGATATCTTGCCAGTATATGGCCAGTATGCTTTCTGTGGTTTTGGTCTAACTGTGTTAATTCAGGTATGTCAAGTTTCAGGAATTTGCCCTCTATTCATGCAGAAAAACTATTTCAGGTGAGATTTGTTTTGATTAAAAATAATAATAATTAAAAAGGCTAATTAATCTGTCAGGACCAGGTGCTTTGTGGAGCATATTTTTAATCCCATCTTGGATTACTGCTAGGGTAAAAGATCTAATGATTTCAAGGTTTTTTTCTAGGAATGTTGTGTCCAGTGGTTCAGATTAATAAAGTTTTGTATAATTTTTTTTTCAATCCTCCAGAATTTTTTTTGTCTTTGGATTTTTTTACCTTTTTGCATTTTAACACAATATATAACTCATTTTGTTTGATTTATGCATACTTGTTTGCTAGGCAGAATATTCATTATAATATCGCTTTATCTTCTGAAGTGAATTAAGTATCTGCAGGACTTCTAGAGATCTTAGTTCTGCTCTTTTTCTTAAGTCTTCTGTACACTCTTTGTGTGCATTTATGTTCAGTTTTAAGATCTTGTATTTCCTGAATTAGATTGGCATTTACCTTCTATTTCTCTTTTTAAATTCTCCTTTCTTTTCACTTATAAGTATGCTATGCATCACACCTTTATTTTTATTTTTTTAAATAATATTTATTAAAGTTTCACAGAAAAAGAATCACATTATTAAAAAAGGAAAATTTAAAAATAAAAATAAAAATACACAATACAAAATACAAAATACAAAAAGGAAAAAGAAAAAACAATTAAAAACAATTCCGTCTTTTCATAACTTCTTTTACATTTACTTGTTTCCCGGACCTCCTCATACCTCCCTCTTTTGTATTCCAATTCAGTTTGTTAGTCCAGCAATTTCTTTCCCTCCTTTTTAATCCCAATCCTTAATCCTAATATATTATAACATTAAATTTTTACCTATTAAAAACCAATTTTTCCATTCTTTAACCTTTTTAATCCTAATCCTTAATCTTGATATATTTATAACTTTAAAGCCTGTACAGCTAGAAGCCACTTAACTTCAATCCAACATCACTCTAACATTCATTAATTTTGCAATATTTCTGTAAATAATCTTTAAATTTCTTCCAATCTTCTTCCACCGACTCTTCTCCCTGGTCACGGATTCTGCCAGTCATTTCCGCCAATTCCATATAGTCCATCATTTTCATCTGCCATTCCTCCAGTGTGGGTAGCTCTTGGGTCTTCCAATACTTTGCGATGAGTATTCTTGCTGCTGTTGTAGCATACATAAAAAAAGTTCTATCCTTTTTCAACACCAATTGGCCGACTATGCCCAGGAGAAAGGCCTCTGGTTTCTTCAAGAAGGTATATTTAAATACCTTTTTTAATTCATTATATATCATCTCCCAGAAAGCCTTAATCTTTGGGCACGTCCACCAAAGGTGAAAAAAATGTACCTTCAGTTTCTTTACATTTCCAACATTTATTATCGGACAAATGGTAGATTTTTGCAAGCTTGACTGGGGTTATGTACCACCTGTATATCATTTTCATAATATTCTCTCTTAAGGCATTACATGCCGTAAACTTCATACCTGTGGTCCATAACTGTTCCCAGTCAGCGAACATGATGTTATGTCCAACGTCTTGTGCCCATTTAATCATAGCCGATTTCACCGTTTCATCCTGAGTGTTCCATTTCAGCAGCAAGTTATACATTCTTGACAAATTCTTAGTTTTGGGTTCTAACAGTTCTGTTTCTAATTTTGATTTTTCCACCTGGAAGCCAATTTTCTTATCCAAATTATATGCCTCCATTATCTGATAATAATGAAGCCAGTCTCGCACTTTGTTTTTTAGTTTTTCAAAACTCTGCAGTTTCAATCTGTCTCCATCTTGTTCCAAAATTTCCCAATATTTCGGCCATTTGACCTCCATATTGAGCTTTTTCAAGGCTTTCGCTTCCATTGGTGACAGCCACCTTGGAGTTTTGTTTTCCAATAAATCCTTGTATCTTATCTAAACATTAAACAGTGCTTTCCTGACAATATGGTTTTTAAATGCTTTATGCGCTTTGACCTTGTCATACCACAGATATGCATGCCATCCAAATACGTTGTTAAAACCTTCTATGCATCACACCTTTAAACTTGTCCCAAACCACAGTAGTTGTCTCTTCTCCCATATCATTAATCTGAAAAAATCCATAAGTCTCTTTAAGGAGTTTCTCTTTATTAAAAAAATTAAAATTTAATATCCAAGGGTCTAATTTTCAATAGAAAGGTTTAGGTTTGTGTACACCCCATTGTATTCATGTGATAACAGGGGCATGGTCTAAATATTAAGAAGACCATGTTAGATTATATTGATTTATTGCTCAGATAAGCGTGAGGTCCGGCACGCTTCCCATCACAGGCCTCTGCATTCCAAAAGTCCGACTCATCTGAGCATAGCAGAGTTTCAACAGCGGCAAGAGGAAACTGCAAAAAAAAAACCTCCAGTGCATTCTTCAGTGTGCTTAAATAAAGTCCACACAGGATCTTAGCAGCTAGAAGCAGTTTTATTTACAGCAGACTATCCATTATCTATCACAGCGAACAGCATCGTGAAAAACACGTCCTCTCTCCTCAAAAGCGAAAGTAGAGAGAGACAGAACAAAGGCTTTAGTCTCTCGGAAATGACGTAGCATTTCCCCCCTCCTCTCCACAGTAGGCAGAGCGTACACTCTGAGCTGTTTAACCCTGTAAGCTCAGGTTCTCCTCACACCCCCTCTCGCTCTGCGCTACTGTGGGGAAAGTAAGTACAGAACTTACCCCCAACTCCAAACCACCACAAAACTCCCCGTGACACTGGAAGCTTAAAGGTTTGGTAAATCCATCGGCCAGGTTACTGTGACTGGCACAGTACTTCAGTCGTATCAAACCTGACTGAACACTCTGACACACATTTTGGAAACGTATGTCCAGATGCTTGGTTCTGGCCTTAAATTGCGCAGATTCAGCCAATTTCAAACAGGGTTGATTGTCTTCCCAAACCGTGATGGGCAAGCTACAATCCCCATAGATCTCTTGCACCAAGCATCTATAGAACTCTAGTTCCCGGCACAAATCTGACAGTGCACTGAATTCAGCCTCAGTAGAAGACAGCGCAATGAGACTCTGCTTCCGGGACTTCCACCCAACCAGTGACTTCCCAAACTTTATCACCAACCCGGACACAGACTTACGGTCCTGCGAATTCGCCCAGTCACTATCCGCATAGCATGTGAGCTTCGCCTCACCTTCAGCTGGCAGCTTAAGACAGAAGCCTTTGGTATGCTGCAGGTAGCGCAGTACCCGCTTGATACCGTGCCAAGCACTCACACTGGGCTTTGACGCTTCCCTACTTAGCAGGTTGGTAGCAAAGGCAATGTCTGGTCTGCTCCATTGGGACAGATACAACAGACTACCTAGAGCTGACTGAAAGAGCTCAGCATTCTCAAACTCAGCACTTTCTGCTTGCTGGCTATCTTTCACGAAGTTCGTCTCCATGGGTGTCCGAACTCCTGCACAATCGGACATTCTGAACTTCTCCAGCAACTGTTCAATCTTGCCTTTCTGACTGAGCAAGAAGCTACCATCCTCAGTTCTCGCTATCTGGATGCCTAGGTAGATCTTTACTGCACCCAGGTTCTTGAGCTGAAACCGTTTCCCAAGTTCTTTGGCAAACTTCTGCACCTGTTTGTCTGCCTTTCCAACATGGATGATGTCATCAACGTAAAACAACACCAGTTCCTGTGAGTCTCCTGATCCTCTAAGGAACAGGCAACTGTCAGCAAGACTCTTCCTGAAACCTAGCTTCTCCAAAGCTTCATTCAGGCACAAGTTCCAATTCCTGGCCGACTGCTTCAGGCCATAAATTGACTTGTGAAGTTTCCGCACAGTACCTCGCTCATTGCCCTCAAACCCTGGAGGAGGAAGCATGTACAGATCCTCCTGGAGGTCTGAGTTCAAGTAAGCAACATCCACATCAAAGTGATGCACCAGCAAACCTCTTTGTGCAGCGATGGCCAAGACCAAGCGTAGAGATTCACTCCTACACGTGGGCGCATAAATCTCCGTATAATGCAACCCCCTGCGCTGCGTGAATCCTCTCGCCACTAATCTGGCCTTATACTGCGGTTCTTCTGTCGCTGTGGGCTTAAGACGGTAAACCCAGCGGCTACCCACTGCCTTTTCACCCACCGGCAACTTCGTGAGGGAGAACACACCTAGAGACTCCATTGAGTTCATCTCCTTCTGCATCGCCTCATGCCATTTCCTGGCTTCTTCCTGAGGCAGTTTCTGAACATCCTCAAAACTCTCGGGTTCACACTGTGCCATTCCGACCCACACACTAGTGACGGCAAACCTTTCAGGAGGTTTCCCCTTGGTCGTCCTCGTTGAACGGCGCAGCACTACTTCAGGAACCCCCTCTGACCCACTAGGGCCAGCCAGAACGTCCTTGGCATCAGAGAGCTCCCCCTCTGACTTACTGTGCCTTCTGGACTTCTCAGCCGAACCTGGGGGAAGATGGAGCACTGCGTTGCTCACTCTTCACAGCCTTGGGAGAAGTTCTCCCCTCTGCCTGCACTGGGCCTGGACTCTGAGCCTCAGTAGCAGGTTCAACCTCTTCCTCTCCTTCATCAGCAGAGTCTAGCAGACTCTCTGACAGGATGTCAGGGTTCCCATGTATCCTTGCCCAGCCACTCTGCTCACAGAATTCAGCACTG